TAACATAGCTGGTTGCAGTCTGGTTTATTTCCTCGGTCTCAAGAGGTCAACGGTTCGATATAGAGAAAAGTCAGTAGTTTTTTATGGTTTTAAAAACTGTGCCCAGCTGTCTTTCATTGTTAGGATTTTAATACATGGTCGTGGCTGGGGAAACAGATGGTCTAGTAACAAAGCTACACAAGGCATCTCACTTTATTCTACAATATTTCTTTCATTCATATTTTGGGGCTGAAACAAGCTCAGCTGAGTTCTCATGGTAAATAACACTAATAATAACTAGCTGTTACCCACGGGCAAGCCCCAAAGCCCCGTTTGACTTCATGAGTATTAATACAACTATTGATTGGTTAAGTTAAGCTGAAATAAACAAAACTGAATATAGTAATATAAACAAATAACCACACCTGATTTTTTAAGGTAATAAATTGAAAGAATAGCAAACAAATAAGTACAGCTGAGGTATTTTTAACATCAGGCATATGGAAAGTTTCCTTTAGAAAGGAATTACGATCATAAAGGGCAATTTATGAAATAATGGATAGTTTTACACAAGGTTTCTCGTCATGACGAATTTGTTTAAATATATGGTTTATGGGGGTGTGACTTATAGTTTTCTCAAAAGTTCATGGGTAACTACTTTGGGATTTATATATGAATCTCACTTAGTTTGTTATAGACTCAAAAAGATTTAAATTATGGGTTGGAAATATTTATCCAATTTTGTTTTAGCATTGTCACAGTTTTAATAGCACAGATAACGTTTCTTTATTTCTCAGAATGTAAAGGCGTTTCATACTGATAAAAGTGCAGACTTGAATTTACAACTCAGATAACTGCTAGAATCAAAAACAAATAAAAATAACGAATTATTCACATTACTCGCTTCTTTCATTCCTGTTCCATTTTTATTTTAAAAGATAAGCTAAGGAATATTATGTACCTACTAATTACTACTAGATGAATGATTCCTGTAACCAGTTTGTTATATTGTTTATATAGGGTGTTTTTTACACACAGTCCAAATTACAGTAGACTCCCTCTTATCTGGATACCTTTTAACCGGACATCAGTTTAACCAGACTACTTTCGGCGTAAATGACATCTCTGTAACCGGACAATTCCTATCTGCACATTGGTTTAACTGGACTAGATCGGCAGGAAGTGGGCTGTACTGAAACGACTGTTCTTGTGGGAAAGATTTAAGACCAGTGATCACGTGTCTAAATACAAATGCTCTCCTAAATTTAAGTAAAATATTTGGGTTACATAACAAGTTTTTGGGGACGTTGTTTTAACCGAAAAAACCGTTATCCGTACTGGCCTCGGTCCCGAGGAGTCCGGATAAGAGGGAGTCTACTGTACTAGTACTGTACTGGGAGACACTGTTTAACTACAAAACCAGCTCATATATTGGTATCCCAGTACTCTTTACTTCATTACTGATCAAATATGCATTGTTGCCTACTTACGAGGTTTCGTGTTATTGGTAATTTATTGTAAGACTCAATATAGCCTTTTGGCAAGCTCAAATAGAGTAGGTATGTATTGTGGGTACGTAATTTTTGTTGTTGTTTTCAACCTATCCGGTCTCTATAAATTATTTAAAGTCTATAAATAGTTGATTTATAAGGTACTACTAGTGTCCCTGTTGCTCGAATTCGAGCAATTGCTAAGTGTTACAGGCCTTATTTTAAAACGAATATCAACCAAGTCAGCAAATATTTGTAGCAAACTGTTAAATTGACAAACTTTGACTGTTTAAAATTAACATATGCTATTCTTCTCACTTTTGATTTCTGACAGCAGCTGGAGTTTCATAACAATTTTTGTTTCCAATGTTAATCTTATGGATAAATACGAAACTTTAAAGGGCTCCAGGGCCTCACTCTCTCATTATTTCCCTAAATAGAAAGTTTCCTGCACAACTTCACCTTACGCTCTTTCCAATGACACCAAAAACATGTCAATCGGTTCAGTAGTTTCGGAGGAGTAATTGTCACAAAAAATCTGCTTGCGTATTAAATAAGTATATATATAGATATAGATATAAAAACACATGGAAACTGAATTAAATACCATTCTTCGTAAAGAAATAATTATTTAACTTTTATCGTGATCTTCTTCAGGTTTTTTTTAACGCAACTCGAAAGTATCGGGAGACACTTTTTAAGACAGAACAAGCTCATATGTTAGTACTCCTTTCATCTTTACTTCATTACCGATCAGCTGATGTGCATTTTTTTTGTTATCTATGAGGTTGGGTGTTATTGGAAATTTATTGTAAATAGGACTCAACATGGTGTTTTAGCAGCAAGCTCAAAGGTGTTGTGTTAAAAGTAAATTATCATTTTCATGCCAAGAAAGATTTTAAATAATCTTTTTACTTAACCGTCGACTACCTAATAAATCAACTATTTATTGACTTGTTCAAAGTTTTAGGAAACCAGATGGTCTATATCAGTAGAAAACAAAAATAAACTGATGTATCATAGGTATACTCCCACCAGGTAACTTATAGCCGTACTCAGATAGTTAGCCATTTGAGTCTTGGCAGTCTAAATATCAAAAATTTTTGTCTCTGGTGTTACCTAATAAAGTTCATTTGTGCAGTTACAAATGTGAGTTTTATTATATTATAGTCTACCTTCAAGAAACGTCATAAACATTAAATTCTCTATATTATTTGAGCTTGTGAAAACCCATTTTGAGTCTTATTTTCAATAAACTCCTAATAACACTAAACCTCATAAGTATGCAACAATGCAATGAATAGGATTGGCAATGAAGTGATGAAAAAAGGAATACCAACATATAAGCTTGTTCCGTCCTTAAAAAGTGTGTCCCAGTTCTTTTAATTTGGGTTGGGTTTAAAAAAAAAACATCCTATATAACAAGACTTTTTTAACTTTCTTTAAAGCCTTTTGAAATGTTCTTCTTACATTTTGTCCTCACAAAACGTTTGTTTTGTAAATGTGCTAAATTCAGACCACTGTACCTAAAGACTTGCTTAATTTGAATAACCAGAGAGCTTTTAGCGGAGGCTGATACCCTCGCATGAGGGACCTATATTTTTAACGAATTCCCTTATTGGGTAGAAGCTATCACGGTAGGTGGCACTGGCACAGCAAAACCTAGACCCGGGACTGATTTACTTTTCATTTTGAGAGGTCAAAAACACTTTTCACAAATTTACGTATATATGTGAACACAACGACGCTAGCAATTTAAAGTATTTTCAGTGCTGGTCTAACTAACAGCTGGTTATAGCCTAACTGTCATTGAAATGTTTATGATACAAATTGTTTGTTTACAAAAAATATTGTTCGTCAGTGTTTTCCTACATACCACTACTATTTCACTTTAAAATGTAGTTTTTTTACCTACCGTGAAGGATCTGCGTTATCGGGAAAAAATGTGTTATTTTGAACTATACATCTCAAACAGTTGTGTTTAATCTAGTTTTGTCGTAATGCAATCTGTGTAAGTATTTAGTTTAAGCCGTGGAAATTTCAACAAATTTGTGAAATAATTTTTCAACAATTTATCACTTAATCGTTTAAGATACTGTATAGGAGTTTCCGTGTTGATACTTCATTTTCTGTATGTTCAAATGTATGTCGACATATTAAAATTTTGGTTAGTAATAAAAGCGTCAATGGGTGTAGTAGGTCTCTATAAAACTGACCAATACAGTAATCTGCAGGGCGCAGTAGAAACTAAAGTCAACTTATGCCCTACCATAACTATCCCCAAAGTAGGCCTACTGTATGATTCAGAAACTTGGGCACTGGCCAAAGAACCGAAAAACCTTAATACTGCGTTAGAGAATAGAGTGCAGAGAAAATATACAGACCATAAAAAAAGGACAGAGTGCTAAGAGAAATGTGTAAATACCCAGATATAGGGGTGCTGTCCAGAAGTAAAAGGCTTGGATAGGCAGGCTATGCGTGGTAGTATATTCCAAGGAGTACCACAAGAGAGACGAAAAACAAAGTTATGAAATACATCTTCAGATTGGAATTTAAATTAGAAGAGGCAGGGGATAGAAGAGAATGGGAGGCCAGAATCTTCATAAGGTTTCAGTGGTCACGGAGATAAGATAAGGTACGGTAATTCGAGGAGGCATGTAGCTACTCTACTCAAAACCAGTGTGTGAATCGGTCGCCAATCTCACTTCTAGGTTTTCAAATCAACACAAATGCGGTTTTATGGTAAAATTATCAGATTTAAAATGCATATCGCTATCTTTAAGGTCTATAATCGGATGGAAAAAATAAGTGGTCACGTGACATTTGTTTTTAAGGTGTTTTTCCCAATTAAAACGGCCAGAATTTGTCTCTATGCGTGTAAACTAGAATTTCTGAATTACTCCGTTTTAACTGACCACTCGATTCCCTTACGTAGGACGGGCGAAGAGCTTGTGTTATTTAAATGAAGAACAACTTTGTCTTGTGTATGAAAACAATGTCAGTCAAAATCCAATCATATTGATTGAAATTTGCTTGGTCTGTAGGCTTGCTGCGGAGGGGATATTTATAAATGCAGTAGGTGGACCTACAACTTGAGGTAGATTCTGAAACATCTGGTCAAGGTATTATCACATATAAATTGGACAGGATTTGAACCCAGGACTACTACCCAGAAGCCCTGCACTGTATGGCGATTATTTATGATTCGTTCTGCAAACATACTCTGTAAAAAAAACTAAAGCTCTGTCTTGTGAGGATCTAATGTTTTAGTTAAAAGTTGAAAATAGTTCTACAACTATCACAAGAGCAATTTGAGAACTAACCTAAGAGTAGATACGACAACAAAAGCATCTCAAAACAGTTCAAAACTCATTCACTAGATTACGCCAGCCGAGCAGCAAACTGTGAGTGGGAATGAGAAAACACAAGCTGGACAAAAACAGATGAGTGAAAAATCAAAAGGGTAAAACTCATATTAGTTGAATCGGGCAGATGATTAGGTTGTGAGATGGGGGGACACAACCACCTCACCTTGAATCGTAGCTGAGAATTTTGGGAAGCGGACAGTCGAGTGATGCGTGCCTCGACCTCTCAACTAGCGCTAGGGCAAGACCCCGAATGCTACAGAAAACAAATCAGTTCTAACCATGTCTAATAAAAATTAGGCTACTTAAAACTTCTATAGCTTAATGATGTTAGGCCTAATGGTTACAATACACAGTAGTCCAGTCAACTTTGAGCAAAAGTATAAAGAAATCAATGCTTGTACAAAGAGAAATATGTAATTGAACATTTTAAATTGTTTTCAATTGTAAAAAAAAAGGTTGAAGAGATATATTTTGCAGAAATGTTTGCAAATACTTTGTTTTACAAGATAGCAAACTATCATGGTAGAAACAATAAATTTGTTTACTTTGCAAACTTAATTAAAACGTCTTAAAAAATTAATATCCATAGGTACTGGTTTTGTCTCTGAGATTTTTTCATACATGTTCTATTCATTTTTAATCATAATCTCTATGGAACAACAAAATTCCTAACTAAAAAGCTTTCTTTTTATTTCAACTTTCTGGTAAAATACAATAATACTATTTGACTGGAATACTGACTAAATGAGATACTGTATATTAATTTTGGCAAAGACTAAAATGCATTTAAAGAAAGAAATTAAACATGCATCAAGATGTTTTTCAATTTTCACTGGGTTAACAATAGCCCCTTTTGAGCACTGGTAAGCCTAATTCTTTGTTTTTAGCGAATTTCCCTATAGGGAAGTAGCTATTACCGTAGGTGGCACGGTAAGACCTAGACCCGGGACCGATTTACTTTTTCATTTTGATGTCCCCAGAGGCCAAAAACACTATTCGTTCAAATTTTTATATATGTATATATATATATATATATAGACTTATATATATATATATATATATATATATACGTCCGTGAACGCGATAACTTGAGTAATTTTTGTCCGATTTTGATGAAATTTGGTTTAAAGGTGTAAAGCGGGATAAACTTGAATGAGTTCGCGAACCAGCACGATCGGACCATGGGAACGGGGCTTTACGGGGGGTTTTATGGGGTAAAAATTGGTTTTTCTCACTTTTGACCCTCAAAACACAAAATTTCCCAATTTCTCTTTAGACCTTTTCAAAGAGCTTAAAAAAACAAATAATTTAGTATGTAAAAGTATTTTTGTTCGATTTGTAACGGAGAAAATTAAAAAAATTGTAAATTTAAAATTCCCATGTTATTCTTATGGAGAATATTGTCAAATGTTGTAGTTTGCTTGTTTATGAATATATTTTGATCAAACTTGGCAAATTTATTTATTTTGTACTAAGCTATCAATATTTTACTTAAAAACATACTTTATTAGTTTCCTTGTAGCAGCAAACCTAGGTACTCGTTAAACCTAATGTTATTAAAATATATTTAACTGAAAATCAATTCAGACAAATGGAAATTCGCTTAGTCGGCAGGTTTGCTGCGGCGGGGGTATTATTTTGACACAATAGGTTAAAAAAACTAGTTAAGGCTGCAAAAGATTGACAGAAGAAATTGTGCATCTACAAGATAAACTCATTTAATTCCACAATCTCTTTACCTACTACATTTTTGTTTATATATCTAGGTAAGTATAACAATCCAGCGAAGTGACAAAATACAAATTTTAAAAGGATTCATTTAATGGTTTCATGCATAAAACTGTCAGCTAGGAGAAGTACCTAGCATCAGTTTGTGCTTTTAGCGAATTTCCCATATAGGGAATAAGCTATACGGTAGGTCGCATGGTAAGACTTGGACCCGGAACCGATTTACTTTTTCATTTTGATGTCCCTAGAAGCCTCAAACACCATCCGTTTAGATTCATATATATACAGAGTGCAGCAAAAAACCAATCTATTTTTTGCAGCGTACTGTTCAGCAACAGGTCATCTGAGGGTGGTGGGGGTAGGCTCGTTGGAAAGCCTATTCGATGCTATTATCTGTAGTCATAGAACAGTGGTTACCTTAGCAACACGCGATTGTTATAGAGCCGTTTTAAAAAGTAATGATTAAGTCATTGCAACTTGGCGGCATTTCCATGCATTCTTTAAATTATGTCGACATGGAGAGGTTCCGGTGCGATTATCTGTATGGATAATCAACTAAATTAATCTCTAGGGATAAGAATTAAGATCGAACCTCAAAATTAGTTTTACCGAGCGGTCAGACATGTTCAAAGCAGATGTTTGTTTTCGGGCATGCCTGCGAGGCTGTTTTCCACAGCAGTACGGACTCAATCAAATGTTAGTAATATAACGTCCTATCTGGCTAGTTAGCTTCCTTTTGAACGCAGAAGCCATTGTTCTTAAGTTGGTAACAGACCACATGATTGTGCCACTTGACAGAATCAACGTCGCCCTAATTAAAAAAAAGGTACTTTCCTGTTAACCCATTGGCGCCGACTTACGAGCGTTACTCGTACGGCCGCTGCAGGCCGACTTACGAGAGCCGCTCGTGTCACCGCTAGGCAGCGCCATTTTTTATTTAGTTATTATTATTTTTCGCCCTTTTTGTTTCTTCTTACTATTATAATGTTTATAAATATCTTGCTTCTTGATTTGTGTATTTACTCATTTATTTTAGCGAATAACAAACAATTTTGTGTTGCCATGGAAACCACATATCACCAAAAATCAGCTGCGGTAAGGTAAACAAACAATTTTTTTAAAATGTTATTACTTATAAAAGTACACAACTTTTGATTTTTCTACGTAGGGAATCGATCGACCTTTATAATAGTAGTGTTATTTGGTGTCTGGATTAATCTTGGAATTTGTATATCAAGTTTACTTTCAAAATATTGTTCTGAAAATTTTTATTTTTATAATCTTTATATATAGGCTATATTTTTTTTTAGTTTAGAACTTTGACTATCCAATTAACACTTTTCTGTAGACAATTTTACTGTGAACAAAATGGTGAAAGAATTATTAATTTATTACCTAAGGTTTTCTTTCTATAGCAGTTAGAATAAAAGTCTACAAATTCGGTAAAATTAATTGCCGCCAGAGGGTGCTGCAGGTAGCGGATTAATTCCTTCCCCAATGGGTTAAAGGGAACATTCATTATTATCATTATCGATGGTTTTTTTCTCGATATATCGATATTTTTGTTTTCCGATCTATTACAAATTGACAACAACTAACTGATCTTGTTTAGGCTAAAATAGTCTACTATGGATTAAGAAATGGAACTGTTCTAAGCTAACCTAATTTAACCAACCAAACTTGCTGTACCATTTAAAAATTCCGTTTGGGGTTGAATATAAAAGGCAAGTTATAAACACGGAATTTTTAAATATTACAGCAAGTTTGGTTAGTTTATTTTTAAGTTTGGTGTATGTTAGGTAATTTTTTTTAGAAAAGTTTCATTTCATTAATGTTTGTTGATACTGAACAATATTTATTGTAGTTGTCAGCTGATATGTTTCAATTTGTTAATATCGATATATCGAGAAAAAAATCATCGATAATAATGAATGTTCCCTTTAACAGGAAAGTACCAAAAAAAAAAAAAAATGCACAGAACTGCAACTGAGTTTTCTTGTGTCTGACTTTCAAAACTTATTCCCAAATTTTCTCTAGACCATTTTGAAGAGCTTAGAAAAATTATTTAGTAGCCTATATTGAAGTGTTTGTCTGATTATTGGTTACAGAGAAAAATGTAAATCAAAAATTCCCATGTTAATCTTATGGAATAAGTAAACTGTTGTAGTTTGCTTGTTTATGGATATATTTGGATCAAACCTGTCTGGCAAATCTATTTATTTTACACTAAACTATTAATATTTTACTAAAAAACAGACTTTATTACCCTCCCTGTATGCAGAAAACTTGGGTTAAACCTTATGTTATTTGAATGTATTTAGGCTAATTGAAAATCAAATCAGGCAAATGGAAATTTGCTTAGTCTGCAGGTTTGATGCGGCGGGGGTATTTTCTCGTGTGTCAGTGCAAAAGAGGCCCAAGGCAGCGATGTCGTGTGTTCCGTTCCTGGTCACTGCCTTAAACATTGTATCAGTACAGTTCACCTTCGTACTGTATCGGCTCACCCCTTGCTTTGCTCGATACATTCCACGGACAGATCTGTAAGTCTATGTAGATGGGCAAATGCAAAGTTAAAAAAGGCCACCAACCTCTTAAAAAAAAAATTTCTTCTGATCGCGGCAACATCCGTTTATCTTCCAAGCGATCATGTGAGCCCCTTTTATTATTTTACACAACCACGGCAATTTATTGTGATAGATACTTAAAAGGCTTAAATTATGTTTTCAATTTCTGTTACTAATTTTTTGTGATTTCAGGAATTTCGTTTTGATTTCCCTTGATCGCGGCAATACCTGTGATCATTACTTGCAATCACGGCAAGGCCAGAATTGAAGTAACGTTGTAAGTGTCTTATACGATCGCAAAAACATCCGTGATTTAATCTCCTGCAATTACCTCAATATCCGTGACTATTCATTTTGTTCGCAGCTATATCTGTGATCATGTTTTAACCGCAGCGAAATTAGTGATGAATTCTTGCAATAGTAATGGTGGCATCTTCCCATATTCGTGATAGTTTCCCGCGATTGAGATTTTCAAAACGAGAGAGGCCATTCGGCAAGTGTTTAACTAATTTTGGAATTTGTTTAGAAAAACTAAATGGGAGAAGGGTGCCCTGGGCTCTCGCCCCATCTAACCATAGGTAAGTTTGGCTCTGGAGGAGACTGTGAAGTTTGTTAGTAGGTAGGACTTTTTTAAACACTTTCTAAATTAAGCATTAAACTCTTGACGTGCCATTTTAAACCCAAATACCGTATATTTAACACGAAAGATTAAGTTTTACAGAATACCCTACATTGTCCGAACAAGGGATGCGTGTGGACAGTCTAGTCAAGTACTGGGTAAGTTGAACAAATCACCAAATAATGGGCATAGTAACTGGGCCGAGCAACTTGCCTAACATACTTTCTGTGTAAACCAGGCTTTAGGCTAAAAATTTAGTTATGAAAGAACCTTTTCAGAGTTTTTGTCATTTTCGATTACAGTAGACCCTCTCATAACTGACCCTAAACCGACCGGACCTAGGTCGGATAGCCCAAAAAGTTGGTTAAAACGGGCAATCTCTTAAAACATAACAAAATTAAGTGCTACCTATTCATTTGGAATTATATAGCCCAATCATTTTTGAAGGCGTACTTTCATTATTCGTTAAATAAACTAGACCCTACACTTATCTCCTTTTTTCGTAAATTATCAAGCTTTAGGCCTAGCCTATATTTAAAAAATGTACTTAAAAAATGGTAAGTTAAGAAATTGTTGCCTCCTACTTTTTTAATGACTGGTTTGTAATAAATAACTGGTAGGCACTCTAGGCCTAACTTTAAAACAAAACTTTTCCAAGGAATAATAGTTTATACAATATATTAAAACAGTACAGTAGAACCCCTCATATCCGGCCCCTTCAAGGAAGCCAATATTAAAATGTTTTTCTCACAGCTTACAGACGTTTAGATGCAAGCACTAGTCTTTGCGACTGCTCAAGTGATAAAATAAATTGTTCTAACTACTGTATTTAACTGTTTGTTTATACATTTATTTGCTGTGTCACTATAGCCTACTCAGTTGAACTAGTAGGCCTAAACTCTGATCAGTTGGTTGATTATTTCCAATGTGGGGTTAGTAGGCTACAGTACATTCATTTTGGATTTCACAAAATTTATAAGAATGTTGAAATATGCATGTAGGCTACCATTGAAGTCCTAATGATCCTGAAGTCCAATTTATTGTCATTTTTACCTCCATTTAATAGTTTTTGTTACCGTACCCGGAATCATAATATTTGTACGTTCATTGCTTAACAACTTTAACCTACAAATAGGCCTATTTTTTTATCTTTGTACAAAAATGTTTATTTTTATAAAAATAATCCCAGAACAGACTTGAATGATAGGCCTACTTTTCATTGCATATATTGATTGGGTATATTATTATTAGGTAGGCCTATGAATTATAATTTTCATAGCTAACTTAAAGGATTGTTAATCTGGCCTAATTGTTGGCTGGCCAGGGGCTTGGTACCTACCGTGGTGGCCGGATAAGAGGGGTTCAACTGTCTTAAGATTTAGGCGATACCAGTTGGCCTATCGTATCCCGCAATCGCGGCAATACCCATGAGCATATTTCGCGATTTTGGCGACACCGGTAATCAACTCTCGCAATATCCATGAGGATATTTTGCAATTCGGCTACACTGATAATTTTTTCCCGCGATCGTGGCAATTCCCGTGGCAATTTCCGAATTGAATATTTTGCGATTTCGGCGACACCGCCGATTGTATCCCGCGATCGCGGCAATACCCGTGAACATATTTTACAATTTCGGCGACACCGGTAATCGTCTCTCCCGATCGCGGCAATACTGGTGAGCATATATTGCGGTTTCGGCGACACTGATAGGTAGCTTAATCGTTTTCCGCTATCGTGACAACACCAGCCGTGCATGTGTGTTGGCATGTCTTTTGGTTAACCGACATTTCCGATGACCGAGCTCCGGATTCCCGGAGGTTTGGATTAATTTTTGGAGTTTTCCAAGATATTTCAAGGTAGGCCTACCTAAGATAAAATTTCTGAAATTTTCTCGGTTTTCCCGGTGAATAGACACCATGTCATATTATATTTATTGGCTAACAAAATTTTACATAACATGGAAAATCTATCCTCAGTAAAATCCCCAATTAGTAGGCCTAATCTTCAATCAAGCAAACTGGTACCGGTAGCCTACCTATTAAAAAACAAAAAAGTTAAAAGGCATAATTTTGAGCCTATGGCAATGGACTCCGGGTTGCCGTGTAATAGGCCTAGGCTAATACCAGCATATTAGCAGGTCAATTTGTTGTAAAAGTGATAGGTCTAACCTCGCAATCAAGTTAAATACCAAAGAGCAACTTAGGCTACCTATAAGTTATATATTCGTAAATCAAGTTAAGACTAATAACTGAAATCCACTAACCTTTCTGCATCTTCAAGCTGTTGTGCATCTTCAACTCCGACATTCTCAACCAGAGATTCGGCTTGTTGATTGGTAGGGATCACTGACTGTTCCACAGGAATATCCACAGGGTAAACTTGAACATTTTCCATTCCAGAAGGCACGGCATTAACTGCACTTGAAGCGTAAGTTTGAGGTACTCCACTCGCCACTGTGGGTGCCACAGATGCGGCAATTCCTTGAGTTACATACTGGGGCTGAACTAAAGTAGGTCCTTGGGAGGTAGCTTGAGGACTGATGACAGAATTTTGAGTGGCAGGTATTGACAAATTTGCAATTCCTGGCACCGGTTGTGAAGTCACCATAACTGGGACACCCGATGTTGGAATTTGGGACTGAGGAATATGCTGAGGTATCGTATTAACCGAGGGAAATTGTTGAGGAATTTGTTGTTGTTGGGTCTGGTTGATCGATCCGACAGGATAACTTTGCTGAATAGCTATATTAGGGTTCGGTTGACCTTGTGGTTGTAGTACCGTGTTAGGTATAGGCTGGACACCTATGCCTTGGATCTGAGGGTTGGTAAAATACTGTGTTTGTTGCACAGGTATTAAATTTGGCTGGCTTTGCATACCTTGTTGCATTAAAGGTTGTGATGTCTGAATGTTATGATATTGTTGTTGCTGTGTGTTCTGTTGTTGCATAACTTGAGGGCCGGTCCCGATAACCCCTCCCATGGGAATCTGCTGTACAGCGACATTCTGCATATGTTGTGCTTGATTTTGTTGCATCTGAGAATGCACCGTCATCTGGGAAGTTTGCTGGGGTAATTGCTGACCTTGGTTTTGTAACACGGTCTGAGGCACCTGCATGGGTATCTGGTTTTGATTCATCTGCTGCTGGACAGGCATCGAAAGATTATGCTGATGTTGAACAGGTTGTTGCTGCATGTGCTGAGGCATGGGTGTCTGTTGCTGAATCATTCCTTGGGTGGTTTGCTGAACCGTTTGCATGGGTGGTTGTTGATGGTGCATTTGCTGGATTTGAGGTTGTTGATACTGCTGTTGAGGAACCATATTTCCACTGTTTGGAGGTTGATGCATTTGCTGATGCATCGGTTGCATTTGGATACCTTGGTGTTGCATTTGCTGCATAGGTTGTTGCATTTGCTGATTTTGCAATGAAGCCTGTTGCCCGTGCATGTTTGTAGCCGATAAAACTTGTTGCATCTGTTGAGGTTGCAGGCTTTGATGTTGATTGGTTCCCATTAGTGGATGTTGATTTTGGACAGAGCTTAGACTTTGGGCCTGTTGCTGCATCACTTGAGGTTGGGACGTATTCATGATGGGCTGAATATTTATGCCTTGGCCACTGTATTGCATTGTTTGTCCAGGGGACACTGAATTATGTCCAGTAACGCCAGACACAGAATGGGTGCTGAGGTTAGTCTGATCTTGATGTAAGCTATTTGAATTCATATTGTGGTCAATGTGAGTATGTTCTTCAAGAGTTGATGCAGTATTAGGATGAGACATTGAAATTCCACTATCTGCACACTGATTAGTATTAGATACATCAGATGATTCAACTTTAGCTGCATTAGAATTAACCACACTACCTTGTGATTGAAGCTGGTGCTGTTGTTGCTGCTGCTGTTGTTGTTGCTGAAGCATAGTGTGATCAAGATAGTCCATACACATCCATCTTCCTCGCTTAAAAGGTTCAGTACTTTCGATTTTAACAACTTTAAACCTTTCGTTTCTCCCTGTATGAGTATGCAAGTCTCTCATATCGCCTTCTAAGTGTTTGCTACCAACAATGCCAAGATTAATAACATTATCACTAACATTTACATGTAAATCGTTACCTGCAGCATTATTCCCTCCACTTACATTGGCATTTAAAATATTACTACAACCTTCTGGTGTTGAGACAATCGCTAACCCATACTGTGAACTAGTAGGGATTACTGGGGCAGTACCTAGGGATGTTGATGAATTGAAAAATACATCATCTTTAGAAAAGGTGTCCTCTGAATAGCTAGGAGTTTCATTTTCTATATCTGTTGCTCTTGAAGTATCAATTACATCAGAAATATCCTCTGCATGAGACTCGTCTAAATCATCTGCTGAGTCGTCACCCCCATCGTTGCTCGTGTGTCCACCTACTGTCACACTTGTAATTTGAAATGAAGTCTTCTTCTTGGGAGCTGACAATGATGTAGGATGGTTCAGAATTTTATCGGAGTCACTTAACCTTATTGATTCACTTGTTGTACGATTAATCATATTCGAATATTTGTATTTCTCCACTACTTTCTGTGGGTTTTGGCTAGTACTGTCAGCCATGTTAAATGTGTCTACAGAACTGCTTATCCCTAGACATTGTAAGCCACTGAATAACCATTGTACTTCCTAATTTATAAGTCGTTAATGCAAACGTAAAATGCATGTTAAACACTGAAATACAATCATAAATATTAAAATATATTACACCAGATATCACAACACAAACACTAACACCACAGAAGCTCTCTTAACTTAGGTCAAAAGATGGGAAAACTCCATCCATCCACAAAGTTGACCGTCATAGCAGGTTGACAAACAAAACCGATGATAAAGTGGGTTTTTTTTTTACTAAACACTATATGAAACTACATTTACGAGGCGAATAGTACAAAGACAATCTCAATAAACGATGAGTACGAAAATAATGTACAATATTTATCGTATGTTGTTATATTTAAGGAAGATTGCTGGTTTTATATTGCTGGAGTATGTTTTATCTATGACATTATTTATTCACCATCCCCGTCCCGTTAATTAGTTATTTTGAAGAATGGTTTGAAGTATTTCAAAATGTTTTATCATAGATTAAACATAGTATGTTTAAACTATGGTTTTATTTATTTTACGGGCAATAGGTTTGTCGCCATACCATTAAGAGAGCATGTTGAAACTAATGAAACACCATTGGCCAACATTTTCTGCATGGTGTGCCATTTCGGTTTAGTTTATTGTTTCTACTTGGTCTAGTCATAGATAAAACATAAGTTACTCATCATGGTCTAGTGCATAATTTTCATGACTTAAGAGAACTGGAAATTTAAAAAATACCCCCGTCGCAGCAAACCTGCATACTAAGCGAATTTCCATTTACCCGGCTCGATTTCTGTTAAAATATTCCCTAAAAATTTTCAGATTTATTTCCTATTTAAATAACATTAATTTTAGTGAGTAGTTAGGTTTGCTGCTACGGGGAAGATGTTGAGGTGTGTTTTTTCAATTGAAATATTGATAGCTTAGTATGAAATAAACCAAATTGCCAAATTTGATTAAAATATATCCATAAACAAGCAAACTACAACAGTTTTTTTATTCTCCATAAGAATAACATGGGAATTTTAAATTTACAATTTTTTAAATTTTCACCGTAGTCAATGAACATTCAAAAACACTTCAATATACTAAATTATTTGTTTTTTTAAGCTCTTCAAAATGGTCTAGAGAGAAATTTAGAAAGTTGTTAGGGTCAAAAATGAGAAAAACCCATTTTACCCTATAAAACCCCCCATAAACCCCTGATCCCATGGTCCGATTATGCTGGTTCGCGAACTCGTTCGAAAAATGTAGGTTTACACGTTTGTACCAAATTTCATCAAAATCGGTTCAATTTTGCTCGAGTTATCGCGCTAACGGACACATATATAAATATATATACATATATATATATGAATTTGAACGGATGGTGTTTTTGGCCTCTGGGGACCTCAAAACGAAAAAGTAAATCGGTCCCGGGTCTAGGTCTTACCATGAGACCTACGGTAATAGCTTATTCCCTATATGGGAAATTCGCTAATAAGAGAACTGGCATGCTCTGTATTAACTGGTTAGTACAGTATTAGTGATTTGTCCAATTGTTATGCTACTGAAAGGCTCAGTAAAATATGATACAAACTTGGATCTCTCAAGAATGTAGGGGGGGGGGGGTTGTCAAGGCGCCACCAAGACAACCAACGCCACCTCGATGCTTCGGTCAGAGGCCCAGAGACCAACCACCACAATAAAACGAGGGAATTAGGATGTCTCAATGGGTGGAAGTGAAAATCTCTTTGATCATTGACTTCCCATGTAGCACAGATGGTTGGGCCAACGTTGGCCAACTGTGGGACAGTTGGTCGATGGTTGGTTGGAGCTTCCACAACCAACCAACCGTTGTCCAACTGTATATCTCGTAGTTGGGCCAACCAATATTTACAACTGTGGACCAACATTGGTTCATTGTTAATGAAATACATTAATATGAATTGCTGGGTATCATACATCAAGCCAACCGTTGTCCAACCGTTTTTCACTCCGTTGGACCAACAAAAGATACTTTTGTTGGACCAACGATGGTCCATAGTTGAGTTTACACGACTTTCATTCTCTGGGTCTAGCTTTCACAACATAATTATAATAAAATATCTGGTTTTACAATACCTTTATCAGTTCCAAAAGTTTCCAAAAGTTTTTGGAACTGATAAAGGTATTGTAAAACCAGATATTTTATATGTTACAGTTCCGGGGCTAAAACAATAAATTTTAATAATTATAATAATGCAAATATTTTTTAAATTAATATTCTTTAACTTACTTGCAACAATTTAAGGGGAAAGAGTAATTAATCATATAACAGTCAATTATAATAGCATTAATAATCTAACGGTAATTAATTAATCTATATTCAAATACCAGTATCCTCTTTAACTCCAAAAAAAAATAACTACTTATGATGCCTTAACAGATTAACAGAATCATATTATACTGTGTAGTATCAAAAATGTTTGAAGTATTGCGACTATTGCAACTGTCGGCTACTCTTTCACCACTTGAAATCTCTCTATATATACAATCACAGATAGCTCAGTGGTAAGGTAAGAGGCTCATAAGTCGAAGGACCCGGGTTCGAGACCCGTCTGGGCCAAAAAAATTTTGTTCTAGCTTTTTTTCAAAATTTGTTTTTATCAACTATTTTAATCAATTTACTCAACTAATAATTATGCTTTTCGTACTAAATCTTTATTATTTTGTGTGAAATAAAACGGTTGGTTGGATATTAGTTGTGTTATGGTTAGTTGGCCATCAGTATTTTTGGATGGTTGGGTTGGCTGGAAAACAGTTTAAAGAGGTGACATTTCTACCGTTGGCCAACTGTGTGGCTCCACAATTTACCAACGTTGGCCCAACCATCTGTGCTACATGGGTTCGATCTAGGATATTGAAACAGAGTATGTATGTTTGTTTGAGTGCTTTAATATTCTGACCATAGATAAAATATAATGTCTGAAACTTGTGTTAAAAACTGCCAGAACCGTTTCGGTCCATAAGAAGGGCAATGCTTCCATTTTGTTTAACTTTAGGCCTATTTCTATCTTGCATGTTTTCTCAAAGATTCTTGAGACCATAAAGAAGAAGCAGCTCATGTTGTTTTTTAAGGATAACAGCCTATTCACTGATGCCCAACACGGTTTTAGAAAAGGCCGCTCGACCACCACTGCCCTGTTGAGCCTGGCCGATACCATATCTGAAGCCTTTGGATGGCATGAGTCTGTCCAGCTTATAGCCTCTGAGACTTAAGCAAGGCTTTTGACATTGTGCCTCATGAAATCCTCTTACTAAAGCTAGGCAAATATGGCATTGGCGGCATTGTCCTCAAGAGCCTCTCAAACTATCTGAGTGATCGTAAACAGGTTGTGTCTCTGCAGGGGGCCCTTTCCAGCGTGGGCCATCTCTCACACGATGTGCCTCAAGGATCAGTTTTAGGCCCTCTTCTATTCACGATCATAATTAACGACTTACATATGAATGGGAGATTGTTATTATTTGCAGACGATACGACATTGCTGACCAAGGGTGCTAACATATTAACTATCTAGCAACAGAAGCTGAATATCTGCTTGAAAAAAACAAAAGATTGGTTCGTGACAAAAACAGACTCAAAATAAATTATGACAAAACCCAGTCACTAGTCTGCACCCTAAAACAAATAGTTGAGGAGGAGGGAGCGGTAAGGCTCCTAGGTTTCGTGGTAGATTCGAGGCTGAGTTGGAACCAACACATCTCGCATCAAGAGTCCTCCATCGCCTTAGAAAACTTAGGCCTGAAATTCCCGAAAATTCTCTTCTGTCAGTGTATTATGCGTTGTTCCACAGCCATGTGACCAATGCGCTAGTACTGTGGGGGCACTCCTCAGTGGCTGAAGATGTGCTGCTCTTGCAAAAGGCAGCCTCGAGGATAATAACATCTGCTGGCTACTTAGATCACTGCCGACCTATCTTCAAGGACCTAGGAGTCCTTACAGTATACAGCCAGTATGTTCTGGACATTCTGACCCTATTGAAGATCAACTTAAAGGCTCACCTTAGGAGAGAGGAGGTACATGCACACCACACCAGGAGGGCCCAAAACATATATTTTCCCCACTGTCGTCTCAGCCATACCTCGAGTAGATATCCACGCTCAGCCATAAAAATTTACAATACGCTGCCCACTCGAGTACGGGAGATGGGTGCGCCCTCTTTTTAAGAATTTACTAAAAGATATATTGATTACTAGCTGTAACCCGCGGGCTTTGCCCCGTTTAACTTCTTAATTTTCAAGATTATCTCGTTCGCATGGCTCAATCACGTCCTGGTTGAAGTTTGTTCGCTACGCTCACTCACCTTTAGGTTGGAGCTCGTTCGCTACGCTCACTCACCTTTAGGTTGGAGCTCGTTCGCTGCGCTCACTTGCCTTCAGGTTAGCTCGTTCGCTACGCTAACTCGCCTCCAGGTTGAAGTTCGTTCGCTACGCTCACTCACCTTTTGGTTGCAAATTAGCTGTTGTCATAAATGTAAAAGAAATAATAGTGCTGCACCCTGTTGGTAATCTTTGTAACTTAAATGCTATTGAACATCATAGAACAGAACCAACTTGTTTAATTGAAACAGCTGTTAAGATTCAATAATTCCATTTCTCATAAGGTTAACATGGGAAACTCCAGAGCCACTGGGGCGGAGCCCGAAAGGATTTTTGAAATAAGAATATGCCTATATGTTAATCGGGAATGTGAGCTATCATCATGCCAAATTTCAGCCCAATCCGACCAGTATTTTTCGCGTTCACTTGTCACAAACATACATCCAAACTTTCTCATTTATTAGTAGGAAAAGGCCACTCCTTAAAGGAACTTGAGGATGAGCCCCTTGTGAGATGAGTTTCTATCCGCCTTGCCAATAGAAACGGCCAAGTTAAGTTAGTGACTCGGTATAATTACCGTAAATAATGTACATAGTTTTTATATTTTATTGTTAACAAGTATAACGCAATCTATCAGACTAGTTCTGTCAAAGATGAAGAATTCAAGTACTGTATACAAGTAAGTAAGTAAGATATCTCATCTTCGTATAGTAAACCTGGAAAGACTTGTTCTTCTATCACAGTTAAATCTTTATATTCTCTATTTGGACAAGTTACTTTAAGTCATATTATACAATTATAATTCAGAAATATAATATTCAATCCTTGGTTGAAAATTATCTTCAATCAACCATGAACTTTTTTTGAGCAGCTGCATGGTACAAAAAATCACAGCCTTAATTAAGCTTGAATGAAAGACGGGATTGACTCAAATGAAACGGTACGGGAACGGGACAACGGGACTACGGGTACGATTCGGCAGCAGGATACAACAGCTTGTCAAATAAATGTCAACACTATCACAACAAAACATCACCGACCGAACCGATTCGTGTCGTGTCGTGAGACTGAGAACAGAGACTGACTACTGCAGACAGATGATAGGCTAAAGCTACTAACTTAAAATGTTTACTGTCATAATCACAAGTCCGAGAGGGTTCATATTTAAGTTTTGATTGATTAGAGTTTTAATAATCATTTATACATTGTGCTTTTTTTCATTTTGCATTTCGTGTTTAACAGTTTTAAGAGGTCAAAATATTTGTGTTAAACATCAAAACATGGTTAAACTCTGAATGATCTGGTTTGACTACTGACTAGGCCTACTATCCTAGGAAGTATAGGGTAGATTCATGAATGTTTTGGTTTGACTATTAGTTTTAAAGACGGCCTAGATTCTTTTTTACAGGCCTAGGCCAATTTTACTGATGATATTATATTATCTGATCATTTGACTAGATAGTTATGGCTGATGTTATCTCTAAAGAAACCTACTCTAAAATTCATGAGTGGGAATCATCAACTAATTCATTAGCTCCCCTAAGTAGTTTTCAAAGAAATGCGATATTAGATTTATCTGATGAAATATCTCAGTTGCTCCTTCACGAGGTTAGTATAATGTATTGTAAATCTATAAGTAGGCCTATATCAATCGTTATTGTTTTTGGATGAATTGGCCAAGCATTTTTTAAATGAGTAGGCCTAGGCTACTGTAGTTCTTTAAAGCATAAGTACACCTCTGTTATGTTTTTTTATTTTTCTTAAGGAAAACTAACTTAGCCTATTTGCACAACTGTTGATCATATTAGGTAGACTTCCGTATCTGTTGTCAAAAACAACCAAATGAAAATATCGATTGGTTAGTAAGGTTAACCAAACGATATAAAAATAAAATACCGTAATCGATATATTGAATAATTTTTCATTCGGTTGTTTTTGACAACAGATACGGAAGTGTACCCATCATATTAGGTAGCAGCCAGAAAATTGATCTCTGTGCCCTCCTGAACTATATGCTAAAATGTATTTCTTTGAGTGCTAAGTAATGTAAGTTAGGCCTATTTATGCAAATAAACTGAAAAATGAGAATATTATTTTATAGGTAGCTTAAAAACAGGGAAAAGTAAAGTATAGGCCTATTGTTATTCATATTCGTAGGCCTTCATCATTAACGTTTTGGTAAGTTAGAAAGAAATTTGCCTATACATTATGTCTCCTTCCATAGTCCTTTGCTGTAAGGAATTGGACAGGTCGGGTTAATACAAAGAATGCACTAAGTTATGTTAGATTTACAGAATCTTATTCATAATTTACATTACCTATTCTATTTACTCGGAGGGTTTAAGCATAGGCTATACTTTTTGTATTTTGTTCAAGGGAGAAGATAAACTAAGTGATGACTCTGGCCAGAACCGTTGGCCAGATGAAGAACCACATTTGTTAAAGGGTGTTGAAACATCTATTGAATCAACAAACCAAGTGGGTATATTTTACTAGCCTATATGTCAATATAGCATTTACAGTATACCTTACAGTAGCCTAAGTTACTCACTGACCAAAGTCAACGTTAGTTTTTGTCTTTATCAGTAATGATTAGAAATAGAAATTTGTTTTCTTATCCCTCTGCTCAGCCTCTGAACCATCGTTAAACCTTAAACATTATCCCTTGCTTAGGCATGTGCAATTATTTTGTATTATGTTATACTCTTACATAATAGAGAGGGAAACATACCATTTTTGCAAGGGGACACAAAACGACAAAAGATGTTCTGATAAGAGATCGACTTTATTCAACAACTGAAACTAATGTGTGTGTTCAGATAAATATACTTTACTTAATTTAAATATAGGCCTATACATCTACTTAATATAACTTAAATATGATAAATAACTTAAGAGAAACACTTGATAGGCATTTTGGTTTAATTATTTAAATACCACAAGACAAAGTTGTAAGTAGGCCTAGATGAAAAACAAAAATTGTGTCATAAGACTGAATGCTAAGAAATATTCTTGGATGCATTACAAATATTGTAATACCGAATATTGAATATTGAATTAGGTTTTCAGGTATTTTAACGTTCTGTTGATAGTTTCTGCAGTGGTATTCAAATCTTGAGAATGATTGGTTGGAAGATGAAGATTCAATCTACACAAACTACTGCAAACAGCTTGCAGAGCGTAAGGAGGAATGCTCTCAACTTCTCTCCCAGGTAGTAAATTATGTAAAACTTATACAAAACTACCATTCTAATACATAGGCCTAGTAAGTTATGCAATTATTTCAATTTTAACAAATTTCTGACCACCACATGGGAAAATGTCCAAGCTTAGCTTCTTAAAAATCTTCTTAATTAATAGGCAAGAATAAATAAATTATTTGTACCCATGTCTGTAGGCCTATACCAAAGATTTTAAGTTGTACAAAATATTTTATTGAGTATTAAAGTCCAGTGGTTTGGTAAACTCTCAATCGTACTTTTTGGTGATAAAATGTGTGCGTTAAACGCAAGTCATCGTTTCCAATTCATAGAAGTGTTTTTATTAATCGTAAAATCCTCTGTATACATAGCTTCTTGGACCATACCCAGAGATATGTTGTAAAATAAACAGTTCTTAAGTGTTAATTAGGCTTACAAGACTATAAACGTGATAAAAATGTGTTCACAACAATATTCCTACAAATATAAAATATGGATAGTAAATTACATATTCTAGGGTCCAGTAGCTTACATCTTCCATTTTTACCCTATAGCCCCGTTCACACGGGGCGAGTTTACAAGCTACAAGCCGGCTTTTTTACACGCAGCTTAGTAAAATAGCTCAGTGTGAACGACGTACTCGCTCAAAAGCTGCTTGTAAAAAAGCTCTGGAAAAAGTTGACGCTGCCGCTACTTTACACGCCAACTCGCCAGCTTTTGAGCGAGTAGGCGTGTAAAGTAGCCCAGTGTGAACACAGTTGCTTCTGCGCGTGTTATTCAAAGATGGTGGAGGATTTGGTTCAAGCCAGCAACTGAGCGAGTGGAAAAAGCATCGTGTGAACGACTACAGGCGCACTCGCCGACTCGCCGGCGTCTTTCTACACGCCGGCGAGTTGGCTAGTGGACAAGCTCCGTGTGAACAAATACAAGCACACTCGCCAACTCGCCGGCTTCTTACACGCCAGCGAGTAGCGTGTAAACTCGCCCCGTGTGAACGAGGCTTAAATGTTACAAGCATCTATTTTAAAGCCAAAACCATTGTGGGATAATTTGAATATGTTACTTTAAAAATGTAATAAAAAGACAAATTTTGTAGTGATAATATTTAGATATTTTGATGCACGCACCTTTTGACGTCTTGAAGTCGAGTTGTAGTTAGGGGCGCCCCTGTGATGATGGGAGATGCTTTCACTACTTGCACTGTTACCTAGTTTTGTCCTAGTTCTTTGCAACACTGAATTTAATATAATAATGTGAATGTCCAAAACAATAAATAAAACAAAAAACTGCTGCTTGCTTAACTAAAATAATAATAAACTGGTATTTTAAAAAGGGAAAGTAAATGGCAACTGATGGCCTTAGAATGAGAATTGAATAATACAAAGTTACTGATGAACTTAGTTTAGAAGTTTAGTGGACTGTAGTTGAGTTGAGAGTGACCGGTTGACCGGTAGAAAGAAGGGGGGAGGGAGAGAGAGAGAGAGAAGATATGACGGTCTGTCTCTATGGAATTGAAACAATTGGATTGGGACTGAACAATATGGAACTGAAATAACATTATGGAATGAAATATTCTTCTAAGGCCAAATGGGAACAAACAATATAATAGAAATCCTTGACAACCATATATGTAGAAACTCATTGCCAATCAACTTTATTTGAGTTTACCTGTCAAATATTAGGCTTACTCATACTAGATTTATTTACTACTTTGTAGGTCGAGTCATCACTGAGCAATCTGAATGAACTGAATCGAGAATACCGTCAGGTGACCAACAGGACCAACTCACTTCATCAAGTCAGCGAGCAGCTTCTCGCAGATCAGGCATGAGTTTAAAATTATTTTTATTTTATCTTGATTGTTTCTAGGCCTTGGCATATAATACATCTTTATGGGAACTGCCTGGTGATTGATATTAGCTATGGAATTATAATTCATTTCCATCCTAGCTCCTGAGGTGTTATATTCAATGTGACAAATAGGTTTACATAAGCCTACCTTATAATCCAACAAACAGCTCATTTTTTGTCACAGTTGTTTACATGTTTTGGCTTGTATCATAAATTGTTATAAATTGAGCTGTTTGTCGGATTATAAGGTATGTAAACCTATTTATCACATTGAGTAGCTATGGATTGTTAATGTTATATTATTGTTCACTAAATATTTCAGATAAAGACTGGTTCTACAAAACACACATAAATCTGTAATCTCTCTACCTTCACATGTGCTCGGTCAAATTAGATTACTACTAGCCCTCTAGGTCAAACGAGAGATAGATAGGGGCTTAACATTAGTGTGATTGGTTAAATTTAATTGGGTTACCTAGAGATAATCTGGCCTACTAGTTACAGTACCCTTTCTAAAACCGACCCTTGATATACCACTGCTAAGTTTACTACCTTTGCTACGGGAAAAAATATAAAAATTAAAACAGTGTAGTGAGGCAAAAACATGTTTCTATCTGAAGTAATGGTTATGTTAAAAAAAGGCCTAACTTCAACCCAAGAACAAATTATGCGCTTACATTTAAATATTGTACTCGTTTACCAGATGAAGCTGAGCGACATTAACAACGCAGTGAGTGAGAGACTGGACCAGTTCAAGGTCCTGCGGCTGATAACTCAGAGGCTGGAGTCACCAGCGTTGTCTGTCAACAGCTCTACCTTCACCCAGCTGTTGGACCAGCTGGACGGAGCCATACAGTACATGCAGTCACACGTCAGTAAACATTCTATGTGTGATTTACTAAGGAGATGAGCGGTAAAAGTGTCATAAAATAACAGAAGTTTTATCATTATCATTTAGGTACTTTGGTATTATACCAACCACATCGATAAATCGACTTACTAGGCCTAGTTTAAATAACAAAATCTTCATAACAAATAAAATAGGTCTACATACCATAAGTCGTCAATCCTACTCTGAAAATCTTCCTAACCTAACATAAAACATAGTCCACCATAAAACATAGGTTAGGTTGGATTTGATGTGGTCAGTATAGTTCCAAAGTATCATCATTTTTACTAGAGGTTACCAGGTTGCTAGAGGTTGCAGGCCAGACTTATTTACTATGACTTGAGTAAAAAATGTTGACCTTTGGGTCTCAGACTCTGGCTGAGATCAGGCTGCTTTGGAAAGTATTGATATAAAAAATATTAATTGCTACTTTACAAAGGGTCTTCACAGATGCTTTCTGCTGAGTTCACCTTATAACTGCTTTTCACACACCTCAAACATAAATGACCCGGCCTGAGCTCAATCCGAAAATTATTTCTGGTCCAAACCGATACCTCAGGCCAACTGTTAGTCCAGCTCTACCTTTAAATTTTTGTAGCCTGCAGACATCTAATTATTACCATTATTGTTTTAGGAATAGAATGCTACCTTGCTGCATATATATTGTAGAGTGAGATCTGTGTAGTGCCGTTTATGAATAAGAACACCTGTTTCTTTTGCTTGGACGATTTATTAAAAGTCAAATAATCAAGGAAAGGAGTGTCTAGTTTCAAACCCTCAAAAAGCTACTTTCTCTATATTGAACAAACGACCTAATGAACTAACTTGTGTATTTAAATATAATAAAAATTTGCCTTAAGACTTGAAATTGACAACGATTTTTTACCCTCAACATTAATGGAGACAATTGCACATATTAATAAAATGGAACATGTTTATCCATCTCTTAATTACACAGATTAAACCAGCTCGTTTGCAACTATTGTTCAGTCTAAAACATATTTGAATTTATTGAACTGCTGTCTCTTGCAGCCAAACTTTAAAGAGTCATCAGTGTACCTGGCCCGGTATCAGCATTGCTTGGCTCGAGCTGTGAGTCTCCTACGATCATTTGTCACCTCTGTGCTGATCCATGCTACTCAGCAAACAGCAGCATATCCAACCAGCGATGCCAGCCACTACGCTCGCTTCCAAGCACAGGCCATCAAATTGAAACCTGTACTGGAGCTCATCGAAAAAAGAAGAGACAAATTTTCCGAGTAATATCATCAACTAGTACTTTTCCTTTGTAACTGTTATGTAAAATTTGAAACACCTTAGCAGTAAGTTATTTTCTTCTGAGTGGTAGTACGTACTAAACTAGCCTTAATGTACTTCTAGCCTAATTGTAATCACATGGCAAGTGGGAAATTGTTGACAAAACCCAGAAGTAATATTGCATTGGTTTTTAGCTTAGGGATAACGTCTAAAGTACAGACAGTTTGAGAAAAAATGCCATATTTTAGCACCCATACTTGGTAATCATTAGAAATAAAATTAAAGTGTATTTTTTTTTTAAATTTAATAATACCGTATTTAATTTAGTATATGGTTACTTTTAGCTTTGACAAACAGTTCTCGAGATTTTAGCCAAAAAAAAAATAATGGGGCCTGTTTTTGCTATTTTCCACTAGAATTTGCCTCATATTTATGGGGACTTATGGTATAATCTTCCTTAGGTACTTAGAAATATGTGTGAAAAGTTTCAAAACTTTCGGATATTTTTGGAGGTTGGGTCATTAATTTACATACCGATTGACAGTACGGATAACAAGGCCGGTTGTACGTAAAAACGGTATATTTTGACTGGACTATAACATAGGACTTCTTTATGACAAATGACAAATGGCAATTCTTTATTGCACATAACATCTTTTAAAGTTATTACAAACATAATACACAGACAGGTACATTGTCAAGGTTTCTAATAAATAAGGAACTAAATATATAACAAACATTTAGCCAGTACAGTACCCCTACAAAAGCTACAGCATGGTGGAACTGTTTATGTTAGGAGAGGTTGATGAGAGAATTGGTGTCTGTTACCAGGAGTCGTTGAAAAATTCCTCAAGAGTGTAATATGCTTTTTCCACTAAAACTGTTTTGATTTTGTCTGTAAATTTTGCTAAGTTTAATTGCTTTAAGGAGTTTGGAATTTTATTGTAAATTTTTAACCCCATATAGAGAGGACTTGTTTAATATTTTTTTAAATTATGAGTGGGGTATTAAAAAATGTCTTGTCTTCGGGTATTATATGAGTGATTACTAAGATGATTTTGAAACATACCAGGATTTCCATGAACCATTTTTAAAATTTCAAAAACGTATATTGAAGTTAGAGTTAAAATTTTAAAATTTCAAAACAACTGTCTACATGATGTTTTTTGGGGGCAATTTGCAAGAGTTCTGATTATTGACTTTTGTTTTTTAAAAACTTAGTAAAAAAGTAGGTTGGAGAGAAAAAACAATCAAACAATTTTTCTTCTCTTCAAACTACTCTCTGAAGTCATAAATCAGGAGGAAATATCAGTGTATGTATTGTGTTCTTTTTTTGTGTACCTATCTAATAACCCCTGGACTCTAATTTTTTCAGATAAGCTAGCCAAACTCTATTCATTTTTTTTAAATTCCTTGCTAGCCAAGGTTTGCTAGTTGGGTTTCCATGAAAAGATTTACTGAAAAACATTTTAGTAAGTGAACCAATTTCCTTAATTACAGCGAAAGTCTATATTTGGAACAGTTTATAATTGTCTTACTTCCCTGCAGTTGTACGCATCTTATTATTTTTTTTTCACCAGATATGAGAACCTACTGAGCGACTGTCAGCAGCTGTATCTGTCTCAGCGAGAGACCCTCATCAGCGATAGTGTTCTCAACACGATCCGAGGACTGGCCGAGAACATGTCTGGGGACCATTGCTCTCTCACTCGCTCTGCTTGTGCCTTTCTGATCCATGTTTCGCAAGATGAGCTGAGACTGTATCAGCAGTTCTTTTCTACCTCTACACCTCTGTTTACGTAAGTATCATGTGAAACTCTAGTGAGAAATAAATGTCATTGATCGTAGGGTTTTTGTTGGGGAGTCATCCTTTCTGATAAAAAAAATCTACCGATCTCAGTCAGTCGCGAAATGAAATATTATTCTTTTCCATCCAACATGCTCCTTAATGCTCATCTTATAATATGGATCAAATTTGTGTTGGAGTCAAAACAATATAAAATAAAATAACTAGGCCTAAAAACATTTTTTTTTTTAAGTTGAGGTAGGAAATTTGGGATTGATGGTTTTGTTTATTCAAAAGGGAAAACATCTTCGACTAAGGCGAGAATTTGGATAGAATCATTGTTTTATTCAAAACCATTTTGATGTGTTTATAGTAGAGAACAACGGGCCAGAATTTTTACTTTCGGTGAGGTCAGGTCAAGTTGGGTTAACCTTTGGGTCGGTCCAAAATCGGAGTTACTTTAAAGAATTTTTATTTGTAAGAATCCAATCAAGTTACAACAATAACTATGATTGTGTCAAAATAGTAAATGTTTTCTGTGGTCCCAGTTAAATAGTGAAAGTCCCCTGCAGTCAGGGTAAAATCACAAATGTCCCCTGCGATAACGGCAAAGTGGTGAACATCTTCCCAGTCGAAAAGACATTATCGTCTCCTGCAATCGCAGCAATATCATGAATTTTCAACGACGCAATCTTAGACTAGGCTCAGGGCTTGAGGACCAGGCTGAAGGATTTTTGAGGATATTTTCTACAATCCTAATAGTAAAAAGTTTGGTCTGGCTCGGCTCCAAAATCTCTCCATGTTAAATTATATTAAATTAATTTCCAAATCCTCTTCAGCATCATAACATTATTCAATATTGTATCAATATTAACCTGTAATAAAGAGTAATAGACCTAATCAGTTAAATTTATAACTAAGTCTATGATGGTAATGTAATGATGATAAATGTTATCAACTGTTAAAAATGTAGTTCCTGTTTTATTATATGTCGTAAAGTTTGTTTCAGCTGTTATTATTCCTTGTTAGATATCTATTTGTTGTTGAATGATTGTAATCTGAAAGTATATACTCATGTTAAATAATTTTAAGAAGATTCCTTGAATATTTACTCTTGTTCTTATTTTTTACATTTAATATATTTTTCTACAGTTTTTTTTGTCCCTTCAATATTTAAATTGTTTGTAATCATGTAAAAATGTTATAAGCCAAATTTTTTACTGTTTAAAAAGTAGGAAATATATTTTTGTACAGTTAATCGTTCACACTGACTCAAGACCAAGATGAAGATGGAAAAGACAATTAGTATTAAAATAAACGCTGCGGACAAGCCTTTTTTTAAAGGCTTATGCAGTTTATTAAAAAAAAGAAAGAAAAGAGCTGTCAGGACTGAACTACCGATTAATTTTCTATCAATACGACGCTTGCAAGACGAAGATGAGATAAGCCTATGAACTTACTTTCCTTCATGTTGCAAGCCACAAATTGTAGTTGGGGCTTTATTTTAGTTTTAAAAATACTTTGATTACTTTCATTTTCGTCCTATGATTTTTTATAACAGGATTCGTTATTTGCAGACAGTATCTGGAGGGGTTATGTGTCAGTCTCTATGACACGTTGCGACCCCTAGTCATCCACATGAAACATCTGGAAACTCTGGCAGAGCAGTGCTCCATACTGAGGAATGAGATGATTCAAGAACAGGTTCAAAACAACCGTGAGTTTCATTTGCTTTCTACTTTCTATGTAGGCTAAGGCAACTTAATACAAAAAGGGTTTTCTCTGTTACTTCCTTTTCCCAGCCATTCTACTTAGTTTGAAGTTCATTGTTGGTGATGGTGAGTAAATGTTGTTCAAAGGTTTACTGCGGACATTTTCCATTACGAATGTAAAAAATAATACACAACGTTTCGGGATCAGATTCCAGATCCCGAAACGTTGTATATTATTTTTTACATTCGTGATGGAAAATGTCTGCAATAAACCTTTGAACAACATCCTACTTAACCGATTTTTACGATTGAGGTGAAATTTTAAATATCATGACCTAGCGGTGGGATGAATGTTAACTAAAAAGATAATTTCCTTTAGGGCTTTGCCCCTCTTGTGTTTAATTTATTTATAGAGTTCGCTTTCAAAGACTCAGTGATGCTGACCCACTTTCTTTGTAAAAATTTAAAAATGTGAATATTTAATTTAACAGCTGACCTTTCAGTTCAATTTAAACACAGTCAGAATGGCTTTTAAAAAGTGAGGGTACTGTGGACTGTCAATAGAGTCAGGTATATCTACTTTATACCTATGAAACCTTCCAAAGTAATTGTATTCATCTTTAGCTGCCTTGTATATGATTGACTCTACCTCCTCAGGTAAAGTAGCGAAAACAAAGATAAGTACACAAACTTAGCCAAAGCTGGTTAACCTCTCGGAGAGCTGTAGTCAAAACAAACTCGCAAAAGAAAACTTGAGGTCTTACCTTAGCAACAAATTTAAGCATTGTACCTATTTCGTCCGCTCTATCTATTCGTACTATTTCTTGTTTTCTTGATGGTGGTTTTGTTTCTTGTTTTGATTAGCCTACTACTCAGTCCTCCGTGTGATTGTTTTGTGATTTTCTAGCGTTGGCTGGTTTGTTTCATCAGATGACAGGGGGTCAATCCATGTCAAGTGATCAAATACCAATTACCTCACCATTTTTTACAGGATTGATCTTTTTACATTAGATACATCTATGCAAAAGAAGCTTAAATATGAAAAAAAAAATTTTTTCACCTCATCTCGTTTTTTGTTATTTTATTTTAAAGTTCCAAAAAAGCGCGGTTTTGCGCTTTAAGGGATCTACGTTTTATTTAATATCTCAAGAAAGAGTAAAGATAGAAAGGTAAAACAAAAACCATTCTTTTCAGGATTAAATAACCTTTAATTTGATATACAACATGACAGTATTTCAAGTAATTAAAATTTCAACCCCCCAAACTCAAAATTTCAAAAGCCAATCCCAAAAAACGCATATGATTAAAAATTTTCAAAAAAATACCATTACTCCTTAATGTTATTAATAATTTATGTCCAAAAATTCAAATTGGGATCTTAATGGGATCCATATTAAAATAATTTTTTTCTATAAGCCTGCAATGTAAATAGACAAGTCTTAGGCTACAGGGCTAATAGTTACATTCATTAGCTACAAAAAATGTCTTAAGTAATGTAATATACAATAAAAAGCTAATAGTCTATAGGCCTAACCAGTTGTACAATACAAGTACAGTAAGCCTAAAGTGTCTAAAATTTGGTACCGTAATAAAATTTACTTTTTAACACTTTTTAAATAAGATATCAATTGAAATAAATGGACTGCTACCGAGTCGTGAATCAAGCATTCTGATATTATTACAAAGCTTGTATACTTAATTTCTCCTTTCTCATTGTAATAAACAGCAAATGGATGCACAGTAGCTCAGAGGTTATTATTCCAGTGGAAAGACTGTGCCTCGTCTTGGACCACAAAAGAGTAGTTTTCTGAAAAGTCCAAACTTACAACTGCTTTATCCTCTTGGATGTTTTCTTTCAAATCTTTGTAGTACTTGGATTGCTGACAGGATATGAATGAATGATTCTTTAGTTCAACAAGCTGTTCACAAAAACTGTCCACAAATTCTTCTACAGTCTCGCAAAATGTCTCAAATGTACACCTATCCACAGAAACCCATTGTTTGTATGTGATGGTCTCTATCATCCCCTCTTCAAAGTGGTTCAGAAGTACTTCTTTTAGTTTTAGTTCTTTGGTTTTAATACTCCTGGACATTTTACACATTTGTTTAGGTAGCAGTCAGGGGTATTTTCTTGGCACATTATTTGTGACAAACATTGTTTGTAATCGCCAAGATCAGTAGCTTCATCAATCTTCACCTTTTTCAGCTTTCCTCCGACAATCATTCCTTTTACATTCTGGTGCATTGTGCACACGCAAACAGAGTCAGTTCCATTTCCCCCAGCCAAGATACAGTTCTTCGGTCTTAAATCAGCGTACTTTGAGAAAAAAATTTTCACAGCTGATTCTGTTTTTTTGAACGGTTCAAAGTATTCTTTTAAATTTAATAAAACCAGTCTCTCTTGCACATTTTCTTTCTATCCATTTACTTTCATCACTACAAAATCTTTCTTGCCTGGCATAATTCGACTCACATCATCAGAGTTGTAAAAAGCTTTGACTTTATCTACAACATTCTGGTCCAAAGTGTTTCCTGGCTTTGGGTCTGGACATGACATTATTTCCCTTTTCTTTAACTAACGATTTAGCTCTTCTGGCCATCCTATTACTGACACCAAACTCGATTTCAATTTTTCACAGTCCAACTTTTAGGTAATGTTGTAAGTCTCAAGAACTTCTCACTTTTTTTGTAGTTTTCTGAAATTTTTCTTTCAATTCCGCAATTATTTCTGAATCTGGGTTAACTTGCTCTTCATCCTCAAAGAAGCTTGTATCAAAGGAAATTGATATCTTATTTAAAAAGTGAAGTTACCAAATTTTAGACACTTTAGGCTTACTGTACTTGTATTGTACAACTGAGCTTTTTATTGTATGTTACGTTACTTAGACATTTTTGTAGCTAATGAATGTAACGATTAGCCCTGTAGCCTACGACTTGTCTATTTACATTGCAGGCTTATACAAAAAAATTATTTTAATATGGATCCCATTGAGATCCCAACTTGAATTTTTGGACATAAATTATTAATAACATTAAGGATCCATGGTATTTTTTTGAAAATTTTTAATCATATGCGTTTTTTGGGATTGGCTTTTGAAATTTTGAGTTTGGGGGGTTGAAATTTTAATTACTTTAAATACTGTCATGTTGTATATCAAATTAAAGCTAATTTAATCCTGAAAAGAATGGTTTTTGTTTTACCTTTCTATCTTTATTCTTTCTTGAGATATTAAATAAAACGTAAATCCCTTTAAGCGCAAAACCACACTTTTTTTGGAACTTTAAAGTAAGATTACAAAAAAACCAAAGGAGATAAAAATATTTTTTTTCTAAATTTTAAATTGGTTTTATGTGTATATTAAATAAACCAAAAACTAACAAGAATGAAAAACATAAGGGAAAATTTTATTTTTTATTTTGATCACTTGATATGGAATGACCCCAGGGTAGGATTCCAGGTTCCAAAACATGATGTCAACTTGTCTTCACGATGTTGAACAACAATTATTCATACAACTTTCTTGTACATTTTGCAGCCACTGCCCTGGAGGCGTTTGGCAAGGTGGCAGAACAGCTGTTGCAGGATGTACAGGAACGTCTGGTGTTTAGAGCTCATCTCTACCTCAAATCTGACATTGCCGAATACAATCCCTCCCCTGGTGACCTGGCATACCCTGAGAAACTGGAGATGATGGAGGTAAATACTCACACGTAATTGTCACTTTGTCAGAATTGAACTATTCAGAGCACACAATATTTTGTTAACTGGGGAGCGAGCTGGCCAAGTGTTAGAGCGCTGGACTTTGGTCCTCGAGGACCCGGGCTCAAATACCGCCAATCACCAATGGATTTGATAATGCTGCGACCTCCGCTAGACCTACCTAGCCTAAGTAACATGGAAAACAATTCCGGCTAGAACTTTGAGGAATACAAAAATAATAATATCCCCCCCCCCCCCAGGGAACTAAATTGTCTACCTCAACTTTTTCTAAGGTATGCATGCAAGCTACTATCCATTTTTTCTAAACAAATCACCTTTCTTAGGCTTAGCACCTTTCCTCAAACAAAACTAAGTGTTATAGATTCAAAGAGTTCTAAATTTCCTCAATGAAATTTCTTTGTATTTTTCTGTCATCTCCACTCCACTACTAGGCCTACAATGCTTAATAGAATTTTTACTGTAGAGACAAATTTACAAGAGTTTAACTGGCCACATTGGAAGTATAAAGTTTAATTAAGTCTCATTTATGTTTCTCCTTAAACTTAAAAGTTATGGAAGTTTCTCCTTGATAGCCTATATTGAAATTATACCCCAGTTAAGGAGATTATATGTTTTTTGCAGAGTATCGCCCAGTCACTACATGATCAGGAGATGGCTGCACTCAGTAGAAGTGAGTCCCGAGCTTCACTGGTGTCTATAGGCTCCACAACATCACAAGAAGTATCCCGGCTTACAACAACACATAGAAACTTTCCTGCGAGTAAGTCATTATTGTGGATGATTGTTCAGAATGAAAAATGACCTCCTAACTTTTAAAGTAATTATATGTTTTTAGAATGCATTGCTTTTTAGCGATCAATACGCTGAAAAAAATGCGATTGAAAACACTGGATAGTGTTGCAATATGGCCTTGCTACTGCTTACCAGCCCACTCTGTTCCTGCCAACCCTTGTTCTGTAACAGACCGTCCAACTTTCCATTGGCTGGTTGTTTTCGTTCAACCTCTGCACATGATACGAGGGCTGTTACCATTTTCAGTTTTTAATTTTAATGTAAGTTAGACATTGTTTTCAATGGTAAAATCAAGCAACGATGTCGTCATTGGATGCCTAACAAACTACAAATCTTTCACTCTTGCTAAAAATAACAGCAGAGATTTAATAAACCACTCAATTTACTGAATACTGTACACATATTCCGCTAGTTGTGCAATTGAACTTGTTTTCAGTTTTAAACCCCTTTATCCCAAAATTTATCCAATTTGAATTTTTTGATACTTTAATTTGGTACTGATCCCTTGGAGTTTGAACTATCCAAGTTCCATGGTACTTTATTACATGTTTTCACCTACAGGTTCCCCGGGAGACTTACATGGGATGTGGTATCCCCCGGTGAGACGGACACTAGTCTGTCTTTCCCGACTGTATCGCTGCATCGAGCGACCGATCTTCCAAGGTCTATCACAGGAGGCTCTCACACTGTGTATACAAAGCATCAACAGTGCCGCAGAAACCATCAAAACAAACAAGGTTCGATATATTATTGTTTGTGGTTTGCTTACTCACATAATGGAACAAGATTTAATATTGAGTTATCCAATCAGTTCCTATAATTTTGATGTATTTCAAAGCACTTTTTTCTATAAGTATATACTACACAACTAATTAATTAATCATTTCTTTATGTTTCAAATGTGTCTTGTGTATATATTAATATTGTTTGAAACCCTAAAATATTAATAAATCAGTTGCTATTTTCTTTTTAGACTGCATTGGACGGGGAGTTATTCCAAATAAAACATCTGCTCATCCTTCGTGAACAAATTGCTCCATTTCAGGTGGATTTCACTGTGAAGGAAATGAGTTTTGATTTCAGCAAAATGAGGACAGCAGGTAAGTTTTTGTTTTTTGCAGCTACTTAAAGATAATATCAATCTGGTAGCTGATACAAATTAAATGCACAATAGACAATTCACCATCTAATTATTTGCTCATATCTAATAGTGTTCATTCACTTCACTAATAAGTAACATAAATAGACCATTACGTTTTGTAATCACACAAACATGCCATTTACAATGGCAAAGACTCAGTGAAATTGCCAATTCATACAAACAATTAAGAAAGTCATTAAAACAGAGAAGAGAAATTCAAACATACCCATAATTATTACGACAATGAGTTCAGAAAAAAATATCATAGTAAAATTATCATTATATTAACTACTATTGAAATCTTAAAATATTGAAATTTCTTTAATTTAAAAATATCTGAACCATAAAATGTATAGTAACCTTTAATAAACATAATATTATCTATAGATAAAAATTGTAAGGATTAAATTATTTATATGTACAATGTGCCCTATTTATTCTAAGATAGGATTATTATTTGTGTGTGTGTCAGCACTAATTTTGAAGTGTACATCATGTAAAATATGAATTAACAAAAGTGTTAATCTGCTATTTAAAACTAACGATTTATAGCGTTCTTATGGGCATTTAATCACTCATATAGCTTATACCAGTTAGGATCTCCTGTAGGAAAACACTGAATTATTTTTGCTCATTTAGTTCTTTATGTAACTAACTCTATAGAAAAAAAACACTTTTGGTGTGCAAACAATTCTTTTTAAAGATCGATGTAATATAAAAAATGGTTATATTAATAAAGATGCATTGGATCTACAAATATAAATAACTTCCCTCCAACAAAAAAGAGCAACCACTTTTAAACAGGACATTGTTTTCAGCTTATGAACTACTGCAGAAAAGAAGTCGAGTGTTTTCAAGCAATGCCTTGCTTCAGTTCCTGCTCGAAGGCCCTCCGATTGTCAAAGAACAGTGGCTTGACTCTCGTAAAGATGTTGACAGGCAGTTGAAGAGCTCTTGTGAAGTGTTCATTGCAGACGCTGCCAACACTATCATTGGTCCACTATCTAGCTTCCTTGACAGAGTAAGAAGTTCTTATTATTATTTTAGTTAATTTTTTTTTACCCGATGCACGAGTGACAAAAAAACGTTTAACAACTGTACATGTTTGCACATCTTTAGGGAAATCGATGATGGTTTCGATGTGCTAATTTAAATGTAAAATTAATATTTCCTGCTTGCCACCATTGTACTTGAAGATACTCTCTTTCCCAATAAAACCTTCCTTGATTGAAAATGTTGCTATTGTCGGTGAAATATTCCAATGTTTGTGTGTACCTTGTCCCTTGTAAATTCTTTCTCATTCAGATAAGCCTACTATCCTAACCTAATAAAATGGTATTTAACCTTTATGGTACCTGCCCAGTCACATTTTTCTCTGTAAGATTCATAGATTTACGATTAATTTTTATAGCTTCTGTATTGTGTGATATGACAAATAAAGGTCAAAACTTAAGTTGTAGGACGATCCTTGACACGTAAAGTAGTGTGTAAAACTCATACATTTCAGTAGTGATTTAAAACGTCATTGTCAGGCCACATAAGGAATAAGGATCCACTTCATAAGATTTTTCAGTATAAGTTAAACACAGCTTGTGTGAAAAAAAAAAATCAATCACAGATAGGCTTTTCAAATTAACTCAAAACGCAGTTCATCAACTTAATGTAACAATGCGCAATCCTGTGGGCAGGACTCGTAACTTATTTGGTGTTCAAGCTCTTGTAAGACTCCTAATTATCTAACTGGTTGGCTGCTCAGGTACAGTCCCTGAAGGAAACGGAGGGTCTGTTACGAGCTCAGCCGTGGGCAGGTTCGGACGAGATACACACTCTAGTGCAGGATGTGACACGTAACATCAAGACTAAGCTGCCAACATTGCAACGTAGCATGCAACTGTACCTGGCCAATAGGGACACAGAGTTCATCCTCTACCGACCCATCAAGGTAACATGCCACCGTCCTTATCCATCACTAACTGAGTCAAGATATGATTTTACAGTAGTCTTGATTGTTAGCCGATCTAAACTGGTCACGGTGAAATTCGATAAATTGGATTTGATTTGGATAAGAGAAAAGTGAGATAAGCAAAATATTTACAACTATCATAAAAAATTATTTTAAAATCATTAAGTTATAAAAAATTCTCCGGTACTTTCCTGTTAAAGGGAACATTCATTATTATCGATGATTTTTTTCTCGATATATCGATATTAACAAATTGAAACATATCAGCTGACAATGACGAAAAATATTGTTCAGTATCAACAAACAGTAATGAAATGAAACTGTTCTAAAATAAATAACCTAACATAACTAACCAAACTTGCTGTAACATTTAAAAATTCCGCGTTTAAAACTTGCCTTTTATATTCAAACCCAAAGGGAATTTTTAAATGGTACAGCAAGTATGGTTGGTTATGTTAGGTTAGCTTAGAACAGTTTCATTTCTTGTTGTCAATTTGTAATGGATCGGAAAACAAAAACATCGATATATCGAGAAAAAAATCATCGATAATAATGAATGTTCCCTTTAACAGGAAAGTACCAATTCTCCTTTGTCAAACCTATTTAAGGTATCATGTTTGTTCCACAGAACTGTTTCCGTTTCAAACCCATCACCACAAATAACAAAACCACTAACAATAAGACACTAGTAACAGTAATAACTAAGATGAAGCGATTCAAGTCCACTTAGCCACTGTCTTAGCAACTAAGACATGAGGGGTAACAGTGCAATGTAGTTCTGAGGAGTTTACAAACTGTGGTGTGCAGTGCATTAAGACAGTGAGAAAGTACAGCCAAATGAAGGTCTGTAAAGCCTGGCGTTTATTTTCCAAGTATAGTCCGTGGCGGTAAAGGGGATGTCTAAACTATGTTGTTATGGTGTCCACGAATAGATACATTTTCCACATGGATACATTTTCTTTTTAAACTAAGATCTGTGATGTTTTTTTTATTATTTTGTATCAAATTAAACATTCAACTTTTCGATTTAAATTTTTGTGAGCCAAGCCACAATGGGTTGTGCTAGTTATTAGTTAGTGTACAAACTTTTTTTGTTTTTTAATAGATGTGAATACAGTAGAACGTCGATTATCCGAAGCCCGGTCATCCGAAACGTCGGTTAACCGAAAGGAAGAAAGAAGCAAAAATCAATAAAATCGCGCGCCAATCACGACTGGCCGTAGCGCTACGCCACCGCACGGCTGCTAAGGCGGGAGGCGGGACGGGCATACGTGACGAAATTGTCGTGCGCTATGGCCGTGCGCACCACTCCTACTCCCACTGACTCAGTCTCCGTCTCTCTCAAGTCTCAGTCGCCTGTGAGCATTCGACAGTGACAGTTCGTATGGGTTTCTATTGTACTGTTTCATTCTACACTGACTATGTCGTCCAAACGTAAACGTGAATGTGTTCTTTCTGTACACATTCTGATAGTCCAGTTCTAAGTACTGTTGTACATGTTTGTTGCTGTATTGTAAAAATAAATCTGGATGTTAATTAATAAAATTTATATTATTGTACAGTAGGCTATCCACAGACGCAAAAACGGCAAATCACCGCCGGCCGCTATCCCTTCCCGTCATTTCCCGTTCCCCGTATTTTTCCAGTCAATGACCGATTATCCGAAAAATCAGTTATCCGAACACCCCCAATCCCCAATTAATTCGGATAATCGATGTTCTACTGTATTTCCTCTTTTGTTCCAGAACAATATTGTTGGCACGCTGTCTCGACTACAGAATATCTTGTCGAATAACAACGGATACACAAATGAAGACAGGATAATGATTGCATGTCCGACGCCGGAGCAAGTCGCTGTCCTTCTTTCTTCTGCTTCACTTTTGATGAACGAACAGCGGAAGATCAGTCAAGTCAGTTTACCACCAACGATAAACAAGACTGTGAGAGAAGACTGAGAACGTGGTAAAATCTAGTATCTGTTAACATTCCTTCTTAGTGCAGAACTAGACCTACTGCAGTAGGCTTAATATACCATGTTTGGCTGAAGGGACTGATTAACATGGCAAATACCTTGTGCAATACTTGATAGCAATACCATCTTTGTGGAAAGTTTTATAAGAGGTAACAGTTTATTCTTTTTTCTTTAGCCTATTATTGCTCGGATAGTGTTTATGAATCCATACTGTAAATGGGTTTCCCACCCTAAACCAGTTGTGTTTTAGACAAAGATAATTTTAGTTTTGAGGTTTTTAAAAATCATCTTTAAAAAAATCTTTCCTTTCAAAATTATTGGGTAGAGACCTTGTTTGATCGTCCCCAAAAAGTATTCATGGCACTCTTCGAATCAACAAATCTCTTGGCCAAAATTGATGACAATCGTTTTGTTATACAACAAAAAGTATAATTAGGCCGTGTTAAAAATGTGATTGGTTTGTTATAATTTCATTAGTTTAAATTGTTATTTTAAAACACTTGAGCTAAAACAAACCTAGCACAATATATAAATAATTTTAGGACGTACAGTATGCATTTTCTAAACACAACTCAAAAAATGTTATTCTTACATTATTGTGAAGAAAAAATTTTTTTCAACAAGTCCCAAGTTTAAAACCACTGCCTTTGTCAGTAAAATTAAAAAATAACTGTTATAACTTAAATGGATTATTGTTCTTGATTTGTTGTTTAATAGTAAAATGATTGTAGTAAAATTGCTACAATCCATTTTAAACCTTTGAAATTATACATTATTATATTATTGTTTATATATTAAGTGCTGTTGACTGTTTAGATAAATAAAGTAAAACATTATAAAAATGCTACAAATATTTAATAAAATTGGTTTTAAAAACCCATTTTAGTGACTATTTTTTCAAACCTTTTCAGTTGTGAAGGGCAGACAGTGAAGGTGATTAGTTTAAATGATTTCAGTGCCGTAAATCAGCTGGGCAAAAATAAAACTTGTTAACAATTTACATTTGTACTGTGAATTATTTATATATCTGTCGGTTAACAAGCTGCGTAGACTACACCACATTTTGATGCACCATTTTTTCTTAGTTCCAAAAGATAGTTCAAATTAATGAAGAAAGCTTAAGTTTCAAAATCCTACAGTGAAATGCAGATTTTTGCCAACTTTTATGAACAAAATATATATTCTAAAAAAAAAACAGTTTTATATTTAGCCTACTACAACATGGGAGAATATACTGTGTATAGCACTTTTACTGTCATAGGCGTAGAACACAAATGCTTCTAAATTATTTGTCTTTTTTTAGCCTACTGATAAGAGTGGTGAAAACTATTTGTTTACTGTGTTAACAAGTAAATAAAAAAAATTTACATGTATGATAAAAATTTCATATCGTTTGATTTTTCAGTTTTTCAATCCTATTGACAGGTATACGTTTACATTTCGTGTAATTTGAACAAATGGTGTTTTATTGTTTTTAGCGAATTTCCCCTATATAGGGAATAAGCTATTACCGTAGTACTCATGGTGAGACCTGGACCCGGGACCGATTTACTTTTTCGTTTTGAGGTCCCTAGAGGCAAAAAACACCATCCGTTCAAATTCATATATATATATATATATATATATATATTTATATATGTGTCCGTTGGCGCGATAACTTGAGCAAAAATGGTCCGATTTTGATGAAATTTGGTACAAAAGTGTAAACCTACGTTTATTTGAACGAGTTCGCGAACCAGCATGATCGGACAATGGGAACGGGGGTTTATGGGGTAAAAATAGGTTTTTCCCATTTTTGACCCTAAAAACTTAAAATTTAGCAATTCCTTTTTCAAACCATTTTGTAGGGCTTAAAAAAACAAATAATTTAGTATATTGAAGCGTTATTATGCGCCTAATGGTTACGGAGAAAATTCCAAAAATCTGTAATTTTAAAATTCTATGTTATTCTTATGGAGAATAAGTAAACTGTTGTAGTTTGCTTGTTTATGAACATATTTTGATCAAATTTGGAAGATGTTTTCATTTCATACTAAACTATTAACATTTTACAAAGAAACACCTTTTTACCCTCCCTATTGCAGCAAACCTAAGTACTCGTGAAACTAATTCTATTTAAGTCTATATAAATAAAATTAGAGTTTTGTCTGTACATTGCTCAGAATTATATATTTTTAAGTTATTTTTACGTTTTATACATTAAAGAAGCAGAAACAAGTCTTATCTCTATTTCTGTCTGTCTGTCTGTAACACTCAAGATAGCATTTTACGCAATCTTCTCCATGAAAACGATAGTACCTATCAAGATCCAAGTCATTTTAATGTATTCACTGGATTGGCGACAGTGTCTTTAGCCATTAAAATATGGCCTCACTACTTTGTAAATAAAATTACGGATGTACAAAAATGCATTTTTGTGCGATTTTTGTGAAATTTTTAACACACAATCATCTATGAAATAACGAAAAGCTGTTCGGATCAAGATTATTTTTCTAGCTGTCACTGATATGTTTACAAATGTTGTTTACAAACCATTTCCGATCACGTTTTGAAAGCAAATCCCAACTAAGTGAGATTAAAAACGTTTTTCTTACATAACGGATTTAATTAATCACAAGTGCAATATTATAGTGTAACCGTAAATGAAATTAAATAACTAGGCATCATCCAGGTAAGGAACCAGAAATTCTTTGTGTATAAAATTGTTCTTGAGTTTTAATAACCAGAAAAAAAGACCTTGAATCAGTGTTGTATAGGGCTGGGACACAAAGATCGTCGCCAATACAGTAGCTTACAAACAAGGTTTCCACTCATTGACGGCGCTTCAATGGCGATTGTGTAAAGTGTAAAGTAAAAAATCACAACTGCAGTGGGTGATTGTAACAGAGGTTTACGGATGATGCTAAACTCGCTTTTCCAATGTGTCACTTTCTGTTTCTACTCTCCGTGTGATGCAATCGCTGGACCATACAGCCAATAGGCGCATAGCCCATCTCTTGGGTACGTACGCCTACCTATTTATTCATAACAACCTTTTCGACGACGATCCTTGATACTGGTACTTTTTCATAGAATACATGGCCTACCTACTTAAGAAATAAAACTATAAATATCCAAAAACCCAACATTGTGTGATTTTTGTCACATTCAACTGACTACTATAAGATCCCCGTGCGTAGAACGGGCACACAGCTAGTAGGGAATAAATGTGATATTTTTAAGGAGGCATTTTAGTGTAAATCCAATCAGGCTAATAGAAATTCGCTTAGTCTGCAGGTTTGCGGCGGCGGGGGTATTTACTTCTTGTTCATTAGTTCATACCACGATCACTTCGGTAATAGATACTTTTTTAAAGGAGAAATAAATGTGACAACAATGGTAACAATGACTGTATTTGTCTTAGAAATATGTTTGCACCATAATCACAACAGCCACCTTATCTTATTTATTGTCTCAAGGGTTAGGAAACAGACGAGTAACATTAACCACCATATACGATCGGAAGATTCACTATAGCATAGACATAATTGCTCTTTTTGAATTGCACTATAGCCTTGAAATATAAGCGTAAATAATAACAATACTTGGGCTTTAAAGAAATAATGTAAAGAAACACCACCTATAAACAATTATTACCTAAAATATCACTTGGTTGTATTGTAAGTAAATTCTTCAGAGCTACAGAAAATTATTGTATTGATTAGAAAAGACATTAAAACGTGTTTGTTTGTGTACATGTTAAATGTTAGAACTGTGCAGAAACTTCTTGTTTTTAACATTTAATTCTTGAACATTGATATCGGTAAATGGAAGGGTTTGTAGCCTTAGTGGTGATTGTTCGTAGTTTATTAGTAACACCTATGCTAAAGATGTGCTGAAATAGTTAAAAACTGTGCAATTTTATTCTAAGCACCAAAAAATCATGTGTCTGTGCAAAATTGTCTACGTCTGAATAAGTAGTTTGACGATTTAAAAATATTTTTTGAGATTTCGGATAAATTTATTAAATTTGGATTATCAAAGCTAAATTTGAAAAATAACTATCTAAATGGTTTAAGTTACCTGGCTTCGTCAAGTGATCCTTCTTCAGTATTACACTACTATAGTTTCGGACTTGAAAATAAGTCCATCTTCAGGTTAACAAAAACGTCAATGGTTAGATGACCCATTGACGTTTTTGTTAACCTGAAGATGGACTTATTTTCAAGTCCGAAACTATAGTAGTGTAATACTGAAGAAGGATCACTTGACGAAGCCAGGTAACTTAAACCATTTAGCTTAAATTTAGTGATCCAGAGGCTACCTCACCATGAAATAACTATCTATCTCTTCTAACCTATTCTAGGCAGATACAAACATGTGCTCATCAGTCATAGTGCAATTTGTCTTGCAACAGTTCATAAAATTTTGTATAATTAAATAATATATAAATAGCCTATTACCAGTCAATTAAGCCTAAAAGCCTATTTAAAATATACTATGTTTAAAATCTATTTCAAACACAAGCTAAAGTAAAAATAATTATATATATCTAAACCAAATCTCAAAAAGTAATTTACCCAAATTAAATTTCATATACTATTAATTGGCCTGAGTGACTAAAAAGTGAACAGTGAACTTCAAGATCTAGAAGACCTGAATACATTGTTGCTGAAAAACATGTGTTAGGTAACAACTGGATTTCCTCCTTCTTCTACCATGAACTAGCCTGGTGAGAGTTTTAAAAACTAGTTTGTATGCTTTTTATATTATAATATTTTCTAGTAAAAAGTGAAAAGCTAAACCAATAGTCTAATTATTTCAAATAGTTTAAACAAGAAGAAATGTGGAAACTTGGAAGAAACTTGGTAATCTCCATCTTATTATTACAAACAATTCTATTTAGGTGTTGGACAATTTGAGAACATTAGCCTAATTCTGAGGTGGATCGAGTAGCCTCATAGCTGTTAAAATTTATATTCTTGATTCAAGTAAAGACTTTTGTTTTAAAACAATCTTATCCAAATTCGATATACTTAAAATTATTTAGTAAAAAAAAATCAAAGGCTAACTTTATTATCATAAAAAAAAGTTTCAAATTAAAAGATTAGCAAGGAAATTGGAAATTTAAGAGAGTTCCAAGCACTAACCCAAAACCCTGAGGTTGCAGTCTCATGATTTCAATCAAACTCAAGAAAAAACCTAACATTTTCACCATCAACTAACTACAAATATAACTGTGAATTGTACACAAAATTGTCAGCAAACTGATTCTTGAGTCAAATTATTGTGTCATGACTATGAAATGAATATTCTTACATTTTCCCTGTATGCTTAAAAACTTAACTATAAAACTAGGTGGAATAAATATTTGCTAAGCCACTAATGGAGGCTAGTCTAAAACTATAATAAATAGATTGCTATGTACAAAATATTTAGGCTTCTTCTGTTTAACCTCTTACGTTTGTAAGGCAAGCACTTTATGAAGTTGATATGATAAAGAGAACTTTAACATTTGAAAAAAACTAAATACTATTATTTAACGACTAAGTACATTATTTTGCTATCAAGTAACATTGAATTAAAGTGGTAATGGTTATAAATAGTTCCTTTTAATATTGTTTTATGCTCTCAGAAACAATCTATTTATATTTATTTAATAACTAAAGAAGTCAGTCATTCTTTGGCTAAAACACATATCTTTGAGGACTTTGTGACTTTCAATATATTAATCAGAATATTATATCTATCAAAAGAGATCATGCTGATATACATGATTTATGTCTTCAAAATATCCTTGAAACTTTATCTGAAGCCTTCCTTACCATACATTGGCATTGTCACATAGTGTGTTACGTTTTCAAACCAAACTCGTTAAATAACATTTTTAAGCCCAGGAAATTTTAAAACCAAGAAAATAAACAGGTAGGTCTTTCACAAAAATACGAGTTTAAAACTAATAATTTTGTTATTATGTGATTGTAATTTATAATGTTTGACAACTGTAATTTACAAACATTAGTGTATTTAATCCTCAAGATAAAGTGGTATTCTTGTTTAATCAAACAATTTAATTAAATTAAAGATAAGTATTTAGATGTTATTATAATTTTTACATTAAGTCAAAATAAATGTTTCACGATTGCGTTTTTTGTTTAATTATTTCAAAATTTATATTTTTTTTCAAAGGCAAAGAACAACTTATGTCCTGGATGAATTTACTTACTACACCTACTACACACTCCTCACTAAAGAATCATTTAGGAAGCATAATTAACATAAAATTATTTGTTAGAGATAATTTCTGTGCTACAAGAGTAATTTACATAAAGACATTACACAATTAAATCTAAGTAAATAAAATACTGAGAAATATCTCCAGTGATACACTAGAAATTCCTTGCACTCATCCACTGCCTTATTCTACACTAACACTTATACAACTATGACTGGGGGAAAATTGGACAGAATATCGATTCAATAAAATAACAGTGGTGTGCAAACAACTCAGAATTCTCACCTTTCTGTTTCTAGAACCAAGCATTGTTAAGTAAAAAGGACATCCTAGAAGCAGAAGCAGTTATGGACCTATGACGGATTTTAACAATTGAAACTATTGTAGATGGTTATTAAAAATAAATATTCCTAATAATTATTTAAATTAAATCTAAATGTAAAAATCTTGTAAATTATAATAATTCACAGCAAAGTGTTATTTAGAATGATTTATCTTTGAGGTAGATAGACGTTTTTACAAGCATCTTTTAAATCCTTCTATAAAATCTTTAAAAAAATCAAAACAAGTTTATGGTGTGTTGCCAGCCTAGTGGTTTGTATATAAAATTCCCACCATGTCCAACAAAATGTTAAGGGGTTGAACCACTATTCCTTAAACCTTGGCGAGTTTATTTCATTAAAAAAATCCATTCACAAAAACAATAACAAAAAAGAAGGAGAAACCAGGCCCTTGACTACAGTAAACATCCTTCAAGTATAACCTGTAATAAAAATCTCAGAAGGTATAGATAGACTGTACTTTTCTCTCAATCTGTTAGGTTAGGAATGCTTTAAGTCTCATCTGAAATGTTTGCACACCTTTGCAATTATTGTCTTGTTGCGCTCGAGTGACCGAATGATCTACTGAGGAAGAGGCGATGTCTGCTCTACACTCGGAGTCTCGGGTTCGTTGACTTCTTCAGTAGGTAGTGACTTGGCCCACTCTTTCAGGTAGCTGACCACCTGCACTCGACCAAACGTCATCGCCTCGTTGAGTGGAGTGTTGCCCCACCTGCATAAAATACTGATTTAACACTGAACCTGACTAGGGACCAGGGAGAAAGGGACAAATTTGTTCAAATGCTGCAGACCAAAAGACAGATTAAAAGAACAGGTAGAGATAGTAGATTTCAAATACATAGAATGTTCTTTATGCCTTTGAGACATATCAATTTCTCTTCATTTTAATTTCTCATTTCTAGACAAATTTAACCTGATTTAAAGTGCAGAGAACTTTTCAAATTGTATTAGTTAATAAGTTCAGAAGTAATGGATTGACGATAGCATTATCACCTAGCCAAAACTAGTAGTGGTAGGATTTATTCTAACATTCAGAAAACTAGTCCGGTGCTCCAAATAGTAGATGAGGTCACACCAATGAGAACAAAGGTATGAAACTGATACAATGATTGAGAAAACTCCACATGAAGGAAGAAATAATTATTACTTTCAATACTGTATTTTCAATTGACATACAACCTTACAAAGGTAGGTATTTTTAAGCCGAGTATGAATGGAGATGAGTGGTGCGATCTTGTGTGTGGCGGGTATCTTGTTATTTTGTTACTGACTAAGGCTGATATGTTCCTTAGACGTACTGTTAATTATTAGCTTATACAGCCAATGACAACTAAGGGACCTACAGTTTATAGTGCAATCCGAACCACATTTTTGCATGGTAATTTATGAATTAGTCTAATTATCAGGGTAGCACTCACACACCCTGGGGTAGTATTACCCCCACCCCAGGGTATAGGGTGTTTTGTATGGTTGTGTTAGGTGTAGTACTCAGTAATCATTGTGATTTAAAACATCAAATGGTAAAACTGAACCACCATAGACAACAATGGTCTTTAAGTGCACTATTAGTAGACAACGGTTATTTTGTTCAACAATAGGTTCACTATGATGTATTGGCATTGACTGAAGTAGACATCCAAACTTAGTTTAGTCTGTGTGATCGAAGCTGTCTTCTGAACCTCAGTCAACCTGGGACTGGCGGGTACAGTCCGGGATAGACAAAGCGTCAGGGACAACTTTGATCATACAAACTATAGTCAATGTTTTATTCAAAAGAACATAGTTGAATGAGCCACTCAGAGTGTCCTACAATCTACAATTCTGCAATCTTCATGGAAATCTTTGATAAGACTAATTACTGTCAAAACATTCCCATAATAGTTTGAACATTGGAATGGAATTTCTAGAGTCAGGTATCACTCACCGGTCCTTGGCATTGTGAGGTACTCCGCACTGCTCCAGCATGAACTGTACACAGTCTAGATGTCCCTCGGCAGCAGCCAGATGTAGCGCTGTCCGACCATCGTAGTCACAAAGAGTCATGTCCATGCCTGATAGTCGGTGTCTGCACAACAGATCAATTCAAATATCATCAAAAAGATTATGATTGCCAGATTTTAAGCAGGGATTGATACCCTCTTTTATCTTTGCGATTACATGTGATGCGCTATGGGCTTGAGAGATAATTGAGCCGGTAATGTGGAAGAATAAATTGTGCTGATATATTTTAATAGTTTCAGGAAACAAACCCACAACATTGCTGCCATGGATTTGCTACAGTCCACTCTTGTTAATTCAATAAATCGAAACTTTCGACAATTCAAAATAAAAGCTCAGTCCGTAGAGAACCTCTCGGTATTTTTTTTTTAATTTTTACCATGTATTTTGATACACTCGGTATTTCAAGGTCCAAATAAAAGGTAGGCCAATTTGGAACAAGCAGTAATTCGAAGTTTTGTCGGCAAAACACCCTATTATACAAAGTCACGCAGTAATTGAAATTTTCGCCAGCAAAACACTCTATAATTCAAAGTCAGGGCTCCCTTCATGATATAATGGAGAACTATACTTTATGTTCCACAGTAGTTTTGGAAGTTTTGATGTTTAGTTAGAGCATGTAGGTAGTTATCATCTGGTTGACAGTGTTTGCGGTCAAGCACTATTTTGAGGTTAGGTTCCTTCCACAATGCTTACAGTATATTCATTATTGTTATTCTACTGTATGTCATTAGATCAAAGCCTAAACCCCACACTATAAAAAATTTTTAACAATCCCTACCACCGATAAAATAGTCGGATCTGAAAAGAATTATACCAGATTGAAGTATAACACTGGAATTAATCTAGAGGTTAAAATACCTTTAATCCGTCAATGTGATCAAATGTCACCGATGAGCGGCGACCGGTTTCAGCCCAGCTGTGGGGCCATCACCAGGCGATGAAGGAACATAAATATCACTCCGAGCTGTGGTTCATCGCCTGATGATGGCCCCACAGCTGGGCTGAAACCGGTCGCCGCTCATCGGTGACATTTGATCACATAGACGGATTAAAGGTATTTTAACCTCTAGATTAATTTAAATTTGTGATCAGGAGGCAAAAAACAACAGAAATGAAAATATAACACTGGAACAATAAGTGGAAACCGAAACAACGTTTCACGGCAGTGGCTAACCTTGCATTGGAACAATAGTTTGTAAACGGTGCTTTGACGAGTGAGTATACTCGTTGCACGTTGGGGGTAGTGAGATTAATCGTCATGCACAGTGAACATGTTTTAAACTTAGTTTTGTAATTTGCTAAGTTCTGTTTCGTTGAAGCTTATGTTGTGCAGAATCGTAACCGAATCTAAATTTTTTGTTGTTTTATCATGGAACCTAATCATAAATACAAACCCCTTTGGAAAAAAGAAGTGATCACGGAAGTAGAAAGTGGTTGAGTCAAGTCAGAAGTTGTACAGTAGAACTCTCTGTAATTTGAATGGTTTATTTTTTCCCTGATAAATCAAACTCTCCTTGATAATTCAAAACTCTTGATAATTCAAATTGATTTGCTTGGCCCACCAATTTCGAATTATCAAGAGTCTACTGTAACAACTTTTACTAAGATCCGTATTACACTGTAAAGTGTTTTATAAAAACATCAAAACATGTTTTATAAAAGATCTTTTATAAAACATTTTACGGTGTAATACAGGCCTAATACAAAAAATAATTGGTCTTACAAAGATTGAAAAGTTTCAACAAACCTTCTCAAGCCTGCCAAATCCCCACTGGCTGCTGAGAACAGGAGGTTGACTATTCTCAAGCCTTTGGTCTCGTACTTGTGTCTTCTAGGATCCCTCTTGTTGGTGGCGTGCTTCAGGTTGTCATATCGGTGGAAATTGAAAACGTTCACAAGTTCCTAGGAAATGTAAAACCATGTTATGTTTGAGTGAGCAATGTATGTAGAATAGAAAAAGTTTTGATAATTTCCTATGACTGTGCTAATGATAGGTAGCTCTGCTTTGTGAAGGGAGCATGTGTGTAATCAGTGAGAAGATAAATCGAGATTACGATGTTGGCTTTTCTGATCCTTCAGAATAATTGCCCAAATACTGTACTTTAAAATTGGTTTAGTCCTGTATTTGAGGGTAATTTGTCAAACTCTTGCTGTATCTTTCACGTTACACATACCTTTAGAACAATCTACCTCTTTCCATGACAATGTTTGATATATGTCTTGGGTTTTTTTTTTGACACTCAACTAATCACAGATATTGGAAGAGTGTGGTCTTAGCTGGTGAGTCCTAAGTTTGTTTGGCACTTGTGTAATTTGTGACAGAGTTTGCCAGTCACTAAAAATTAGGCTTTACCTTCGTCAATCAGCCCAAAAGTTAACTAGTCCATCAACACATCCACATTTACTACCATAACATACGGTGATGTTTCCCTAGTTTGAGTTGATTGGAAGATTGTGTGGATGAAATAATTTTCAATGTGATATTGAGGAGCAAGCCAAGAGGTAAAGTGGGGAAATTTGGTTCTCCGGTACCGGGTTCAAATCCCACCAATCACAAACGGTTTTAGCTTTGTGATAATGCAGTGTCTCTTCTAGGCGTAGCCAAAAACAATGTGGTGTAAAACGGTTTTGGGTTAGACCCTTGCATCCTTGAATGTGAAGAAAAGACATAACAAAATTGTCAAATGATAACTTACCCCACAGAACTGGACACCGCGGCAACTGTTACCCATGAAGTCGAGAGGGGGAGACCATGTGCAGATGCCCATGACGTTTGGTATCACAATCAGCATTCCCCCACTGACACCTGACTTGGCTGGTAGACCTACCTACAAACATGAATCTATGATAGTCCCAGTAGATATAAATGGGTATCTATGCAGCAAACTGCATTGATTGGCTTTGCACTTGGCTTTGGAATAAATCAAGAAAGAAGAAATGGATACATGCCTTTCATAGCTTATCCAAGGAAAAATGTTCCAAACTGTTTATAGCCACAGAAAAGTAAGGTACAGAGGAAACATTCAATTCATGGCTAGAAATCATCGTGCCCAGGATTAATTCTGAGTTACTAGGACTTTATTTTATGACTATGAAGGGGAAAAGTAGGCCTATGTGTCAGATTTCTGATGTAGGCGTATTCCATTTGTTTGGATTGCAGTTTATAAAGTTTAATGTTCCCCCACAAACCCCCACTCCTTTGCAGAAGAGGTTTACATCGGCTTCTGACCAGACGCCTGAGACACGCTAGTCTGGGCGCCCGGTGTCACTTTTGATGTTGACGCTACTCGGACACTTGATATTTCAATATTTTTTTAAATAATTTAAAAACTCTGACAAACGAAAGCTCGGACAGTTGATTTAACCAAATATTATTATTATTTAAACCATCCCCGGACAGTTGAAAACTCGGACACTTGATATTTTTTAAATAATTTAATAACCTCGGACAAATGAAAACTCTGACAGTTGATTTATCTAAATATTATTAGTTATTTATCAAAACTCGGACAAATGAACCTCACCCTTTGGTTCCATTAGTAGTACTCATAAGGTTAACATGGGGAAACTCTAGAGCCACTGGGGCGGAGCCGTTTGGACGGTTCACGAAATTGATGGTGTATAAAGCTATTCCATGAAATTCTATTTGTATGTACCAAGTTTTGTGGCCATCGGTCCAGCGGTGTCTGAGATTATCATATCACTGCCAAATATACAAACAAACCAACGTCCTCTTTTATATAGATCTGATTCTCACCTTCCTACAAGTGTTCAATAACAGTAGGTAAAAACTCTTCATTATGGGCAAAGTCAATGGTTCAGTTGTTGACAATTAAAGTGAGTCCAAGGTAATACAATGACTTAAAAGATAATGTATTGAGTTATATTTGGTAGATATACTTTTGTGCATTTGAAAAAAAAATCTCTGTATCACTCTCTCATTCAGTTGAGTTGAGTGTAGGAAATAGATGGGGTAGCCAAATTTGAATGAACTCTTGTCTCTGTGAATAGACGCACCTAGTAGCGAAACTATGACCATAAAAAACACTGAGAGACTGCAGATTCTCAGCATGTCTAGTTGAACGCTTAGTACACGTTTAATTTTTATGGAAAATATTTCTTCTCTATCGTGCAGTATTTACCTTGAAGGCAAACTGCCCTGAGTAGTCGTACATGCCGCAGCTGTGCATGAGAGACAAAACGTCTCTGATGGAGTCTGGTCGTAGAACCTTCTCCTCTGTGATTGGACAGATTCCTCCGTTGGCCAGAGTAGCAGCCATCACTGACATGCTCTCACAGTTGGCCTCCATAGAGCAGCACTGCAACATACCAATCTCATTGATGTGTGATATCATAGGTGTAACAAGCATGACCAAATGAGGAGTTGTATGCAGGGCCGGTTTAACCCATACGCGGCCGCATATGGCGCCACGAAAAGATGGCGCCAAGGGAACAATTTTTTTTTACTGAACAACGTAATTTTGTTTATTTTTGCTCAGAGTCCAAGTATTCAAAGCACCACAATAAAGGCATTTGTTCTGTTTGTACCAACAGCACTTGAAAAATGTGTATATTTGTACAGCACTGCAACTCAAGGGCTCAATGCCATTTAATTGCAGTTTCGATTTGAAGTGAGCTGACGCTCGGCAGTCGGCAGCGTACAGCGCCAGCGCGGCACCTCACCTGTGGGTTTCATTTCACGACTCCATGCTCAAGATAAGCAAGCGCGCAGCGCCACTTGTCACAACAAGAAACATCCCCCTCCTTTCACTCCCTTCTGCCTCTGATACTAGAGCAGAGCATTACGTTGGGTTGCACTCTTTTAGTTGTTTACGTAGGCCTATACCGTATCGGTATCGTATTGGCATTGTTTTGATGATTCATGATTGATAAGTGACTGATTACGAGTGTTAAGTTTAATTTATAATTAGCACATTTAAGAAGAAAGTATAAACTGAATGAATGAGTAAAACATCTTGCGAGCCGATACTAAGAAAACATTGGCAGAAAAAGAGACCGTCGCAATAGAAGACGGCAATGACGTAGGTATTTATTTATTTATTTTCCAAGGAAAGATTAAAACAAGCAGCTGATCACAAACGGCAACCATTACGTCATTGCCGTCTTCTATCGTGACGTCATGCTTGACGAGCATTACGGCCTGTTTTTAGTGTGGCCTTGGTTTTGCTAAAGTTTATATGATGAGTAAAAGTGTATAAATGTTAAATTTCCGCGAATAATAAACACTCTTTTATTGCAAGTATTCTTCTACCTAAACTTATAAAAACGTTCTTCCAAAATGATTGGGAAAAAATTCACAAATACGGTTAAGTTATTATGTTCGTGGGTTGAGGGGGGGTGAGGGGAATTCTAAAAGTGGCGCTGATTCGGGTGTTCGCTTAATTCTGAAAAATTCCTAGAACCGGCCCTGGTTGTATGGGGGATGGTGTAAAGGGAGAAAGAGGAGTCCCAAATAGAATTGTAAACTTACAATTTTAGGCAATCTAGCACTACGATAATATGGTGGTTGCATAGGTTTCAACTGTACGGTTCAACAAATACACCTAATGTCGTTTGTTCACATAACAATCTGTCTCTTGTACTTTTTAATTTTTTTTCAGGTCAAGAGAAGGTACCAGCCTTTAAAACTACACCCGCTTGGGTGCGTCTGCCTGATACACACCAATAAATTATCTTTTTATGAGATGGCAAACACTTCATATAAGTTAAGTTAAGTGTGACATAAAAGAACTATTGACATCTCATAACTAACTTATTTTTCTTAACTGTTTTCATAATTATTTTAGCTCCCACCTAAATTGGCAACATTAGTGGTAAAATGTCTTAAACAAAATTTAGACAATACATATCAAATCTACCAACATACCTGGAAGTAAAAATCCATACATTCCTTAAGGTTTGTTTTCTCGGGGTAGCATTTGTACTCTCTCATGAAAAATCCAAGAGCGTAGTTTCTGTCGGCCGCCTCTCTCTCTGATAGAAAAACAGCGTTGTTGAAGCCTAAATATTCTCCTCCAGCTAATCTCTGGAAGGTAAATTCATATGATAAAAAGGTTATTTCACACAAAATTTAAAAACATATGTATACACAACACATTAAACGTATTCCGAGCTCATCCTTAACCACAAATTACACAAGATATGTGTCGCAATTTGATAAAAAAATTTTTCAACTAAGTATTTAAGTAGGTTCAAGACTGTAATACTATATGTATGGTTTCCACCTTTTTTGTGCTGGGTTTGTTTCTGTTACCATCTGCCATTATTCTCTTCATCAGGATTCTACAAATCTAGGAATCTTCATAATCATATTTTTTCATTAAGGGAGAGATAAGATTTAATTAAGAGTTTTTTTGTGTTTTATTTTTGTAATTTAGTTGCTTTAGTGTTAATTTATTTATATAGATTAAATAACAGTTGACAGGTACTTCAAATTAAAACCAAACAAATTTAACTTAAGTACAGTATTTTAAGAGTTTAGACATAATTAGCTTATTATGAACAGCTATTGCGATTTGACTTACTATATTTTACAAAATGAACTTACTCTAAAATAATCCATAGTGTAGTCAAATTTCTCCGCCAATGTCATTTTTGACTCCACCAGTGTTTTTAACAATGCACAAACTAAAATGGCTCCAGCATTTATCATAGGGTTGTGAGGTTTCTCTGCAATAAAAATCATTGTTGTAAACACATTAACCATGTAATTTTGAAAGTCCATTTTGGCCTACCAGTTCATTATCAAATCAAATATCAACATTATGCTATCAATCAAAAGGTCAGAGTTAGATAGAAACAAGGTGGCGGTTTGGACTGTTACTCTACCAAAAATAATGAATAAATGCCTTTGGCATAGAAAAAGGCTAAAACATCTGTTCATCAAATTATCTATAATCTGTACAGCAAGGAAAAGAAGAGAAAATTATCATCCATTGAGTTTGTATTGGATTGAACACAGCATATTTTTACTACTTGTAAACTAAAGATACAGCAGATCGGATTAAGCTTTGTCTGACCCATTACTCCGGCTGCTGTGGATAGGGAAGGCGGACACCTTAATTATACCATTTTAGTCATCATAATGATTTGGAAAGGACAGAATATAAGTTATTCTGTGTGTGCATATTTCCAAAACAAAAGTTAGTGATTGTACCTTTTTCCCAGCTGGTTTTTATTCTTGGCAAAAACACTATTTGTAGCCAGAACAGAATATGATCGCGGGTTTAAAAGTTGTAAGAAAGTGGTACTTTTAACACATTCGATGCGGCGGGTCCACCGGTGGACCCCGCGCGTCTCAGCTGAGGAGCGGGGGGTCCACGGGTGGGGGAGCGCGCCATGTCATGTTTATTGTTTCAATGTGAGCTCAGCCATTGTCGGGGAACGTTGTAATCTTTACCAGCCTGTAGCTTATAATGCGAGCTTTATTCTGGTGTAGGTTGGTACAAAAATTGCCCGTAAAATCCCGTCTGGCAATGCTTTTGTCCCGTTTTCGGGGATTTTCTCAGTTCGAGCCGTATTACAAAGACTCTGGTTATTGATCCAGGCAGTGCTGCTACCTTTGGGTGTTTCAGTGAACTACGTCCACTTTCGGAGTAACGCAGAACAATCACCACTGCTCTTTTGTGATTCGTCTTACTGAGATATTTCAATACCAATAGCGATCGCTGATTCAGTTAGCGCGTCGGGGCTCCGCCCGGGCCTCGCTGCCATTGGCGAGCGCCTGTTTAAAGGTTTCAGCAGCGAATGTGTTATAACTGAGTGAGGCTTCAAGAAGAAAACACGATACTGGCTTTTGGAGAGGACATTTTCCCCCTCAAAAAATTCCTCAACTGGAAAAATCTTTAATATTGAGAAATTTTACCATAATGACTATGTCTTATGTAGGTACGACACTGTTGTACTTATGGATGAAATTACAATAAAGACCCTATAACTATGATCTATTTGCTTACTGTTATGGTCGAGGACTAACTCATTGAAGTTGCGACCACTAGGCTCCTGACCCACGTACTGGTGAACCACTTCTTGTCCAAGAGTTTCTAATGCAATCCCGTACGTCAGCGGCTTGCTAAAAACAATATAGAAAGTTAAGACACTAAAATTTGTAAAAAACGACAAAGAGATTCAATAGATACAAAAATACTGTTCACACACAGTGTACAAAGTGTCAGCTGCAGAGCTGCTAATGGCACGATTCTGTTCACAAATGGTCAGTAAGCATTGAGCCACCTCGATGCGGCGTAAAAGTAATTATTTATGATCGATTATATACGACTATTTAATATACGATTCATTTAAAGATATGGCCTAACGGATATTGAAATAAGAAAGAACAGAGAGCTACAAGGAGTGTTTAAATACCCAGATATATGGGTGTTTAAATTACTTTTAATACTTTTAGTCTTTAAAAACGGAGGATAAGTCTACTTGCAGTATCCTATGTCAATGATAATATTTTGCCATCAATCTATTTATCTCTGGACAAAACCCGTCAGAGATTGTAGTACCTAGTAATTTAAAATCGTGATTCCTGATCATCCTTGATCTCCTTGTTTGTAAACATAACTGTGTGTAAACCACCTTACACAGCAACTACGGAGCACAAATGGTCATTACTTAAAAAACGCCCATAGTATTAGCGACTTTCCCACATAAGCTATTTTCTGATGCGGCCAATTTTCTATATTACACAAGGCCAGTAGGCAAACGGCAAAGTAGAAAACATAGGTAGGTAGGTTACATGCCTCTAGTTTATTTAAAGTTACCTGAGGCAGGTAACCTGCCGCCAACTGGCTTGGTATGAACACGGATTTAAGCTGTGTACCTGCATGACTGCAGTGTGAAGGGCACAGTTGCGTCTCCTATGGAAAACCTCTGTCCGTCGATGGTACACACACTGATGCCCCAACTGTTGGGGTTAGCTCTGGCCAACTGTGGGATGTAACTGGCTACCTGTCCAACACAAAGAGGCTTTGAGCTACAATATAAAAGGAATTGCTTTGTTGCTAATTGACTTTAAATATTGGTTAATCCAACATATGGGGGCAATCTGTGGACCAGGTTCCAGGTCCCGAAATATTGTGAAAACATGTTCTTATTTTACTAATAGGCAAAAATAATAATAAGAATAAGAATAAGAATAAGAATAAGAATAAGAATAAGAATCCTTTATTGTCATTAGACACAGTTGTGCAATAGACATTGTCAAAGAAAACTATAAACTAGAAAATGTAACAGAGTCATGAACATTATCACAGTAGACCTTATATAACATACATGTAAAACTTAGCCTATATCACAGAAGAGATCACAGTTGTCAATTGAGAATAAATATCATAAAATAAAAATTGTCGAATAACAATGCATGTTACTTAAAATCTATAAAATCAGTAGCACTCAAATGCAAAAACTCATTAACAGAATAAAGTGGGTGCTTTAGAAGACCATTTGTTACAACAGTTTTAAAATTAGCAAAGGATTCAATATTCTTGACATGATGAGGTAGTATATTGTACAGTTTAAGCCCTATAACTTTAGAGCTTTTGGCTGCTTTGGTCAATCTACAAAAGGGAATGTCAATTTCATGCTTGAGCCTTGTGTTGTGGCTATGTACATTTAGCCGTTTCAACAAGAATGCAGATTGTTTTTTTACTTCTAATAGAACATACAAAACATATAAACTAAAGACAGTTAACACTTTTTCATGGATAAAAATAGGCCTACAGTGCTCTGAGTAGTCAGCTGAAGCTAGTATTCTGACAGCTTTTTTCTGAACCAGTAAGACATCATGTACTCCAGCTGCATTTCCCCATAAACATATGCCATACAGTAAATTACTTTGAAAGAAACTATTGTAAGCAAGCTTGAGATATGACTTCGGGACATTTTTATCTAAAGATCTTAGTAAATATACAACTCTTGAAAGTTTGTTACAAATATAATCCGTATGAAATTGCCATGTCAATTTTCTATCAAGAACTAAGCCTAATAGTTTAACATTACTTAACCCTAATTGATCACAGGAGGGAGAATCACTAGCCTTGACATTTTTATTACTAAAAACTATGGTTTGAGTTTTGTCATTGTTAAGTATGAAACCTATGAAAATAATGAATATAAAAAATAATGAAACCTATTGAAAGTATGAAAATAATAATAATAATAACATTATTGTGATAGAAAATGTCTACAATATTCTAAAAATAATCTAATGTATGTATGATATTCAGTCTTTCCACATTTATTTTTTAAAGAGGATAGTAGTATTATTTTGTATTTATTATTATTATATCATTAGTGTAAAGTACATCAAGTGGTAAGGATATATCTACGGCTACAACGAATAAGTTTTATGTTTAAGTTTGGCACTAAGGTCTCCAAAAGTAAATAAAAGTCTTTCATTGTTGGGTTGTAAAGTAAGATAGTAGTTAGACAACAAGTGAAAGATATTGTAATTAAAGCCTCCTAAACTAGTTCAACTATAGTGTTAAAAAGGATCACATGTAAAATCATTCAAAATCATTTATATGGACAATATTATCAATCTAAGTTACTTATTATTTAGATCATAAATATAAGTTTAATGTTACTGTGTCTAATAGGCAACGTGTATTATTATAATAAACTCAGTTTTCAAAATAAGTGTAGGACTACTGTATTTGTAACAAGTCATACATTGGATAATGGTTTAATTAGTTCATGAACTATATCCATAAATTATTGTAAGGCTTTTTCTATCAGCTATTCACTTTTACACCAAGTGGTCTCAAGAAATATTGATTAGACATTTAGCAATACAATTTTATTTAAGACATGAAATTTACCTACTTTCCCCTCCGTGTTTGTTTTGCATTTCCAGTAAAACTCTTCAATGTATTTGGTGAACCCTTGAAAATCGGGGATGATGAAATTGTTTCGAAACGCTCGAGATATTAAGACTAGATTGGATGAAACCACACTGAAACATAAATTACTTATTACTTTTGTTGTCTCTTCAAATAGAAAATACATTACTTAAGCTAGGTGGGTTGTTAGTCCTTTTCCTGTACTACTCATCTAATTTATTCCTTGTATTTAATGAAATACATTTTATGTAAATCATCCAGATTGAAAATTTTCTCTATTTCAGATTTTATGATAACATTAAAATTATATTTAATTTCAATTAATCTTTGGAGAGTGAAATTTAAAAAAATTAGATTTAAGGGTCTAAAAAACGGTGGTATCCGTACATAAATGATCTTATACTATCATCTAAGTTAAACGAGTGCATTCATTTCATTTCTTAATTCAAACTTGATTTTGTATTCTTAGTACCTCTTAAAAGTTTCCCGGTTAAGCTTCTGGGTTTCAGGAGAACCGCCTTCAGATCCTGATTTGAAATGAACTTTCTTCAAGTGATCTGCGAAGTCGTGCAGTCTTGGATCATTCTTACGGAGCCCTGAATTACGAAGAGCCTAAATAAATTTTATTATTAGTATACTAAAACAAAACATATACAGTAAACACAGAAATTTCAATCAGTATACCTCCAAATAGCATTACAACTTGTTTCAGCTACACTAATTTTAAACATTTTAGGTCAGAAGGCCACAAAATTTGTTTGCGGCCCCCAGGATTCACCTTAAGTCCGAGTCCGTTTTCATGGTTAAAGATAAATAGTCTATTGTCTATTGTGTAAGTTCTAAGGTCAAATAATATGGACTGGAATACTTTTCTTGCACCAAGTGATGATGAATTTAAATAATTGAGGTTAACAACTAACTGTGATAAGGTTTGAGTCATTGTTTTAGACTGCAAAATGAAAAATTCTTTGTCTGAAATTTTCGTCAATAAAAAGATAAATAGTATGTTTGACCTAACCCGCCATGTTAAACTTCCCTATCCCAAACATGATGTATGCAACTTCTTTACTTCACGAGTGATGTAAAGTTGAAAAAACTCACTCGGTGAGGTAATGAAGCTCATTTAAATAACATTGAGTGCTTAACTTAAAAAATATACCTCTATGGAGCCAACGACGTTCAACGCTATAAATCAGCTGTGCGCTTGAATTTTATTGTTATGCTTTGAAGAATTTTCCTAACCTAGCTTTTGTTTGTAAATGAACGTTTCTGTTAGAAAATGAGTGAAATGGATAGTGAAAAATATTGTTCGTAACCTCCTGTATATTGTCGGGTCAGGTAAAATCTTGTACGTTACACGTTACGCAAGAGCTTGTTTACATCACTTAGGAGAATTATGCAACTCGCTTCCACTCGTTGCACAACATTCACCTGCGTGATGTAAAAACGCTCTTACTACACTTGTAATGTAAATAGCTATTTTTACTAATTTAGAGAAGGTGTAGCGAATCGCTACAATAGCGCAAGTCACGTGACGACGATGCGCGCGCAGTCGGTCCGGCAAGCGCGCGCGGCGATCTACCAGAGTCGTAGTAGTGTCTCCGTCTCCGCCAACAGCACTTCTTAGTCCGGATAAGTACTTAAATTAAGAATATGTCTAGATAGTTTCGTAGGGGTTGGGGAAGGGTGTAGGTTAGGGTAGATAGTAATTAAATTATGTAATTTATTAGGTTCTCGAATGGTCGTGGTCTGGCAATCAATATCACAAATTTAGAACTCACATTTGCTAAATCTAGTTACCTTTCTCACGAATTAGAATAAGTCCAGATATATATATATATTAATTTCTCTGTTCAGTATATTATAATTAGATACATTAAAGAACATAACTACTGTAGATAAAAGTTTCTTCTTTCTTTGGAAAACTCACTAAAACTAAGGTAACTTTTATACTTACTGCTAAGAACTTCCCGATATGTATGAGATCCGTTTCCTCGTCTCTGAACATGTCAAACAATGTGTCTTCTGTGCTCTTGCCTCTATTGATGTACTGGTCCGCATCACTACAACAATCAATTATTGTTTTTGAGTTCTGAGCCATTGAGATGAAGAAAGGGTCAACGGGTTCCCTCATGACGTACAGTAGAACTCCGATTATCTTGATAATTTTGGACATGACTCCATATGGATGATAAAAATCTGCATAGTTGATTTTTCAGGATAGACAAAACTATAAGAATAGGCAAATGACTCGTCGCCTGCCAATCAATACGATGGCTATGGGACTCAAAGAATAATAGACACAATTTTCACTGATTAAAATAAGTAACGGATTACCACAAAGAGCAAAAATGCAAAGCTTATTTTTTCTGGCTGATTTTAATTTTCTTCTCCATTAAGTGATTGGCAATCTGGATGGCTCGAATTTAGTATAATAGAAGTTCTACTGAAGCTTCATTAATAATGAGGAAATCACAGAGGAGAAGATGAGCTTTATGTTCAGTAGATATGCTTGTGCTTTGGTAATGATTGGGTTTCAATTTGAAATGTATTCTGTAATATTGTACAGTTTGAAAGTCATCAGTTTCATTCTAAATGCCCCTCTGTCATACTTGCAGGAATCTTTCCTTCTGATCTCTTACTGTTGTAGATGTACATAAAATGGAGAACGATGTATAGAGGCGGGAAGGGGAGAGGTATACACATATTAGTGGAATTAAACTTTCCTTACCTTTACTGAATTACCAGTCTATGAAAACTCTAAATTCACCCATGGACATGTACTTTTTCTGAGACAAAGAGGTATTTTTTATAGATAAAAGGTAACATGGTTAGGACTTAATTTAGGACATTACATTCCTGTGTAGTGTGAAATCAATCAATGCTGGGTAAGCAGTGAAGCATGAAGAATCAAAACAGCATTTGACAGCATATATTATGAGTAACTAGTACCGGTAATCGTTTTCAAAATTAAAAAATATTGTTTGAATCTGCGGCAAACAGGTAAAAACATGCAGAAATTAAGAACATCGCAAAGAACTATTGCAAAATAAAATACTGTACAGCTATAATTACAATTAAATTAGTATAGGTTTTCTTCAGGTGTCCAATCTAGGTCCTTCACTTTTCCTACTCTATTCACAAAATTGTAAAACATACTTAGACTTGTCACCTTTTTCAAGTGTTTATATATTTATGCAGATGAGTTAAATCTTTAAGTATCTGATAAATATGAGGAAGAGATAAATCTAGCGTCATATTTTTTATTGCGAATAGTTTCATTCTGTTAAGAAGAAAATGTATTCATTTTAAACAAATCAGAATAAAACTGATAATAGTATAAGTTTTTCAATTCAAGATTAAGGAAATTGAAGCTAACAATAGAATTAAATTATAAGATTTAGTAGTCAGCAGTACATCAAATTATTCCTCAAGATTTTAATTAAATCATCACAAATATGTAAAAAGCACTTAAAAAGTATCTTTAAAAAAATTAAACTATTTTCAAAAAACTTGTTTCATATTTTGATGACAAATATATAAGCCTATACAAAATTTACTACGTCATGTTTGCAAACAATTATTTATACGGTTGGCCCGTCCTACGTACGGGAATCGAGTTCGAGTAGTCAATTAAAACTGTATATAGTGTACCTTTTACTAATTCAAGCATAGTTTAAGCAGTTCAAAATTTTAAGTCAAGAAAAAGCTGCCAAGATGAATTAAAATACCCCCGCCGCAGCAAACCTGCCGTCTAAGCGAATTTCCATTTGGCTGAATTGATTTTCAATTGATCTATTTAAATAACATTAGGTTTAACGAGTACCTAGGTTTGCTGCTACAAGGAATCTAATAAAGTGTGTGATTTAAGTAAAATAATTATTGCTTAGTATAAAATGAATATATTTGCCAAGTTTGATTAAAAGAAATCCATGAACAAGCAAACTACAACATTTTACAATATTCTTCATAAGAATAACATGGGAATTTTTAATTTACCATTTTTTAGTTTTCTCCGTAACCAATAACCGTACAAAAACACTTTGATATACTGAATTGTTTGTTTTTTTAAGCTCTTTAAGAAGGTTTGGAGAAAAATTGGGAAATGTTGTGTTGAGGGTCAAAAGTGAGAAAAACCAATTTTTACCCCATAAAACCCCCCATAAAACCCTGTTCCCATGGTCCGATCATGCTGGATCGCGAACTCATTCAAGTTTATCCCGCCTTACACCTTCAAACCAAATTGAATCAAAATCGGATAAAAATTACTCAAGTTATCGTGTTCACGGACACATATACATATATATATATATATATATATATATAAATGTCATTTCATTTTCATCCAAATGCTAAATTTGTGTCGAAAACTCTAAATGTTTACAGCTGTTACGATAAACAAATGGTTTTATACCAAAATCTAGTAGAATGTTAGTGTCGGCTGCTAGACTTTTGAATTTTTAAACTTAATTTCTAAAAAAACTGAAACCCAAAATTAAAATTATGGCTCTCAAAATTATCTTTCTTTCAACACAAAAATTATGAAAATCCGTCGAGTGGTTGATTCAGAATCGTGAAATAAAAAAACCCTGTCACGTTTCAATATTATAGATAGGGTAAATAATATGTTTAACCTGTATAGACTTTATCATGAACTACTACCTAATGAGGATGGCAATTTAAGTAAAGACACACCACACTAAAGCAAACGCTTATAGTCAGATACAGCCATAAGAACAAGACATTAACATTTTGATATTTGAGAAAAGCACAAAATGCATATTGAGCGGTTTTCAAAACTTACCATTCATTTGAACTAACCAGGTTAACAAAATTAGGAAGAGGATCAAAGATAATTTTTGTGTGTGAAATTAAAAATACTGCAGTAACTGAATAGTTATGTTTTGTTTTTTTGTTATAGCAGATTGCATTCCTGCTAAACTAAGTTTACTACAGTATAACAGTCTGACAGGAAAGAGTATAAAATAAACGTACAGTAAATATTACCTAAGTATTCTAGGAAAATAACTACCTATAAAAGATGCATGCTAAACAATAATGTAAATTTTAAATCTATCACACATAATATACCAAACAATTTCCTTTCAGGTTTAATATACACTAACACAAAAAAAATGACTGCAATTGTTTCAACTAAATTATGAACACAATCGTGCATTGATAAGTGCAAAAGGCTTCCACACGAGGAGTTTTGTTTACTTACGAGTGAATATAACTTGTATCGTGGATGAAAGCATATCCTCTTGAGGGAAAGAAACAACAGACAATGTTAAAACGATAGAGTTAATAAAAACCAAAACAAACTACTTGTGGGATATGTGTGTATGATTTAGTCAATTACTGAATACCATGACAAATTAAATGTAGCAAGCTAGGGTAAGCTTCAAGGGGCAAAATTCAAAACAAAACTTGAGGTTTGTACATTCTTATAGTCAGTAATATACCCTCACCATTGTCTAAAAAAATACGAAGTTGGTTTAAATACATCACAGGATTTTGGAAAAAGCACCACTGCTTATGATTTTGCAGCGTACCGTACTAAATCATAAACAAAACCTTTCATTGATAATTCTGTCAATACAAAACCATTCAAATACAATCGTGCATCTTAGTTTGTAAATAATTAACTAAAGCACTTATTTAAATTTTTCTTAAATTTTTACTGTTTTAACTCTACATTATTGTTGTCAGAATTATCTAAATGCAGTGCTCCAAAAGTAAACGCTCAATTGGCAAGTTTTGTGAATGGTGTCAATTTATATTGGCAGGCTTACAATCTTGTGAACATATTTTCTTCCCACTAAGCTGGCACATTATTCATTAACAGAATTATTCATTTTTAATCAATGTTACATTTTATAATAGTGGTTTTTCACACTATATAAATTGTCAACGATTTGAATTTGATCAGGAAAACCCGCCTATTGGTACATTCTAACTCAAGCATCCAAGTGTTGGATCCACCAACATAGCTTATAACCTAAGGTAGTCATTGTTTCTTGTGTTTATATTGTGTATTTCATTGTATTGTACATTATAACAAAAAGAAACAATCATAAAGATTTCATGGTCATTCATGCATTTAATCTTCCTGCGAGTTGTTTTGATGTATCGACAAAAATCCCTTTACTCTATTCATGAATTCATCTACTCTACAGCATTTCTATTCCAGTTAACGCTTTAACAACATAGAATTCTTCATCTTACGATCCTAGGTAAATGGGTGAATTACTTCATCTCATCGTAAACAGCTACAACTTAATAAACTGTAGTTACCAAAGTTAATTTTACGAAGACATGTAGTGTAGAACCTACACTACTATTTAATTAAAATACTAACTGTAACAAAACAGTTCTATTTTTTATTACATTGTAAATTTACCTATGGTATTGCACTTATTTCTGAATTTACCTTATGTGATAGGAAAGAATTACAAGAACAAGACACAAGAGTTCTAGTGATAGTATTAAGAAATACAAAATTAAAGTATAATTCATTACCTGTTCTGAGTAGTTTTAACTTCTGTTAGGATTGCCTTGAAGAAATCTCTCTCTGGAATATTAGCAGCCAAATTGGTACCTCCAGTGTGTTGTAATCTTGAAACCTAAAAGATAAAAAAAGCATTACGTGAGTAAGTATTTTAAAATTAAATGATCAATTTATTCTAAACATTGATTGCACATTGCACGTCACAGAGTAAATATATTTATCACTAACAGAATAACAAATTTGGAGTTAAAATATTCAAGTCTTACCTATTAGAAAAATTATAACTTATTGTAGGAATAAATACCTCCACCGCAGCAATCCTGCATACTTAGCGTATTTTCATTTGTCTCAATTGATTTTAAATTAAATCTATTTAAATAACATTAGGTTTAACATAGTACCTAGGTTTGCTGCTACAGGGATGCTAAAAGTGTGGTTTTTAGTAAAATATTAGTAGCTTACTATAAAATATAAATAAATTTGCCAGGTTTGATCAAAATATTTCCATAAACAAGCAAACTACAACATTTTACAATGATCTCCAAAAGAATTTTAAATTTGCAATTTTTAAAATTTTCTCCGTAACCAATAACCGTACAAAAACACTTTGGTATATTAAATTATTTGTTTTTTAAGCTCTTTAAAATGGTCTAGAGATATATTATGTTTTGAGGGACAACAATGAGAAAAACAATTTTTTACCCCATAAACCCCCTGTAAAAACCCATTCCTATGGTCCGATCATGCTGGTTCGCAAACTCATTCAAGATTATCCCCCCTTACACCTCCAAACCAAATTTCATCAAAATCGGAGAAAAGTACTCAGGTTATCGCGTTCACGTGCGTATATACATATATACAAATTTGAACGAATAGTGTTTTCGGCCTCTAGGGACATCAAAATGAAAAATATATCGGTCTCGGCTCCAGGTCTTACAGTGCCACCAACGTTAATAGCTAATTCCCTACAGGGAAATTAGCTAAAAGGTTAACCAATAAAAAAATATATAGAAGAGTTCTTTCATGGCGCAAGACAAATGAACTGTTTTTCTTTTTATTTAAAATCCCTCACTCCTTTTAAATTTTTCTTTAAAGCAAAGCAAATTAGAAACTAAATTCAGTCCACTAATATCACAAGAATAAGATTAGATGCTATGTTATTGCGTTCACTTACGTATATATACATATATAAAAATATATATATAAATGTGATATCTTAGCATATAATTTGATCTAGGTGGATGAAAGCATTTCTTGAAACACTATTAATACATTGTTAATATGTATTATTAATGAATAATGAATCAAACAATACTTTTGTAAGTGAAAAGAGGTACCTAATAATCTGTTTGTAAAAAAGGTAGGCCTGATTTTTTTACTTTTAAATGATTACTCAGAAATGATTCCTTTATAAAAAATAAATAAAAAAAAATCCTTTTGGAAATTTGTTTTTCCCCCACTATACAATTACATGCTTATAAAATTTTCCAGTTTTAAATATTTAAAAAAATTCAACTGGCAAGGAGGATAGACTCATTATTTACCTATGTATTTTTATTATCATCAAAACACAATACTCACAGGCTTTGAAAGGACGGTATTTTCAGAGGTGTTAATTTTCGAGTTACCTCTCACATTTACACCATTCCAAGACGAGCAAGAGCGCAATAAATTCACTGACACAACATGACATTTATTCAGTTCCTTTAGAAACGCAGTCGGCCCTAGCTTTTTAATCATAGCTTATATTTTGTTCAAATTTATAATGTAGGCGTGATAGGTCGGTCGATCGTAGAAAACGTCGTCTGCTCCTAGTTCAGAGACAACTGAAATAAACGTAATGACTATCGGGCAAACAGACGGTCATGCGCACTATACTGATAAACTTCGATTACTCGGTGTCCATATCGGTCGATATATAGAGCCATGTTATAATTCGGTATCTAAATCGTATGCGTTTTCTAAACTGGAACAAATTAGAGAATGAGGTTTGTGGGGCGTGGTTTATTGGGTTGAGGGCACACGGCACAGAGACCAGAGACACGCATCTTTCTTCTCTGTAGTTTAAGAGAAAAGTTCCTGAAAATTAAGAAGTAAACAAAAACACTGCATAAGAATTGTATCTTTAAGCCAGATAAATTCCTGGAAGAGAAATGCAAACAGTATGGAGAAAAAACCCTGACGACCAGCAAGTAAAAAAATAATAAACTGCGAGAAAAATCGATACATTTTGCTTCAAGTATAAAATGTACCGGTAACTATTATTAGTAGTACGCATATTAAAAAAAGGCTGAGGAGTATTAAATCAACGAATACTGCACATATTAGTATTTTTGGTCTTTCTTTACTAAAAAAAGCGAATCTATGGTCTTACTGTACATTAACGATTCCGAAAAGAAAAGGTAAAACTAACCAATAAACCAATGATCGTTCAAAAAGCTGTACGATAATTTTATGTTTTAGCCATAAAACAAAAAGTCCACCTCTCCCACACTTAATGTGTTAAAAGTTCTAAAATCAATGGTAAGAATTTAATAAGGTTAGCGTCAAGTTCTTCTATAGTGTCTGTATTTTCGCTGTTCTTGTCCATTCGTCATGTATCCATGGCGCCGTTTTGCGGCTTTGCGCTGATTTGAGCCAAACGAGAGACCATGAACCGACACAACCGAATGCACCTACGATCGATATATCCAACCGAACGATAAAGTTATCCGTTTACTCGGCCTTCTCAACGTAAAACTAACCAGGATAATCGATATTTCGCGCGTTCACTGATAATTCTGTTAAACTATGGAATTCTACAAAATCTCAAAAACAGTTATTCCATTCATCAACTGCAATATTTCAGTTGGTGTTTGCTACATACTTCCACCATTTATGTTGCAGGTCTAAATTATTCTTCATGGTTTTTAACTTGATTTTGTAGGGACGAACATTTATTTAGAAATACATTTTTTATTGCTTTAAAGATGCAACTGTTTTTGTGTTGTAAAACTTTGCCATAAAATCAAGCTATATCACAAGGGTATAAGACAAGACAATTTGTAGGCTACATCATTGTGTTGTAGTTGTAGCCAATTAATTATAAGCTGATACTCATCCAAAATGAAATAACTGAATGACAAGTTCATAAAAAAGGATTTTTAAGTTTGTTAAATATTGATATAAAAAGTTCCTAGTCATTTTTATTCGGCATGTGCCAGTAGGTTGACTTTTTTATCCCATTAGACTTAAGTTAGGTTGCATTTTAAAACATTTTTACAAATATTTGCTTTTTTGAGAACAATTGTATATTAATTTTTTTTGTCCTAGGACGCTAGGCACGAGCCTGGGATTGTTTTCCACATTACTTCAGGCTAGACCTAGGGGGTTGCGGCGTTATCACTTAGATAAAATCCATTGGTGACTTGGCGGGGATCGAACCCGGACCCTCAGGAACTGAAGTCCCGCGCTCTAATCACTACGCCAGCTCGCTCCCCCAATTATATTAGATTGGTTTATACTAAATTACATTCTCCTAGGTACAAATAGTTGGTTCAGTAAAAAAATACTTCCTTTAGGGGAAACAAGCCAGTGCTCAATGCCTCTTTATGACTATCCAAACAAATTTATTTTGGTACCCTAAAAAAAACAAACAAAAATATACAAAACTCTAGCATGTTAATGTTTGTTCTCAATCAGCTGGTAAATGCTACTCAACCAACCAACTAAGCTTTTATTTTACTGCAGTTTTTCGTGTGACCTTTTCCTGTGATGGGCACATTTTCACTTTGAAAATAGGTATCCCTTGGTGCTCAAACCCACATGTAAAAAATCGTTGTACTGAAATCTCAACAACATAGGTCAACAATCCACAAGTGGCAGATAGTCTTGATAGTTATTATTCAACTGTCAAAGTTATTTACCTGAAAATAAATCGAGTGTGAAGAACGAGCCCTCTGCTAGAGTATGATAAAAGCATTCCTCAACTCTTTAAATTAGCAAGCATGTTGTGATGTTTTGCTTTAACACCCAGACACTAACTTGAGAAGACGTTTCCTTGTTGACAAACAGTTATATTACGTTTGCCCTTGCACTCCATGTGTTGACAAATCTTTGTTTTTCATTGAGATTAACATCTGATAACCACTGCTTGGTTTTGGAGTGTTGGTACTTCACAAAATCTACTAACCATGACGTCAAGAACATTGTAAACATAGAGTGCACTCATCACTGAAGATCAGAAATATTGGTGAATATTAATGACCTTACATATTTTATTGTGGTTGTATTCAGCAGTATTCACCTTTTTAAATAATTGGTAACTGTCTCCTCTTGAACATTTGTGCAATAAACTAATTTGTCAGTGAAAAACATAACCAGCCAAGTAAACAATTTTAAGACTTATTTACTCTTACCATTTTCTCTCTAAACTTGCTCATTTAGGAGCTACATGGCACAGAATGTACACTGCAAGTAATTTTTCTTAGTTTTAACACACTATAACTCCTAAATTAGAAGCTTCAGTGAAAAAATGCCAAGAATAAAAATGTTTTAAAATGGCATTTACTTTCTAAAAAAATCATAAATAAAATATGGGGTCTTCTATAAGAAAAAACAAAGTTGGCGGTAATATTGGAAATATGGCGGTTAAAATTATTTTTTTAACTTGACCAAAATGTTTTAGATAAAAAATCCCAGGTCAGGTCTTACTATGAGACCTACGGTAACTTACTTCCCTAAAGGGCATCACTAAAAAGTGAAAAACTTGAATACGATTTCTGGAATCCATTCAAAAGTAAACATACTTCTACATTAATAAAAAAAAAAAAAAAAAAAAAAAAAAACATTTATGATGGCAGAATATTGATTGTTTTAGTCACTTTGTATGTTTGTCATTTTGAACACATTTCTGAATGAACGATTAAGAAAAGTTAAAGGGGATATTTTTATCACTAACTTAAAACTCTTTAAACAAGTCCAATTTTGATTGAACCTTCTACAAATTATAGTAAATATCTGTCTCTTATTTACAGTGCATTTGGTAGCAATTTCAAAATTGCAAGAATCCAAATGTTATCTTAACCAACCCTATAGCTAAAAAAACTAAAAAACATTATCAAGGTAATAAAATGCACAATGCTCCAATTACAGATATATATTTTACAAAATCATGAATTTACAAAAGGGCTCTTTCCTGTAATTAATAAAACTAACAAATATAATGATCATTGCAAGGAAAATAAAAATAACTGTAACATAAACGTTATCTGAGAAAACAATGGATACCAGTAATTAGTTAGTTCCAAATAATGCATTAGCTTAGCCATAAAAAAGTTTCATAATACAGTAGGATGTATAACTAAAATAGTCGACTAGATAGAATCACTAGCTGATAAAAATAAATGTAAAATAAAAAAAAAACTTCTAAAAATAAACCACCAGTAAAATTTGTAATAATTTAAACTAAAATTTAGAATGTTAAAGCAGGTTTAGGATTTAAAAAATAAAAATAAAAATACTTGTGCAAAATGCCCAATGATAGGTAGGAGTTTTGAAATTAAAATACTGCTATAAGAACAAGAACTGATTTTAATTTAATCCTAAAGCTACTTTAAAGAGGTAAAATGGGGGTTTTATGATTTTATATCCTATTTAGAACATTCAGAATAACAAAGAAATATTATTAATTTGAATTTTTAATACTAAAACACAAATCTTACAAAAACTTAAAATTGAATTTCTTAGTGTAGGCATTAAAATAAAGCAAGCTCTACCATAGCAACTCACTGGTAAAGTAATAACACTGACTTTTAGTCTCTAAGGATGGATAAGAAAATAAATAAAAAATACTTAAACAAATCAACACACATGAATAAAATAAAAATCATAATTTTGCTCATCAACCTTTAGTCTGAAATACTGTTATTATCATTGTAATACAAGAATAATTTCTTACTCTTCTCAATTTTAACAATATCTATAAATATAAAAACAGTAATATAATTTTTAATATAGGTCTACCTATGATAATACGTGTAAATTAAAATCAAATCTTGCATCAGGAACAACAGGCCTTGTCTATATAATTCTCACTGAACAAACTTATAATTCTGTTTTGTTTGACATTAAATTGTTTTTTACTTTTATATGTTCATGTCCTAGGACGCTAGGTTCTAGCCCGGAACTGTTATACACATTACTTCCTAGAGCGTAGTCCTAGGGTTCGCGGCATTATTGAATAAATAAATAAAACCCATTTGTGATTGGCAGGATTTGAGCCCAGGGCTAGCACTAGACCAGCTTACTCCCCAAACTAAATAATAGTAAGAATTACATTTTCACATAAATATTGTGCGATAATTTAGTCGAAAACTTGTTCTTATCACCCATAGAAAACTTAACTGTTTTATGCTAGATTTTGCAAAATAGCAATTACTGTAAAAAACAAAACAATAACTTCATTTGAAGATATACAAAAAACCTTAACATTGGATTTAAAGACAGACTGTGCAAAAAAACAGAAATAAGTGGAACCTGAAAGTTTGGTAATTGTCAAAGTCCCTCTAATAAGACTGTATTTCTAAGAGAAGAAACAAAATACATTTATTCTGTAGAAAATCTAGTCTAGACAGCCAAAATGTAATTAATAAAATCAAATCCTAAATCGCTAAAACCATCAACTATACACTATGTGAGTAAACAGTTCGTTGGAAGGAAAATATGAAGATGTCACAGTTAGTCGGCCTTTCAGACCTTTAAATTAATTGAATTGTTAAACATTCATGGATCAGATATTGATTCATTTTTTGTGTAAAATGTTAGCTATTGTGTTTGTCAGCGTTTTACGTTTTAGTGGGCAACGTTGTCTATGACACTAGCACTGGCACAATCCAAGTAAGCACTAGTGAACCTTGTCTGTTTTGTTTTGTCATTTCAAATTAATCCAATGTACGAGTTGTCTGCTCAAATAGTGTGTTAATGCTAAAACTAACAACTAAAACAGAAAATTCTTACATTTCCACTTGACCCTATAACATATTAACAGAAGTAAACCTTCAAATAGTTATACTAGTTCCTTCTAAATTCTGAACACATCATTTTCTTGTTTACTTACACAATAATAAGTAAATTTCTGACAATACTACATTTATAATTTTCAAATAAAATACTAATCTTGTTCTAAACTTTCACTTGAACCAAGCGATTCTTCAGCTACATTACCCTATTGTCACCGGAGATAATAAGTAAAAAAATTCACAATTCCTAATATCTTCAAAGATATACACACTTTTAACAATTAAAGCTAATTTAACTTGTAACAACCTACACTACTTATGGTAGTAGGAATACTATTTCTCTTAAACTTGCTTGTATTTGGTTACTGAAAAACACTTATTTTAGATTTCAAGTTACCAATACAGATTTAAAGCATGATTCAGGAACAAAAATCTTTCTTAATACATGGTTTTTGTTATACTTTTGTTCGATATTTGAACGTTTAAAAAGTCTTTTAGCAATACACAAATGAAACTACGAAGTAAAGAGCACCAGAAACTATTAATAAGTTGAATGTATGATTAACAAATTGCAAGTTAAAGTAAGTTAAAACAGTCTCTCAAATTGTACACACAGACTGCATGACATAATTATTATACTAAAATCACAAAAATCTACGTCAAAAGAAGTTTATAAAATTTACAGGTAAATGCTTACTTGATAACATGGATCAAAAGTTGTTTTTTAACATTTAAGTTATATCCCTGTAGAACATAAAAAAATAAAAGAGACAACTGCTTACCAAAACATTCCTGTTTAACCTAAACTGATAGATTATAAAATCAATTGGTTCTTTGAATTCACTACCATCACTATTTGGTTTAACAATCCAAGTTTCCATCCACTTGTATTTCATGCTAAATAAATTTAATTTATAACATGATCTTCCATTAAATTTATTACCAAGATTGTATTGTATGACAACTTCCCTTTATTTCAGTTGAGAGAGGTTCTACTGTATATATCTTCTCAGCAAGTTTTCATATTTTAGGTTGTCTACAACAAAAAAACTTGTCTTACCTGATTCAGCCATAATAGTGGTAAAGAATCGACAAACTCAAAACATGTTGAAATACCACCTCCTCTTTGGCCGTTTATAACACTAAGATTGCGAAAGATCCGACATCAAGATGTGTAGTGGAGGGGGGACTCGGGCGGTGTAAGGTAGCGGGACAGGCTGTCCTCTGATTGGTGGACTTGCGCGACGGACTGACAGGACTGCGACTGAGGCTCTGTCTTTGATAGCGAAACACAACGTGGGATTGTAGCTACTCCGTTGGATATCTCTCTTACTCGCTTACCACTCTCTATGTTGACGATAGTGTCGCCTGACATGGAGAAAGTTTGCAACTGCGTGGGTGGTTCATGGTTTACAGTTTGGCCTGTAAAAATTGAAGTTCATTTAGTTTGTTTGTTTTTGTTATATATATAAAAAAAAATTCATTTTAAAATCCTAAACACACTTGCAAACCTGAAAGGTTTCATATCCCCTAACTATGGATATTACTTTATTATACAGTATTAGAAACTAGAAACACAACATAAAGTGTACTTCAGGCAATAAAAATTACCAGATATCTCTTCACATTCAACCAATAAACATTCAAAAACACAACCAAATTTGAGTTATACACTACCGTTTTATTTGTAGTTGATAAAAAATCATTTGTATGACAAAAATATCCATAAAAAAATGTTTGCACAAATAGGACTATTTTTAATGTCTTTCCTTCACATCCTGGGACGCTAGGCTCTATCCTGGAACCGCTTGGTCCTGGGATCAAAACCAGGACCTCAGAGACCCAAGGCCAGCGGTGTCTTTACCACAGCTCGCTCCTAACTACCAACTACACGACTAGTGACTGTTTTCATTTTGTTGCCGAGGTCGAGCAGTGTTTCACTTACCATTGACGTTAGTGAAGGGGAAGGCCGTGATTGTGACAGTGGCGGGGGAGCGCTCCGGCCGCTGCGGCGGGGCCTCTACACAGCTAGGTGGTTCCCCACACAGCGGGGGCCACTGCGGTGACGCTCTCAGCTCATGCTCTACATTCATGTACTTCTTCTTCACACTCGTCTCCTTCCGTCTATCAACAATGAATTTAATATTATACTACAAATTGATATTGGGTCTGGGCGTAATTAAACCCAAATAAAATATGAGTGAAGGACAAGAGTGTAGAATGGAGTAAGATGTCTTGGGTAGCAATGTTACTGACATAACAGCTGCTTTGTTAAGCAGGTTCATTTATTCAAGGTGGCCACAGAACTCCTGTATCTTTGCGTATTTGGAATCTTACTTTCACATGACATTAATTTAAAACTTCAAGAAATAGTTGTTTCAATTTTTCAGCAAACTAATAGCAAATTTTAAGTTAATATAATCACTCAACTTATTTAAATGTCAACAAATAGGAATAAAAAGTAAAAAAAAAGTTTCTCCTAATCAATATCACACATTTTTACTCTTAGGTGTCTAGCACATTAAAAGCATACTAGTGCACCTGTTGCTCGAATTCGAGCAAATGCAAAGTATTACATGCGTTATTTCAAAACAAATAACAGTAATAATTTCCGATTACTTAAAAAGAGTCAACTCAAAGATAATGAAATCAATCACTCCCAATACTTAATTTTGACGCATCGTTTGTAAAAATCCGTCCATTATTAACGTAGGCGTAGGAGTAGTGTTTCGTAGAAAACGCCTTCATGTATTATATATAAGGATTATGGAAAATTAATTTAATTTAAGTTCCTTAAAGGTTAGAGGGTCTTAAGTTTATGAGTAATCGATGCTCTGTTCACAAAATTTAGGTGGTTTTAGGGAAAGAAATCTATCCTCTCCACTTGATCCTAATTTAAAACAAAAGACCAACAGCTCAGGTTTGCCACTACTTCAATCAGCTGCAACAAGTATATTAAGCAAACAAAATAGTGGGAGAACTTCCCCTCAAACCGCATACATTTTGTGAATGGATTTTAAATATCAAGTTAAAATACCTTGCTCTCAGTTTGTAGAAAATGAGATAGTCACAGATGAAGAACTCGTGGATACCAGCAAGCACAAAGTTGACACCACACATGACTACAGAGAAGATTCTGAAGTCCATTTCCGGAGGGACAATGAGTTCAAACTGCTCCTGGACCCACTGGTGAGGTCCGATGATGAGATAGAAGGTGAACACTGTGATACCTGTCACAGAGGCCAGCAGTGTCCAGTTCTTGTAGAGAGGCAGACGGTACGGAGCTCCTAAAGAAACGCATGTCCAAAAACATTTAATGTAACCCTTAATACATCCCAATGAAAATTTTCTATATTTTGGTTTAAAGTTTAGCCAGCTTTATTGTGTTTTCTATTAGACCCTGGAGTCAAAATTTCTTAGGTTCTCAAGCTAGCAGAACTCTATTCCTTTGAAAAAAGTCCTTAGTTACAACGTTACAATACAAGGCAGTTGGCTTTCCTTAAAAATACATTTTGGTTTAATTTTTTGATTTCCTAGGACAAATACATCGGCCATAACTTATTATGCACACAAAAATCATTTCCAGTTCCATCAGTTCCTAAATTAAAATTTAGTGGCCTTGACCGATGAGACTGCAAAGCGCATAATTCTGGATTGCGAGACTCTTGGGGGTAGGAGAAGAACCCTGTTTGGTCTCAAGCATCCAGTCAATGAATTAGACACAATCATTGAGCAATTGGGGCTTACATATTAATCTACAGTATGGTTTGAGTCAGTCCCTTTCCTTAAATTAATCAATACTTCTTAATTCTTAAGATAGATAGAATTGCAAATTTTTTCTTACCTTTAGAGAAGACCACAGCCAGTATGACATACTGCATGCTTGATATGGCAAACAGAGCATAGTTCTCATAGCAAGCTGAACCCACACCTTCCAACTCTGCCTTAGTGGCGTTGTACGGAACAAACCTGCGGTTGAAAATAAACCCAGCTGTTTTATCTGCACTTATCTTGAGTAATAATTACAATGCAGATTTAAAATATTACACACACACATATATAAATTAGAAATAGGTTTTTTTATTTAAGTAAAATACATTTTCTCAACAAGTGTTCACGAGAAGAGAAACTGTAGTGTCAAAAATCTGAACGCCTGTTGTCAACTTTGATAATTCAGTACGGCTTTCAAATAAAAGGTTTGACTGGCAGAAAAAAAGTAAAACAGAAGAAGCAGCCAAAAATTAGCTAGTTTTTCAACAGTGGTTAGGGTTTTAGTGGATGTAATAAGATCACATTTATTCATTTCTTGATAAAGAGTAATAAAAGATCAAAATATGTATGTAAGTACTAAACAATTTAATATTTTTAAATTAATTTAACCTATCCATTTAAACATACAATTGACTAGAGGCCTAAGCAGGATTTAAAGGATAAGTTTCAAACAAATCATTACAGTAGAGATCCAAACCGATAGGGATTGGACATAGTTCTTGTTATCTATTTGTTCGTGAATAGATGACAAAACATCAAAATAATCTCACAAACAAAATCAGGCCTGTTTTTTTAACGCACCATTGCAGGAACCTACAGGAAAACGACATGATATGCACGATTATGACGCAACCAGTGTCAAAACCTTGGATGCAGTCTACGTTATCTGAACTGGGACAAAAAAGGTATGCCAACCACTACAAAAAGTTGTACTTTCATTTTGCACATTCTTCTCAAACCGGTTGGTATTGTGGGTACAATACCTACTCAAAACTAATACTGACCAATCAAACTTCTGCACAGAGAAGAAGCTGATGAACTGCAGCGCCATGACAACTGCCATCTGACCAATAAGAGAGACTATGGGAGCCAGCGACATGAGAGAGGTCTGTGGCGCGAGGGGCACCAGCGGGCCGGGGTAAGCCTCGGTGCGACCCAGCAGGAATGCAAACGTCGTGATGATGAACAGGTCGATATACAAGTACTGTTTGTCCGTCAGGTTGCTGTCTATGGAATACAGTATCATGACGGAGATAAACTGAGTCAGACTGTAGGCAGCCATGTACTTGAATATGCCAAAAGATGTCACCAGTGCTGCACGACCTTCTCGGATCACCTGTGTAATGAGTATAGATTGGAAATTATGCTCAGAAACAAGGATGGTTTCCACAAAAAATTGGTCATTAAATTAATTTCTATTGGTTTACAAGATTTTCTGTCTTGCTCAAGGTAGCACCACTGGATTTTGGATATTTATGTAGACATCCCATGTAAATGGACCAGCTGTCGCCAATTATTCATCAAAAAAGAACATAGTTCTGTGAGTTCGTCATAGATTGTGCTAGTGTCTAGAATTCTATGTTCATCCTTTATTATTTGTTGGCAAAACAACAAAATAGTTAATGAGACATAATAGATATACTATAGCTTACAATAAGTCGTCTCATTAGTTTGACTTGGTTGAAAAACCCGCATACTCGTCAGAAATAAGTGATTTACATCAGTGCAATTTGTCGGTGGCTCACATCAACAAAATTTGTTTTCATTAAAAAACTGGCGACAACTTTATGGGATGTCTAGTTTTGTAAAAAGTCAGAGGTAGTCATCACCAATGACTTATGGATACGGAAGTAACCATCTCATCTGCATGGAACAGCTGTAGCCAATTAAAAAAGACGTAGTTGAATGAGCTGATTGTAAGTCTAAAATTAAGTTTTACCCCCAATTTTTGATACTATGATAGTTGGTGTGACTAAAAAGATGGTATAGTTTAAAATAAGTTGTCCTTTGAGTGTTGCTTGATTCAAAAGTTGGCATGTTCAACAGAAATAATTAATTTTACATTATCGGTTTTTGTGGGTGTTTCAGATGAACTATTGGTACATTCATTTTTTGTAAGTCTTGCTATATTTTTTAACATAGGGATGGAATGTATAGTTCTCTATCCATAGTCAAAGGTAACTTAGCAAATGTTCGCATAAATTTTTTTAAATTTTACTTTTACTAACACTGTTGACTTACAATATGCTATGATTCACAATTGGTGTCCATTGAGTTTTGAGATATAAATACCTTTCAATAAGGGGTCTGCGGTACAGAAAATTTAAGGTCCGTACGGTACAATATTTTGTTCCTCGGTTCTCGGTACAAAATCGGTACGGTACGCGGCTACCCTATTTTTCCGGTTTTCTGCTCACAACTGTATCTAAACCATTATTTTTAACTTTAATACATTGACATTACTATGAAAATGGATAGTATCCTACATTCATGGTTTTCTAACAACAATTACTGTACCACACATTATTAAAACAAAACCTTTTACTACTACGAGGATTGTGTCAAGAAAAATCACAGTTAAGATAAAGGCTTTACCTATTTTACTCTGAGATACTTTGAATAGCCATGATAAAAGTGGTTTTAAAAATAGGATAAGAGTTTTTAGGAATAAACATGTTTGAAACATTTATTGACAAGATGATTTCACACAACTGGTAAATTATTTCCAACCAACACAATGTCTAGTTGTTTTTAAAATTTTTAAAAACATATAAAAGCATTCAGTACGAAGACAGTGTAGTTGCCAGCTGTTCACAGCAGACGACAATGAAAAACTGAAGGTTATGATGAAGTAATGGCAAAGAGCACCTTTTTTTTTAATCAGCTTCAAAACTAGTTATAAGATGAAGTTAAATCTTGCAAAGTTTTTTTCTGAAACTAAAATTTGGATTATTACAGAGTAAGATTATTGTCTTTTCATTTACAAAGTTAACATCCACAATATCAATCATATCAATCATTAGGTTATCTCAGGCTCAATCAAATTTTCTTAGTATATTTTAAAGCTCTTCCAAAGAATCAAAAGACCCAGACCTAGACCTAATTATTTAGGAAGGCCTAAATTGATTAGGTTACAATGAGGGTAGCAAAATCACTATCTAGTTCATAAGATTTAGATTGCATAAAGTACCTTCAACACAATAAAAAATACAGAAAACTAAAAAAACATTTAAGCCTTAAACAGCCACATCTAACAATGTAAGCCGAGATACAGAACTGCAATGACATAATTTGAGACCAAGTAGGCTTGCATAGTAGAAGAAATTATGCAAACACAACAACAACTATGCTTGTGGTTTCGTCAATAGACAGATAAAATATCTATAACAAATATTTTAACTTATAAAATAAGACTGTAGATTAGTTACAAGTTTAATTTGTAGCCATAAACAGTTTTATGGCAGTAGGCAATGGCCAGCGGCAAATTGAATATTAACGAAAATACTGACTGAGTTAGAGATAACATTTAACAGTCATCATAAAACTATTGTTTTTATGATAAAATAGAATTGGGGAAAGTCGTAAAGAAATAAAAGTGATAAAACTCAACAGTTCTTGGAAGTACTTGAATACAACAAATATTTTCGTGACAAAATGTTAATGGATTTGGGACTGCTAATGGGGTTTTTATTGCATCATCGCCCTAGTAATAAATTATGAAGATCGTAAACAAACATCTGATAAGACTTTTATGTGCTCGGAACCAACTGTCGTTGACTAAGATAGTAAACTGAAAGTAATTTATTATTATAATAAGCTGTACCGAACCGAATTTGTACCGTGTAAAATGCTGTACCGAACCGATTGACGGTAATTAAGCTTGTACCGTACCGTACCGAATTTTTCGGTGCACCGCAGACCCCTACTTTCAATATAAGACAGAAAACAGTAGGTATTTCATGTATAACAAACTGTTATCAGTTTGATTAACATTCAGCCGTATTCCTTTTTATCTACAGATATTCATAAAGCCCAGTCAAACTGTGTTACTTAGCCATTATGTTTGATTAAAAGACCAATCAATGGAACCAGTTTCAAACGGTCAAAAGGCAAACAGTCACAAGACTTCTAAAATTATATGATACAACACCCAGTGGTTCTCTCACCTTGACTACACACTCAATGTTGGGGTCCTTAGATGTGAACGGAGAAGCAACTGAGGACTCGGCCTCGGACAAAGAGATGCCTGCATGAGCTGCCTTGAGGGCTCCACAATCATTGGCTCCGTCTCCACACATGGCTGGAGAAAATAATAAGTAAAGTTTACCGGTAAATAACAACTTTGTAAAATTTTGTAGGTTCTGGAATCTGATCCCGCAAGTAAGGAAGTACACTGCAGGGCTGTTTTTTTAAATAATTGTGGGTGCAAACCTTACTTTTATAACCAACCGTACTTTTATTTTTTGTATAGGATTACGAGTCCCGCACAAGGTATCTACTATCTTTCCCAATATACAGCCAAAATATGGCAACCCTATACATTATCCTCCTAATGTAAATCTCAACCGTAATCATAGGCTTACCAACATAGTAGCCGAGAGACTGCAGTGTCTGTATCAGTTGTTGCTTCTGGTCGGGTGACATGCGTGAGAACACAGCGCCTCTGGTGGCGATACGAGGTACCAGCTCTGGGTAGTGAGTGCGGATCACACTCCACGTTGCACCAGTCATCGCCAGGCTGTAGTTGGTGATGGATGCTGTGTCTTCCGGCCCACTATAACATCAGGTAAATTGTTTATCTGACTTTTACAGTAAATTAATTATTGTAAGTAAAATACATGAGGATTGTTTGTAAGTAAAGTTCTCCCAAGATCTACTGTCATGGCAAAGCAAATTAGCTCAAACGGAGCACAATTAATTGAGGCCGTAGCTACTAAATGGGCATATCTCAAAAACTGATGTTTTGAGATACTCGCTGTTGAAGTTTAGGGGTTATGTTTGGCTGTCAGCGTTGGGTTGGCAGTCTCTATGCTTAAACGGCCTAGTGACACCAGCTGACTTTGAGAATCATACCAACCAAACAAACTGAAATACACCGACTAACTGGGTTAGTCAACCAGATTATGACAGATTATGATCATGTGTCGATCATAATAGTTTCAAAGATATTACATTTTAACCTAATGTATGGAAAATAACAGACCAAACCCCAACTAAATTTTAAGAAAAGTAATTTACTGGTAATTTGATGTATTGATTTAAATTAAATTAGCAATGGTCAACTTACTGTATAGGAATATATAACATCAAGTTCAATAACTAATGATGTTATAATAGCAAGTCTTAAAATAGGCAGAGAAATTTACTAACTTTTCCCATATGTAAGTATTTAAGCAGAAGACATATAATAAAAAAATACAAGAGGCCAAAAATTATGTAAGCATCATGAAAATAATTGTAGGCCTAAAGATAAAATAACTCGTAACAAAAAGATCAACTAATTGATGATTTAGCCTACAAAAATTGACCCATCAAAACCTACTGTGCTAAAGTTTGCAATTAAAAGTGTAAAAGCTAATAATGATTTATAGAAATTCAAACAAAAAATAGTTTAAGGTAAAACACTAAAAATAAATACCCTGTTTACAACTGCCAATGATTTTCTCAGTAAATTTGGCCTTCCCAGTCTGAAAAATTAACATTAACAATTGTTATAATTTCATAATTGAATCGTAACAAAAACAAAACAAAAAACTTCTTAAGTTCTAGGAACTAATTTTCAACCATATTTAGTGCTGGTTTGATTTTGATTTTAGAGTATTAATATTAGATACACTAAATGAGTTAAACTCGTAGTTATGTAAATTTTTTTAATCAGACACCTCAAATTCTTTGGAAGTTAATAAGGTTGAAGGATAAGAAAACTTTACTCTAAATTGTAAAAGTTACAAAAAAATGAATTAATTAGTTCTAAGACAAATCTTAGAGAAGAAAATCATTTTCTTTTGATTGACCTGGTTTTATAATCAGCCAATGTTGAGTTGGAGATGCTCTGATTTTGGCTAAGATAATAATGTCTTCGCAAAGGGTGTTACCAAACCATCTCTATGGGTCTAGGGATGTTGTTTATTGTTACCTACCAGATGTTGTTGTCCACAGGCATCTCAAGATCTGTCATCACGCTGTTGTGAGCCGAGCCGTTGGGAATGTTGTTGTTGAGAGTTACTGTCCCAGACTCAAGTGTATCAATACTCATCATGCTGAACGTTCCTGTCATCTGGCTCTCATTGAAGATTGTCTGAATCCGCAAAACAATAATCCAACATTAGATCCAGTTCATAATTGGTAATTAATTAGAGGTGTTTGGAACACCTATTAATTTAGAAATTTTTCACTTTTCAAAAGTTAGTTACTTTTTTAATCCTTGTATAATCAAAAGTTTAAAATAATAGGGAAAGAATTTCAGGACACTTTGCACAGTAATTTGGTTCACAAACATCATACAGACATCATCATTGTCACCCCTCATACTGGCGACGTCTCCCGTAATTGTGTACATTGTTACTCCCGACATGTCAATATCGCTGACAATTAGAACAAATCCCGTCCCAAGAAAATCCCTATTCAATTCCTGTTTCGACTAAGAATATAGTTTTACAAACAATTGTCCATCCCTAGTTTATTTATAATGTTTACCATGTTACGGTCTGTCTTCTGGGGTCACGACTAAATTGTGAACATATTCCGCAGTCATCGCAATTTAAGAATGCTTCCGGAATTAAATCATGAACATTTTCTATGATCACACAGACACCATCATCGTCTCCCGCAGTTGCAGCAAAACTTGTTTTGTTATTGTAAAAGATGAAACAAATCCAAACTGAGTTAAGCTCAAAAATTATTTCCAGCCTGAACCGAGATTTCTGGCCAATTATTGACCCAACTGGACCCAATCATATCAAAGACCTGAAATTATCGGGTGACATGAATTCATAATCCCCACCCCCAGTTCCTAAAATGGCCATAAATTCCCATAACTAAAATCATTTACAAATTACACAGAAATAAGATTACCAGAGTGTCAGTAGGGGAGGTGATGTTGTGTTGGGTCTGCATGTAGTACAACTGAGGAGGACTGCCGTTGTGAGCAGCTGTGGAGTTGACAGTGATGACTCTACGACCTGGAGGGATGATACCACAGTCACGAGCTACACTGAGAGCAGTCAGCACATTGTCTCCTGTACAACAGACATGAATTGTGTCAGTAGGGGAGGTGATGTTGTGTTGGGTCTGCATGTAGTACAACTGAGGAGGACTGCCGTTGTGAGCTGCTGTGGAGTTGACAGTGATGACTCTACGGCCTGGAGGGATGATACCACAGTCACGAGCTACACTGAGAGCAGTCAGCACATTGTCTCCTGTACAACAGACATGAATTGTGTCAGTAGGGGAGGTGATGTTGTGTTGGGTCTGCATGTAGTACAACTGAGGAGGACTGCCGTTGTGAGCTGCTGTGGAGTTGACAGTGATGACTCTACGACCTGGAGGGATGATACCACAGTCACGAGCTACACTGAGAGCAGTCAGCACATTGTCTCCTGTACAACAGACATGAATTGTGTCAGTAGGGGAGGTGATGTTGTGTTGGGTCTGCATGTAGTACAACTGAGGAGGACTGCCGTTGTGAGCTGCTGTGGAGTTGACAGTGATGACTCTACGACCTGGAGGGATGATACCACAGTCACGAGCTACACTGAGAGGAGTCAGCACATTGTCTCCTGTACAACAGACATGAATTGTGTCAGTAGGGGAGGTGATGTTGTGTTGGGTCTGCATGTAGTACAACTGAGGAGGACTGCCGTTGTGAGCAGCTGTGGAGTTGACAGTGATGACTCTACGACCTGGAGGAATGATACCACAGTCACGAGCTACACTGAGAGCAGTCAGCACATTGTCTCCTGTACAACAGACATGAATTGTGTCAGTAGGGGAGGTGATGTTGTGTTGGGTCTGCATGTAGTACAACTGAGGAGGACTGCCGTTGTGAGCTGCTGTGGAGTTGACAGTGATGACTCTACGGCCTGGAGGGATGATACCACAGTCACGAGCTACACTGAGAGCAGTCAGCACATTGTCTCCTGTACAACAGACATGAATTGTGTCAGTAGGGGAGGTGATGTTGTGTTGGGTCTGCATGTAGTACAACTGAGGAGGACTGCCGTTGTGAGCTGCTGTGGAGTTGACAGTGATGACTCTACGACCTGGAGGGATGATACCACAGTCACGAGCTACACTGAGAGCAGTCAGCACATTGTCTCCTGTACAACAGACATGAATTGTGTCAGTAGGGGAGGTGATGTTGTGTTGGGTCTGCATGTAGTACAACTGAGGAGGACTGCCGTTGTGAGCTGCTGTGGAGTTGACAGTGATGACTCTACGACCTGGAGGAATGATACCACAGTCACGAGCTACACTGAGAGCAGTCAGCACATTGTCTCCTGTACAACAGACATTATCATTGTATGTGTCATTGTACTAACATTGACTTTCCTTTGACAGAAGTAGACATCTTCTGTATGGTTCAGTTGTAGCCAATATTCTATTGAAATAGAACATAGTTGAATGAGCCACTCACAGAATGCTGCGGTCACAATTAAATTTTCTCTCTTAGTTTTTGATACAATGGTGGTTGAATGTTTTGAAAATTATGTTAAGAGTCCTTGGAGCCTAACTCGTAAAACAATTAGGCCCAAAAAAATACAAAGAAAATTTCCAATCCCACAGTTTACTAGTATGTCACAAACACTCTGGTGTTTGAATCAATATTTTGAGATGGTAAATAACTCTTCAGCAGCTGTTTGAAATTGTCCAAGATGGCCGCTAGCCTCCAAGGACTCTTAAGTTCACAGTAAGGATATACATAGAACACAAGGGTTTTAAGATTTTTTGTGAGGATAGCGGGCTTACCTGAATGGGAAAGAGTCCAAACTGGTAATAAGAGACTTGGAACAAGTGTACAGTGACTCATCTTTTCAATTTGGTTTATTTAAAAAGATGGCACTTTCAAGAGAAATCGAGAATTAAGATCAGCACACTCTGCCGGCTCAACTCCATTACGTTAATTATTCTAAAACTGTTAACAACTTCAACATGGGAATGGGACGTCGATGTCTATCAATAGTTACCACCCTGGTTGTACATCACTACACAGTTAACAATAATACTCTTACCAGTAACCATGATGGTGCGGATATTGGCAGCACGCAGAACAGCGATAACACCATTGGTCTGTGGTTTGAGACGGTTTTCCAGCACGACCAACCCGAGGAAACATAGGTCAGTTTCGACCTCTTCGCGTGACAGTCGTTGCATCTTGGGGTAGCTGACACGAGAGGGAAGGTCTCGATACGCTACTCCCAGCACTCTGTAGCCTTCCTGTGTGTACTCCTCCAGCTGGCGACTGAAGTCAGTCGGAACTGTAGACCACAGATTACATAAGAGACTGAAACGTACTCAGAAAAATACCTACACTACGAAATATCAGTGTTAGGTTATGTAGCCATTACTGTGTGAAACATTACTGAACTCAGTAATTTTTCAAACTAACTCCTTAATTAGGCTATTCTATTTAATACTTTTAAGGTGAACTTCTACTTGTTTTATGGATGTAACACTGGATATTCCATTGAAAGTAAATCATAAGAACAATTTTGGTTGTTTCTCTGGTACAGTACAATCCCACAGACTCCATTTGACGCATGTTCCTGTCTTAATACAAGTAGCGCTAGGTCCAAATGGAACAGGTAATCTACTACAACTATTTTAGCTACAAAGTTCTATTTATTTTCCATTAGGGTCACTCTTAAGATCGTAAATAACACCAGCGTTGGCTGTGCAACTACAAACAGAGGAAAGCCGTCTATGTCACACAACAACAATTTTTATTTGAATCTCAGGAATGAACCCATCCTCTGTACTCACTAGTGTCCGGCCGACACAGCCCCTGTATCATCTCCGGAGAGCCTTTACTGTAGATGGTGAAGTGAGTCCCGCCCAACTGTCTGGTGATGACACTCATACGCTGCAGACTGGACGAGAACGGAAACTGTCGAATGATTCCCAGCTCTTGACAACCCTACAATGAAACCAAACAACTTTCTATTTATTTCAAAAGCTTTGTGTGGTAAGTTTTTAACTTAAATGTTTACAATGCTGTAAAACATATACAGCTAAGCTAATGTCAGCAATTGGTTTTGAACTAAAGCGAGAATATTATCAAACTATATTACACTACCCAGCCTGTGTTGTTGTTAATTTATTTCAAGTGAAAGTGGTTTAGTAGTTTACAATTAGAGGTGTGCGGTTATCCGAAAAATCGGGTCGGATTCGGTTCGGTTCGGATATCTGTATCCGAACCGAGCCTAAATTTGATATCCGATGCTATCCGTTATATATCCGACTTTTTCGGATAGACAACATATTTTGACGTTTTGGACAGAAAACTAAATCTTCATAACCATCATTAGTTTCCCTGGACAAAATTACAGCAATATGTTTCCAACGACGACGATGTAACAGCAAAGGACAAAGAAGCCGTATGATGCAATACCGATGTCTAGTTTAGTCGTTATCAGCTGTTTTGCTTTATGATTAGATTCGTCTGGAACGTTATCAGCTGTTTTGCTTTACGATTAGATTCGTCTGGAACGAACATACATAAAGCAGAAAAGAACTTCCATGGTCAACTCGTGCTTGTCTCCTGATACTAGGGGCGCTATGCGTAGTGGTTTTTTTTACAGTACTGTTTTAAATCATAAAAATCTAGCCTACTTATGTGCTGTTACGTAAACAATAGATTTAATGTTTCCCGAAAAAAGTCAGAATAGAAACAATAGAAAGGCAACACAATAAAAGGGTGGGAGGGGTTGGGCAATTACCTCGAAAGGAGCCCGGGTAACGAGTAGCAACAGTGAGTCGAGTAGGCCGTGAGGGGGGAAGGGGTAGGTACGACCTTGAAGCTATATATAGACTTGCACTACTTCCCTAAATCTAAAGGACTGGCGAGTGGTATTCCAATCACAGGACAAGATACGTTGTTTTTCGAGTATTCATTGCCCGGTTTGACTTTGGATTGTCTTATTGTGTAGAAACTTTGAATAATCAAAAATAAAATTAGAACTAACCATGATTATTTAGTATTGATTGTGTATATTAAATGATTAAATGATAGGGACCAGGGGAAATATACAGACTTTTGTCATGATTTGAAATTCAACATCAAAATACAATATTGCACAATCAAGATATTTTAGGTCATTGACCTTTATTATACATCCGGTATTGCTGTTTCAGGAGAAACACGTTGATAAATTATAAATTGATATTCCCGTGGTTAAAAAGAATTATTTTATAAACCTATAAAACAAAATCATAAAATCTTACATAAAGATAATAACAATAACAGCAATTGTAAAAAGGGTATAAAGATAACAACGTCATTATACTTTATCTTTGTTCTTCTATTTCTTGGGTTTCCCTTCATCACGCATTCAACAAGTTGCCTAGTTGCCCATGTCGTTATCAGCTTTTGTGACATAGCGCACAGCAGGGGGTAAAACTTGACGAAAATCGGTTAATTTTTACCTATTATTTAATTACCAATGTACTTGATTGGTAATGTATTAATAAATTGGCCGGTTTTTGTCAAATTTTACACAAAATTTATTGGAATTTCAAGGTGAATATCAATAAAACAATTATTACCAAATATGTTTATTCATTTAAAAGATTGATTTGTGGTATTGGGTTCCCCACTGAGTGCAGCCGAGCGGCACTAATGAGGGTTGAAGTGAACAATAGACGGCTTATCAGACCCGACCCTCCCCAGTGGTCTGGAGAAAGCTTGTAAAAAAACTATTGTTGCACGCGCAGGACTTGTTGACCTTGGGCTGCTTCAACTTTAATTTTTTCAAATGAACTGTGATGTTTCAAAATCAAAAACAATAACTTGGGACCATACTGCATAACAATAATGGACTGCAATAATTGTTGAATTTAAAATCCATTTTTAACAAACTTATAACTTTTTAACTTTTAAAACTTATCTTGGTATTTTACTTGGGGTAATGAAGTGATGTAGGCTAGTGTAATTCTTGGTTCATCAAGGTTCTACTGAATTATGTTTGGCAGTGAATAAGTGTAGAATGAAATTTATAAATTCAGGGATACACACCTTTTACAGAGTTATAAAGCCTAATTGCTCTAATTAACTTGCCACAACATCAAATCTAGAGCCCAGTTTAGTGTATTAGTGATGTTTTCTAAACTTGGCAAACCCCAAGAATGCCACTTAAGGCCAATAATCTGTTCCAAAAACATAAGGAAATACAATGTGAAAATAAAATTGAGATAGAAATCCTTGTCTTGTGAGAACCAGGAAACAACATAAAACATAACCTCAAGTAAACAAACCCAAACGTTTTGACATCAGTCCTGCTGAGCTTAAGTGTTGTGTGAAGATTTTGGCTGCTAGTGTACTTAATTCAAGCAACCAACTTTTGAAAATAGATGTTGTGAATTGTGATTTTCAAGAGAGAAAAACTGTGGACGTGGCTAATTTGAAATTTTATGATTCAAAATCGCCATTTATATTTATTTACACAGCTTTACAGTGTTTTATATGTTAAAAATGCATATGCAGCTTATTATTAACCGCGCCGAACTATCCGAATCCGAACCTCCCAATATCCGATCCGATCCGAACCGAGCCTCAACTATCCGATCCGAATCCGATCCGAAATGAAATTTCACTATCCGCACACCTCTATTTACAATTGACTCATAATTACACCAACTTATGTTACAACTTGGCTAGGCAGGCAATTTAAAATGACTTACTTCCTGAGAAGGTTTCTTTGGGGGTCTGACTACCGTCGGAGATATCAAATCAAACTTGGTGTCATCACTAACATCAGGTTCTTCCAGGATCCAACCAGTTGACTCAAACATCTGGAAAACATTATAAACTTAGTAATGACACAGAGTTTACGCAGAGCGTTGATTACAGTTAATTTTCTTACACTTATTTATGTTATATGATTCAATTCTTACCTTAAGATCAAGAGGGTCACCAGATATCTTGCTGTCAATGATGGTAAGAGAGTGACAGGTTGCCATTGCGTACAGCAGGTCTCCGGTAGGTAGAGTATCTAGCTGCTTGACAGGCACTTTAAAGTGACAACTCTCAGAAGGAACCACTCCCCACATGTCCAGTCCGTCCTCTGTCAGCGTTCCAGTCTATAACACAACCAATCACACAAGTTGATATAAGGCAGAGATATGCAATTATGCATACACTTATAATGTATGTTTAGAATGTAATATTATGCACAATTACCTAACTTTAAAGGATTTTTGTGAAGATAGCAGGCTAACCTGAATTAATAGTCCACAATGGAACAAGAAGCACAAAACTTTATAGGTAGACATATAAAAGACTAATACAAATCTTGAAATCTTGTAGACAAAATTAGAATATTTCACTCTCACTGACAGCATTAACGACATACTTGGTTGAAAAAATTTTATTGAGTGTAAAATATTCTAATTTTTGTCCATATGCCTAGAGTAATGTTTTGTGTTCCTAGTGTCAGGGTGGACTCATTCCCATTCAGGTAAGCCTGCTATCTTCCATTACCCTGAATAAAGCTATGTTTGTTGTTTATTAGTGTTGGCTACACAGGGGGCAGTGGCTTGTCCAACATTCTCCTAAGAGGGCAGTCTTGTCTTTTGATGGATTGAAAACATAGCTAGAAGATAATATAGTTACAATCTGAGAAGATGAAAATCATTTACATGAGGAATTTGGATGTATTACACACTGTTAACATCTGAGACACAGTCAACGACTCTCCTTTGTCAAAGAACCTCAAACACAATCTTCTTTGAGGTGATTTTAGATCACTACTTCACTTCTAAGAAATTTGTATTTCCAATGTTAAACCAAACTAGTTGCCCACAGCAGCAGTTGCTTCCTTTCACCTCCATTGTTATTTGTCCTTTACCATTCATTCCCTATGCTTTGCACCATTCCTAAAAACTCTCCTTCGTAGTCGCAGTATTTCCCTAAAACGATACATTTCAACACTACATTACCATTCTAACCCAAAAAACAGAACACTAAAATTAATAAACAAACAAATAGACTGTTTCATGTTTTAAATAAAAACACAATTGAAGTTTCAATACTATTTATTATAATTTGTAATTAACATCGACAGAAATACATTTAGGCTGCAGTTAATGAGCCGACATCTTTTATTCTGAATCGGAAATCAAGTACACTTAAAAGAGAATACACAAAGACCAAAGAGTAATACCTCTAAACATGGACTTCACTATATACATATATCAACATCCCCTCTCTTTTACAAAATTGAAAATTTTAACTTTCCAAAATACAACTTTAACATTTTCCTTTCAAGTCTAACAAAATATACACCAAAACCTAATCATAAGACAACCGCTTTGGATTTCTTATCAATCTACCCTTTCGGCTTACACAACCATCGAAACTTTTAACAATTTGTTCTTCTGATGAAATTCTAGGAGTTAGGCCTACTGGTCTTTGAAACAACACTGGACTACTTTGCGGAGAAATAAGGCTATTACCATTAGTACCTGACAAACTGATTGGTGAATCTGACTTAGGACTTGTTTCAGGCATTATGGTTTCATTAACTGTATCATTAGACAAATCTGGCCTAATCATCTTCCTATTTCTTACAAACATTTTATCTTTCTCATCAGACAAAACATAGGATCTGGGGATTCTATTTTTTTCTACAACTTTTCCTGCTGTCCAAGGTGAATCAACAGTTTTCTTAAAATACACCTTGTCTCCTACATTTAAAGAGGGTAACTCTTTGCTATTTCTATCATAGTACTTTTTAATACAATCTTTTCTCTTGTCTGACAAAATTTTGTTAGGTTTTGTTACTTTAGGCTGCAAACTACTTTTAGACAGTGGCAATAGGCCATTGAGTTTTCTACTAAACATTAACTCTGCCGGTGAAGGTTGATATTGTTTACTAGTGTTACGATAACTTAACAATGCAAGATACACATCAGACTTAGATTCTTTTGTTTTCTTCAGTAAATTTTTCGCTATTTTGACACCTGACTCAGCTTGACCATTAGATTGAGAGTGTTTTGGACTAACTATCACTAGCTTAAAATCGTACAACACAGAAAACTCGTGAAAAGCGTTAGAAGTGAATTGACTTCCTGAATCAACTACTAAAGTAACAGGAATTCCATGGCGAGCAAATATTGATTTGCATTTCTCGATTACAGTTTTTGAAGTAATGTCTGACAAAGATACTAACTCAATATATTTAGAATAATAGTCCATTAGTACAAGAAAATATTGGTTATCAAACTCAAAAATGTCACCTGACACTTTATGCCAAGGCAAATCTGGTACATCATGAAACAACAACGGTTCTTTTGCATTCATAGGCTTAAACTTAGCACAAACACTACATTTATTTACAAAACTTTCAATGTCTTTATGTAAGGTGGGCCAATACAATAAATTCCGTGCCCTAATCTCACATGTTTGTTTTCCTACATGGCCACAATGCAAACTTTCAAGCATCATTTTATGAAGTGAACTAGGTACAACAATAGATTGATTTTTGAAAACAAGATCATCTACAACATGAAGATCATGTTTAATACTCCAAAATGGTAAAACCATATTACTGACTTCAGGCTTTTGAGGCCAACCTTTAGATATATACATCTTTAAAATACCTAGACATTCATCTGAACTGGTTTTTTCTCTTAGCAGGTTTAGTTTACTTTCAGACACGGGAAGATAAGATTTTAACATATTTACCTCACAAATGATGTCCTCATCTAAAACATCAATATCTTCTTTACCTTCTACTGGAAGTGCTGCACGTGACAGTGTATCAGCTATATACATCAATTTACCTGGCTTGTATACAACAATTAAGTCATAGCGTTGAACTTTTAGCATCATTCGCTGTAATCTTAAAGGAGCAGCAGTAATGGGCTTCCTAAACAAACATTCTAAGGGTTTGTGATCAGTTTCAACAGTTACTTTCCTAGAGAAAATAAATTGGTGAAATCTAGTGCAACCAAAAACTATGGCTAGCATTTCTCGTTCTATCTGACAATAATTTGACTGAGTCTTAGTGAGCGCTCTAGACGCATACGCAATTGGATTATCACCACATAACAATACAGCACCTAAACCAGTTGAGGAACAATCTACAGACAATGTTATTGGCTTACTTGGGTCATAATATGATAAAACAGGAGGAGATACTAACAAAGACTTTAAAGTCAAAAATGCATTTTGTTGTTCGGCATTCCATTGAAATAAAACATCTTTATGTGAAAGAACTCGCAAAGGAGATGTTACAGTCGAATAATTTGGAATAAACTTTGATAAGTAATTGGTAACTCCTAAAAATCTTTCCAAGTCTTTACGATCTTTAGGTATTGGCATCTCCTGTACAGCTTTAAGCTTAGAAGGATCCGGAGTTAAACCATACTCAGTAAACCGATGACCCAAAAACAAAACTTCACTCTCAGCAAATTTACATTTCCTAGAGTTAAACTTAATATTAAAATCCTTAGCTCTTTTTAATACTTCCTTTAATCTTAAATCATGAGTTTGTTTATCAGGAGCACCTATGCAAATGTCATCTATGTAGGTGACTACACCATCAATACCTTCAAATATTTGAGATACAGTAGAATGAAATATATCCGGTGCACTTGAGATACCATATGGCAAACGAAGGTATCTATATCTACCAAAAGGTGTATTAAACGTACACAACTTGCTACTAATATTATCCAACTTAAGCATCCAAAATGCACTGCTTGCATCAAGAGTTGAAAATATCTTACAATTATTAAACTTTGATGACACTTCATCTATAGTTGGCATTTGACAGTGTGTTCTTTGTATATACTTATTCAGGTTTCTTGGATCTAATACTACCTTTAGTCCAGAATTTTTTTTGTTTATCAAAACTAAACTGTGAACCCATTCTGTAGGTTCATTTTCTTTTACAATAATTCCATTAGCTTCCATTAATTCAAGTTCATTTTTCAAAGGATTTAACAAAGCGAATGGTACTCTACGACATGGTTCAATAATAGGCTTAGCATCTTCACTTAATGACAAATGAACTGTTGTAGGAATGTTACCAATACTACCATCAAAAAGTGAGCTGTATTCATTCAAAATGCTACTAACAGAATGTACACTTTCATTAGGCCTATGCATATTTTGACCTAGAACAATATTATTTACACTTTGGTTCTTAACATCAGACAATACCTGACCGTTGTAGGCTGTTATAAGACCTAACACGCGACAAGAATTTAAGCCTAAAATTGGCGAACATTTCACATCAACTATTACAAAAGTAATACAGAACATTTTCCTATTGAAAGAGCAATCTAAATCTACAATACCTAGTACCGGTATTTTTTCACCAGTTAGTGTACTAAGATTTATATTTGAGGTGCGTATTAATGCCTTTGATAGGCCTAGCCTATTAAACAAATCAATTGGGATGATATTTGTCTGAGCACCTGTATCTATTTTAAATGAGATTGTGTGTTCCCTAATGTTCAAATTCTCTAGCCATTCATTAGCCCTGGATTTACACATGTAATTTTTAGGAACAGAATCATTAACTGAACATATATTACTGAATAAAAAGTTTTTGTCAATCACGTAATTAGATATAGATTCAGACGTGAGCGATACCGTATCAATTGAAAAATATTCTTGTGCACAAGTACTTTTAGAAGAACTGTCTTGCCTACCTTGCCTTATAGCTACATCTCTTGAATTAGAATCTAAACTTAGGCCTACTTCACAAACCTTTTTGGCTGATTTGCATACACTGGCAAAGTGGTTGTTTTTACCGCACTTATAGCACACTAAGCCATACGCAGAGCACTTGTTAATACCGTGATTTTTCCCACAATTACGGCAGTTTGAAATAAACTTCTTAGCACTTGTACTTTTGTTAGGCCTACCTGTCCCAGTTGATTTCTGCTGTGACGGTGGATGAAATTTGTTCCGTTGGTCCTGATGAACCTGTTTCTGTCTGAACGTTTGTGGTTGTTGGTAACCCCTCTCTCGTTGCTTATGGACGTTTACTGTATGGACATTATGTTCTGCTTCAAGTTCTCTGATGTGTTGTTTAGACAGTTCAGCAGCTTTACAGATTGCTAAAGTCTTCTCCAAGTTAATCTCCGGCTCTCTCAATAATCGTTCCCTGACATTCTGGTTTTGAGAGTTAAGCCCTGATATTAAGACATCGCAAACAAGACTTTCGCGGACAGAGTCAAATTCACAAGCGAGGCTCAAGTTAACTAAGTCTGTATAGAAACTATCGATGGATTCAGATGGCAGCTGTTTCCTATTTAGAAATTTATGTCTCAGAACCGTGAGGTTTTTCTTAGGCGAGAAATGGTTTTCAAATTTACTTACCACCACGTCGTACTTTTTTGCATCTTCGGATGAGAGGTTGAACGAATTGAAAATGTCTATGCATTTGTCACCCAAATTATGTAGTAGTAGAGCAACCTTCCTAGCGTCATTTTCAGAATTTAGGTTAGAAGCCAAGAGATAAATCTCAAATTTCTGATACCAGTGCTTCCAATTTTCGGCTAAATTGCCCTCGAAATTAAAATTCTGAAGATTGCATGGAACCATTGTGAAATTTTCAGTTTTTCTAGACACAGTCCTTTGTTCAGTTTGTTGAAGCACGTTTTCATCTTCCGACTCACTCATTGTTATAACACATTTTTATGTTAATTTATTACTCACGCACTTGAATTTATTTGTATCCCACTTATAAGACACCATGTTTCATGTTTTAAATAAAAACACAATTGAAGTTTCAATACTATTTATTATAATTTGTAATTAACATCGACAGAAATACATTTAGGCTGCAGTTAATGAGCCGACATCTTTTATTCTGAATCGGAAATCAAGTACACTTAAAAGAGAATACACAAAGACCAAAGAGTAATACCTCTAAACATGGACTTCACTATATACATATATCAACCAACATAGACAATGTTTACATCAGCTGGTATATTTAAATAAAAAAAAAAAAACTATAGAAACAATGTAGCAGTACTTCCATTAGAAAATGACTGGATCTTAGACGGCCTGTGGGGCAGAGCAGGGGTGATTTTGACACTTCTGATATTTTTCCCACCGTCCTAGGACCTTAAGCTTTAAAATGAATCCTCAACAGCCATGCTACCTTTTTCCTAGCTCGAGATATTTTACGGTGACCGATTTGCTTACGGAATTAAATATATAGATAACCACAGTACACAAGATACTTGTGCTTTAACTTGATTCAAACAAGAAACGTAGAATCTAAGCAGTTAGCTCACCTTATCAAAGCATACACAGTTGATGGATCCAGACACATTGATAGTACGAGGACTGATGCAGTAGATGTTGTTTTTCTTGAGTCGGGACTGTGCGTACATGCGACCCACAGTCATGGCAGCGGGCAGAGCTGGTGGTACCACAATAGTGATGAGATCTAGCGCTTCCAGAGCGATATCTCGCACTGGCACTCCGCGCATGGCCTGCAAAAGGCATATTAGCGAATAATAAATAAATAAAAGCAGATTTTGACTGGAAAAAAGGGTTTTCTAGCATAGTTAGCAATCTTTTTATTTCTGTTACCAACCCCAAACTAAAGGTACTATAGTTTACATTAAGTTGCCCTTTCATTGAGCGAAGCTCTTATACGTTGACTCTTATGCATTTCGTAATACGCAAACTCGTCCTAGACGGCTGAATCAATCGTTTTCAAATTTTGCATGGAGATAAAGACCATATCGGTGAGTGCCAACATCTATATGGCGTTAAAAAAGTCTCTCAGGAATCCGCCCCACTGGGTCTCAATAAGTTTCAATGTAATCCTTATGGAAGTAGTATTTGACACATAAACAAAAACATATGGTCAGCTGTTGGGTTTTAAATGCAGTAAAAAAAGAAATAGCTGATAGCATTAATCCACAGATATTAGAACAGAAACGGTATGGATCATAAATTATAATCAAATGACGACACTAGCTTGAGGTCCGTGACGTAGGAAGTGGTGAAGGAAGTAGTAAAGGTGAGTAGTCTGGAGTGTGGAAACTGTTTATGACGATTAGATTTAAGTAGGGTATCTGCATTCCTAAAATTCTATGGGGGGGGGGGAGGAAAACAGGTCCGCGACGTAGGATGTGACGATATATATGACGATTATATTAAGGTATCTGCAATCCTAAAATGCTATTGGAAGGGAAAGAAACAGGTCCGCGACGTAGGAAGTGATGAAGGAAGTAGTAAAGGCGAGCTGTTCGGGGTATGGGATCTGTTTATGACCAATAGATTAAGGTATTTGCAATCCTAAAATGCTATGGAAAGGGAGGGAAAAAGGTCCGGGACATAGGAAGTGGTGAAGGAAGTAGTAAAGGCTAGTTGTCCGGAGTGTGGGATCTGGGCCAATAGATTAAGGTATTTTCTATCCAATAATGCTAAGGGAAGGCAGGTAAACAGGTCCGTGACGTAGGAAGTGAGGAAGGAAGTAGTAAAGGCGAGTTTTCCGGAGTGTGGGAACTGTTTATGACGATTAGATTAAGGTATCTGCAATCGTAAAATAGTATGGAAAGGGAGGGAAACAGGTCCGTGACGTAGGAAGTGGTGAAGGAAGTAGTAAATGCGAGCTGTCCGGAGCGTGGGAACTGTTTATGACGATTTGATATCTGCGATTTGATATGGTATCTGCAATCCTAAAATTCTATGGAAAGGGAGGGAATCAGGTCGATGACATAGGAAGTGGTGAATAAAGTAGTCAAGGTGAGTTGTTCGGAGTGTGGGATCTGTTAATGACCAATAGATTAAGGTATTTGCAATCCAATAAAGCTAAGGGAAGGAAGTGAAACAGGTCCGAGCCGTAGGAAGTGGTGAAGGAAGTTAGTCAAGGCGAGCTGTCCGGAGTGTGGGAACTGTTTTTGACAATTAGATTAAGGTACAGTATCTACCATCTTAAAATTCTATGGGAAGATGGGGAAACAGGTCCGCGACGTAAGAAGAGGTGAAGGAAGTAGTAAGGTGAGCAGTGTGGAGTGTGGGAACTGGAAACCATTTGTAGCAGTAAGATTAATGTATCTGCAATGCTGAAATGCTATGAAAAGGGATGGAAGCATGCCCACGACATAGAAAATGGTGAAAGAAGTAGTAAAGGCTAGCAGTGCGGAGTGTGGGCAATGTTTGTGGCAATTAGATTAACGTATCTAAAATCCTAAAATGCTATGTAAAGTGATGAAAACAGGTCCACGATGTAGGAAGTGGCTTAGGAAGTAGTAAAGTATGAGCATTGTGTGAGAACCGTCTGTGGTAGTTAGATTAATGTATCTTCAATCCTAAAATGCTATGAGAAGGGAAGGAAACAGGCCCCACGACGTAGGAAGTGGTGAAGAAAGTAGTAAAGGCTGGCAGTGCAGAGTGGGGGAACCGTTTGGGCAGATAGATAAATGCATCTAATACTTAAATGCTATGAGATGGGAAGGAATAAGGTCTATGACGTAGGAAAGAGTGAAGGAATTAGTAAGGATTGCAGTACAGAGTGTGGGAAATGTCTTTGGCAATTAAATTAATGTATCTGCAATTCTAAAATGCTATGGGAAGAGAGGGAAACAGGTCCACGACGTAGGGGGTGGTGAAGGAAGTAGTAGAGGTGAGCAGTGTTGAGTGTGGGAATGGATTAATGTATCTGCAATGCTAAAATGCTATGGGAAGAGACTCTAGACTGTAGGTTAAAATGATTACGAAGCACGAATCTATACATATTTCAATACATGCAATCGTTTACAATAGAAATTTACACCTGAATTGACAACAGCTGATTTTTACTCCATAGGCTAAAAACGATTTTTACTCCATAGAGGCTAAAAACGATTTTTACTCCCTAAAGAGTAAAAATACTACTTCAGACCCGCATCGCATGTATTAAAAACAACTGTTTTTACTGCAGTATAACATAAACAATATAATATGAACCCTTGATGACTCCGCTCAATTTTGTGGATGCCTCTGCGAACGCCACCTAGTTTTTATATGTTGGTGAACACGACATAATCTGTAACTGGCACTAGCACATCAATACAAACTCACTAATTTTCATACTAGTTTAATTAGTGACAATTTAACATAGGAAGGGATGCATTCCGAGAGCTGTCTGTAAATTATTTGCCCCTTCAAGCTCTTATAGCCACCAAGCAAAAAAACTTAAGCCCCATCTGGTCTGATATTTCAGTTAGCTAGTTGGTAAGGGGATGAAATAGTTGATAAAAACAAGAAGAAAATGGCGTTGGTCATATAATTGAATGTGAGGAAACTCAATTGAGACCTTAATAATTTCATTATAGTCCTTGTATTTTTCATAGTTAAGAAATTAATTATTTTTCAAAATCATCTCTAACGCACCTACAAACTAAAATTACCTTAGTGACAACAGTGTAGAGGAATCCAACACTGGCAATGACTGCCAACAGCTGGACAAACTTGTATGAGTCCTGTTCAAACTTGAAGTCTACAGGCGTCGGGTAAAGTATGGACCTGACCAGGTTGCCCTTGGCTGTAGAGAAGCCTGTGCGTATGACGACCGCGTAGACGCGCTCGTGGCCGTAGTAGCGGGTCTGTATGACGTGGGTGCCGCAGAACAGTGTGTGTCTCGCGTGTTCCTTGTCATCGTACTGTATATTGGCAGAGTTGGGCAGAGGAGTCTTAGTCACCGGAACACTCTCACCTGGGAAAAATAAATGATTTCATACAGTTAAAATAATCTTCAGTGTTATCTGGGTTTTTGTGGAGATTCACAGTTGCATATTATATTGGAACAATTTGGGGATAATTTGTAATAGCTTTCTTACTAGAACGGGAAAGTGTTCACTCTGATAAAAACAGTAGCCTTATACTTCACACAATTTATATATTTCACTGTATATCGGTGCATTTCCATTTAGGGAAGGCTTGATTTGGGAAAATAACCCATTACTTGATATTATTCAGGCTGGACTCAATATTATTCAGGTAAGCTTGGGATCCAACAAATAAATATTCCTTATAATCCATTTAAATTATCTCCTACTTTTTGTTGAGAGGATTACCCCAATACATAAACAAACATCAAAACACCTTTACATGTTCTTAACCAATTACTTCATTCAATTGTTACTCAACTTTGAGTACTTTTAAAACTTGAGTAATAATTGTCCCCTCCTAACACTATGAAACACCCCTGAACAGACTTGAGGCCTAAATAGATCTCAAAGAGAGAGGCCAACCAAGCCGTAACACCTTCAAAAGTAATCTCTTACCTGTGAGCATGCTCTCATTGACTATACAGTTGCCTGTGAGCAGCACAGCATCGCAGTGCATGATACACCCGTGTGTAGGTATCACCATCAGGTCCCCAGGCACCAGCTGTTCTGTAGGTATCGTCGTCACTACAGGCTCCTTGGTGGAGCTACTCAGCTGTAGCACCGAGACTACATCACTTGAGTGGATTGTGCTGTGAAGTTTATTCTGGTTCTGGGATAAAAACAAGACGGTTAATATCACAGGCGTACAAAACACCAAGTACTAGTGTACTATCACAACTAAAGGGTCAACTGTTTTGTGAGGAAAACAGGCTTACTTAATGAAAAATAAACTCAATCTACAACTACTCTATCTACTCTGGCAAAAAAAAAGAATAAAAAAGTAAAAAACTAATAATATAAGAATATTTAACTGTCGTAGGCAGCATTTTTTTTACCAAGGAAGCTTTGGGCTGGGGAGAAAGAGGCTTCGTGGTTTATTGTTGGTCAGGAAGTTTTTGTGTAATAATTCTGGCCACCAAGAAGTTTAAACTATAAGAACTTCATAGCTACCATTAGATCTCAAGATTTCTGACTCCATCTAACTTGATCCATGCTTGAAACCTCTGGTTTTGATTTATTTTTGTGCCAGGGTGGAGTTTTCCCCATGCAGATAACTCAAAACCTAAACCCTTGTGCTCTACGCTACATCCTTAACCGCAAACTACAGGAGAAATAGTTTAATCAGCAAAGGATAGGCCCAGCTCTCTACGAGTTGTTGCAAAGACATTGTATGGAAGTAGGTTGAAAATTATAAAACTATTTTACTTCTACAGGAGAACATTTTTGGCAATTTTCACTAAAAACTAATGTTTTCATACCTTGAAACAGAGGAATATTTTGAGGAAAAAATATTTACCACAGTGAAATTTTACAACAACCATTACCATTACCTTTTTGTTGGGAAATAATTAAATAGAGGTTGCACACAAAACAGAATTAAGTATACAAACCAATTACTCTCAGTTAAACAGTAATAGACAGTACAGTAAACCCTCTCTTATCCGGATCTCCCATATCGGGACCCTCCGATATCCGGACGCGATTTTGAAAAAATGCAAAAATTAAAAAAACACTCTAGGGCGAATGTTTGTTGACCGAGCAGTCGCTGTTTGTAGGCCGGTTAGAAACGCTGGCGCGCCGGGAGGGTTGTGCGACGTGCAGTCTCGCGGGCAAGGTCACTGACTCACGAAACAAAAATAGAATCCCTCCCCCACCCCTCCTACCCGCCCCTCCTACCTACGCCAACGCCCTACTCATGCGCGGCGACGACAATTCATCACTTGTGTCAGTTGTCAGTGCTGCTTTTTTTGTGCCTCAGTGACCTAGTCATTGTTTGTACGGTTCGTTTTAGTTTCGGGAAGGAAGAGTAGAGGCGAATAAGTTGTTATGGCCGAAAAAAGAAAAAAGATTGTCATTACGATGGAGGACAAACTTAACGCGTTGAAACGTTTGCAAGCGGGCGAAAGTGCAAAAAAGATAGCGAGTGAGATGGGAGTGGGGACTAGTACAATGAGTGACTGGAAAAAATCCCGTGAAAAAATAGAAAAATGGTGTTCTAACCAGGCATCAAGTTCAGGAATAAAAAAGTGCAAAATGATGAAAACAGCCGTGAATGACAAAGTGAACGAAGCGTTATTTTTGTGGTTTACACAATGTAGATCAAAAGGACTGCCCGTGTCTGGACCCATTTTGCAGGAAAAGGCTCTCCAATTTAATAAGGAAATCGGAAGTGATCCCAATTTCAAAGCCAGTGAGGGGTGGTTGGAAAAGTGTAAGAATCGATATGGGGTCAGAAAGCTTCATATAAGCGGAGAAAAGTTGTCAGCAAATGAAAACGCTGTGGGAGAGTTTAAAATGTTTTTACACAAGCTGCTTGACGAGGAAGGAATCAGCGGGGACCAGTTATACAACTGTGACGAAATTGGTCTGAACTTTAAAATGCTACCTAGCTGCACTCTCGCTTCCAAGGAAGAAAATAGCGCTCCAGGTTATAAGAAGAAAAAGGAGAGGGTTACAATAATGGCCTGCAGCAACGTCACAGGAAACAATAAACTCAAACTCTGCATGATTGGAAAATCAAATAAACCAAGAGCGTTTAAAAACTTCAAAGATCAGTCGACATTACCGGTGTGGTACAGAGGACAAAAAAGCGCTTGGATGAATTCTGCGATCTTCAGAGAGTGGTTTAACAATCAGTTCGTCCCGTCTGTTGAAAAGTTTGCTGAAAAAAACAATTTGCCAAAGAAGGCTATTTTATTGCTTGACAACGCCCCTTCACACCCGTCTGCAGATGAACTAACAAGTGGAGAAATAAAGTGCGTGTTTTTGCCGCCGAACGTAATCTCTTTGTGCCAGCCAATGGATCAGGGGGTCCTTGAAACACTTAAACGTTTGTATCGACGTAAGCTACTGACGATCATTATTGAGGGCATGGATGTGGGAAAGAGTGTTTCTGAGTGCCTTAAAGACACTGACATGCTAGATGTTGCCTTGTGGATTTCTAGCGCTTGGGAAGAGCTCAAACCGATAACGTTGGTTAAATCGTGGAAAAAGCTTTTAGACCACAAAGTAGACCAAGATTATAACAAAGAAGTAGAAAAAGAAACAGAAAACTGCAATGACAAAACAGGTGAAGAAATCGTTCAACTTTTTAGAAACGTTCCTGGTTGTGACAACATAGACAGTGACGCAGTGAGTGAGTGGATGAAGGAAGACGAAATCCAGGAGTTTACTGACAATGACATCATAGACTTAGTTAACGCAGACCCCGCTCCTGACGACGACGAAGAAGAAGAAATCCAGAAAACAACCATGACGCATAGTGAGGCTTTCCAGGCCATCGAACAGCTGATCGAGTATGTCGAGAAACAAGAGGAAGCAACGGGAGCCGATCTTCTGCTTTTTCGTAGGTGGAGAGACATTACGTCAAAGAAGCGTGTTAATCGAGCCAAACAAGCCACAATAACATCGTTTTTGTCCAAAACTTAACTGTGAGTACAAAGTAAGAGCTGTTTTCGTTGATTAATTTTATTTTACTTTGTATCCAGCTCTGCATTTTTGTTCATTACAGTAGGCCTACTTGCCTTTTTCTTAGTTCCATTTCATTTTTTCACTGTACCGTTACTGTATTACGTAATATTTTTTGAGTTTTGATGTTATATTAATGTGTTTTTCTTAGTTTTATTTCATTTCTTTCACTGTACTGTACTGTATTACGTAATATTTTTTGAGTTTTGATGTTGTATTAAAGTGTTATTATAACCAAAATACCGTTGTTTTATTTAATAAACAAACGTTTCCGTATTTAAGGCTTACTAAAATTGAGTACCGTAGTTGTTGTACAGCTGTTTTCTCATCTAAAACAATGTTTCTCTCATATCCGGATTTTTTGTTATCCGGATCGGCCGGCACCACATTAGTCCGGATATGAGAGGGTTTACTGTATATATATATTACGAAAAATGATAACGCTAAAATAGAGCTTAACTAAACATGACTTACATTGATTTTCATTATTAAGTAAAAATCACTCAAATAACCTTTAACTTTATGTGACGATTGTACTGTTTGAGTATGTAAAGAGTATTGTCTATTACATAAACAAAATTTCGTAATCACACATCATAGCATTACTTACATTGCGGGTCTGTATGACAGTCATGATTATACTGACGGCGGACATGGTCAGAATGGCGACCGCGTAGTACACATAGTTGTCAGCAAACCACAATGCAAACGAGAACAATTGGAAGACGTAGAACGGATTCAACACTTCCAGAAACAGCAGAGCAATCACTCCTCTCATCGGTACAATGATCTCATTGCTTCCGTACACCAGGCGTCTGGAAGACATATTGTATCATTAATTTAGTAGTTTAAAATAACACAATGCCTGGTTACAAAATTGTGCTTAGGTTTATACTTAATATTTAAACTCTATGGCTTTAATTTTTTATTTGAAAACAAAATTATACTTTATTGAATCTGCCCAACTTAAGTTACAGAGGTGAAAGTTATTTTCTCATCCCTGACCTACCTGAGTAGCTGCTGTGAAGGACTCAGCCCTGTCTGCTGATGCAAGGCAGATGTGCTGACATCACAGTCCAGGCCTGCCAACTTGAAAAACTCTCCCTTCTCCTCATCCCATATGTACCTCTGTTTCTTGCACTCAAACATACGCACAGACTCCATCTCTGTTGGGAAACACAATAGATGGATTCTTAAACAAAAAATCTACAATTTTAAAAGACAAAAATAATGGTAGAACAATATACAATCGAATCATGTAAAATACACTGGGTTGCAATAGCTGTACAGGGTGAGTCAGTGAAACGACACCCAGGTAATGACACAAGGGTGATTACGACACCAGCCGACGAGGAATTAAGGGCTAGTTGAGTGCGGGGAAATTACCTTAGAAGTCTAGACAAGTGGGAATTTCAGTGGCCATGGAGCGTTGGAATAATGCACAATGGGCGTTTGCTGTAAAGGCATATTACAAAAACATGGATAGTGTGATTTGTTCTTAGCAAACGCCGTTTTGCAAACGCTAAAAACCGTCATGTGTGGATTTCATCTCAGATTTCAACAATGTGTGCAAAACCAAGGACGCCATTTTACTAACACTGTATTAAAAAAATAACTATTTTAAAGGTGACACATTTATTTCCACTCATGTAGCCTATACTTAAGAATTATGTTGAAACAACTATCCTTTTTTCTAAATGAATTTTTTTTAATTAAGCAGTTTTACTGCCTCACACTGCATTTTGTAACAATTAAAAACATATATATCTCTATTCAATCATATGAATAAATTTACATGTTACTTAAGAAAATATTTAAAGCATTTTATTTTTTTATCACTTAAATGCTACGAATTCAAGATAGCCTACTCTCGTAATGATCTTGCCTCAAAATGTAATTCTTAGTTGCAAAGATTTATTTTTTTTCAATTTCCAACTAATCAAATTTGTCTTTAAAATCTGCATGATGGGACTCCATTTTTCCATAGTTGTAGTTGAAGGTTAATAATAATTACAGGTGTTATGAATTATTTAAGTAAAGTAATTATATAATTGTTCAAATAGATATTTGTTTATAGTAAAAAATATGAAACCTATGGTGAGGGTTACCACTCCATTCTACAATAATATATATTAGTTACAAATATAGAAATTGTTGTTGATGATTTATACAATAATTTTACTTAGTAGGCCTAGAAGACCTCGATTATGATATTACACAATTAATAAGAAAGCACAAGCACGAGTTAGACAGCTAAAATGTCTTGAGACGGACATGTCTTGAGAAGGGATACCGGAAAACTATTGAATGAAGTAGGAGAAGACCACCTGGATTCCCTAAAAGATGGTGGGACAGCGTGAGGACAGACATTGCAAGAGCAGGAGTGGAAGTCGATGAATACGACTGGGAAAGATGTCGAGCAATTGTTGGCAAGGCAAAAACTCTTCTAGGGTATCGATGGCCAAGGGAGTAAGATCAAGTAAGTAAAGCCTAGTAGATATCTTAAAACAAATAAATTCCTACATTTAAAAGACCAACTTACCCACGAAAGTCCCTCCTGACATGTGGATTGGCAATTTTCTGTCTGGCATTTTTATCAGCTCCAACAACGCCTCACCGCCAATTTTATCTTTCAAATTGTTTTCATTGTTTTGACTCTCTCTGAAAAAATTAAATTTAAAAGTAAGATAAAAGGCTTAAAATATACATCAGTTTAATTTTATTTAACATGTTGATGGCAAAACGCATGATTCCACATGGTAGCGGGGCAGAACTTTCCGTGCCAACTCGTTTAGCTCAGTGTGAGGTTAGATTTTGTTCAAAGAGATTCCCAACGCCAGCATCACTGTTGTATCTATACACGTAGTCATTCAGGGTTTATACAATTTTGTGTTGGCCATTCACCCTAGCATTTGGCAGTATTGAGAAGCTGTTATCAACTGTTAAGGGCTGCTACCTGTTTAATTACTGTGCAACCTGTCCAACACACTGGAACATAGTACCTACATCCAGACTGTGGGTTTTCTGTTGGTTGGAATTGGATTTAAACATTCTCTTACAATCAGCACATTTGTAATTCATCCTCACTCGCAATTATAAAACTGCAGTGAATGTGCTCAAAATATGTATCCAAGCCTTGTTCTAAAACTAATACAAAATTAAATAAATTTTTCTGAAAAATATATTCAAATAAGATAATCAAATTGTTACAACAGGATATTCACTGAAAATTTAATAATTTACTGTGAGGTTTATTACTTTCACTACCTTAGGCAGAATTTATTAGTTAGGCTATAATTATAACAATAATAGTATAATTTTGTTACGGTACTTAAAACATCTCTTAAATTATAAGTCACTAAATTCAGCAAGTAGGCTTACTTGAGCAGAGTCTCTGCTGATAATGTTTTAATTGTTTTCACATGGTAACATTTGTGCTTCTTCTTGTAACGCTCCTGAAACAGAGAATGAATAGACTTGTGAGTTTTTTGCTCAATCATGATTTTTGCTGCTGTGGCAATATTCATCAATGGAGAGAAAGTAAATATTTGTTTGCTATAATTACTTAGACAGAACAGACATTTGACCATTTTGAGAATTTGAGGGTTGTTAATTAAAAATGTGTATATTATTTATGAAAGTGAACAAAAAAAGATGCTTCACTATCAAATTGATTTAGGTACCAAACATTTAAATAAATCTATATATTAATTTGAAACTGTTTTTCTTTGTCATAGCTATTTTGAGAGAACGGCTGGGCGTAGAAACTCGGTAGGGGTGTCTAAAGAAAGGTCTTGGTCTGTAGATGAGCCATCAAAAGAGAAACGTGGTAAATTCCCTAGGGGCTCTGCCCCAGTGGCCTTTAAAGTCCCATCCCATGTTATTCTTATGGAGGAAAACGGGGGGTTTGTCACAGCTAATTTGAGAGAAAGGCTGGGTGTAGAAACTTGGTAGGGGTGTCTAAGGAAAGGTATTGGTCTGTAGGTGAGCCCTCAAAAGAGAAACGAGGTAAATTTCCTTGGGACTCTGCCCCAGAGGCCTTTAAAGTTCACTCAGCAATTTTGTTTACATTACGACCACATGGATAATTTTATACTACTTTTAATGAACCAGCTGTTAATATTAAAATTGTATTCAAAAGTCTACTGAAACTGTCAAAATTAAATGTTTACATTATTAGTTATGATTTTAAATTGATTCTTCACTGCATGACAAGTTTTTTATAGTTTCAACAAAAGGATGAATTTATGATATGTTTTAAATGTTGTGTTAAAAAATATAATGCTTTATTGCTCTTAGAAAATTTTAAATTATGAAATACGTGTGACATATCAATTTTAAAGGAACATAATTATTCCTTATCGGGTTAGCTTATATATATTGTAAGGTTGGCACTTGCCTTTTTTGCCTACTTTCAATTACCATTTATTTTTGAATTCAAGAAAGAACACCAGAAATTCATTTATTAGTATAAAAGTTTTCGACAATCGGGTTAAAAATTGTGTCATAGATGAGTACGTTGAGGATGAGAGCTGTGTTCAAGTTTTGGAATAGACTAACTACTGAGTATGTTTCATCTATGGTTTTGGTGAAGTAGGTGAACTAATGTCATTTCAGGTATTAAAAAAAATGTGTACAGGGTTTTTACTTTGCTGTACACATGTAACAAACCTCACTACATACAAAGCATTCGGAAACACAACAGTGTCATCACATCTAATCGCATTTGCATAGTTTGTTACCAAGGCTGGACTAGGTTATGGATTTGGTTTGATCAAATTTCTATGGTTCATTCTATCCACGAAATACATGCACAGCTTTATGTTATCGATCTGGCCAAGGCGAAACTATCCCATAAGTTAATGAATTATCAAGTAAGAACAGGATGACTAAATACATGGGTCGATGTGGCAAGAGAAGGAATTAAAATTGATTGGATTGAAGTAAGAATCTTACTGCTTTCTAGAGAATCAGATATTTTTATCAAATACAAAAAAACTGATTTAATATGCTGATAAAATTCTGTATTTTAATGACCAAAGATGAAGATTTAATTATAAATCCGGATACAATCTGAATGATTTTCCAAAAGCAGATTGAATTAGTTGTTAGTAATAAATATTGACTCTTTCCGTAACATGATAGACTAATTATTAGAACTCATTCTCCCATATAGTGAAAGTGGCTTTAACACGAAACAAACTCATGAAAAAACAATTATAAGACTCCTAAAAAACCTTTTGGGCAACCTAAAGCCGATAAAAAGGTAGGAAATATTGTGTTAAACGAATTCATCAATCACGTTTTTTAGGGAACACAATCGTCATACTTATTATTATGTTTATCCTCCCTTCATTTAACCAAGATTTTAATGACTTCACTCTATCTATCCCAGTTAGCTGAATTTGCATAAAACCTCAAGATTAACCGTCGATTTCGACGGGGTTCTACTAGTCATCAATTATTTTTAGGAAACTGAATCCAGTAGAACCAACCAGAAGAATTGAATCGAAACTCCAACTATCACTTACAGAAAAATAGGGGAAAAAAACTTAATCGACAGTGTTAACTTCATCATTGTCTCCCGGGGAAACAATGGAATCTTTTTTTACGATTGCAACAAAATTTTTAATATATCCATGGCCGTGTAAACATCATCACCGTACACCACGGGCTGTAAACAGGAGGTCTAAAGTCTCATTTTAGGCCTTTGCTTGAAAAGTTGTAGGGAGGCCTGTCTAGGAGCTACCAACGGAACTGAATCCGAGCAGTAGCTTGTACAACTACAGTTACCAACGATAGATAGTATGTAAAAATATTTACTGAGTTACACCGGAAACATATGAACTGTCAGACCTGTGATATGTGCTCAAGTCAAGTTTCTGTCATGATCCATCAGAAATATATTGTTTTTTTTTTATTCTGAGGGGTTCTACAGGGATCTTGGCCAAATCGTGAACATCTCTTGTGAATCTTTGCCCTCACTGAGGATTTCTACAATCGCTACAACATTGCTCTGTTTGTAAATTATGATGCTTGTAGCACACCTCAGCTAAAATGACCTGACCCAAGGCAGGCTTACTAATGTCAGTGACCTGCAGACCCTTAGTTGTACAATAACATTGTGTCACTTACGACTATGAGTAGCTTATCAGCCATGCTGAGAGGACAGCGGTAATGTGTAGCAAACAGCATGAGATGAGGCCACCAATGGAAGACTAGACGCACGGCTCCCAGTGTCAGGATAATGAACAGCCAGGACACTCCAGTAGACACTGTATGTCTGCGGTATCCGTACACCTCCTGTAAAGTAACCAATCAGTGACTGGGGTTTGGGGCTTTCCCAAAAAAAATGTTTTTCAGAGTTCCTATATTAAGTTTTTCCATTGAATTTTGGATACCAGTGTGGAACGCATCTATGGATCAACTGTATCAATTTTTTTTAAATATACCTACCAAACAAGAGTTCTCTGCTGGCAAAATATATTATTTTTGTTAGTTTATGGTACCTCTTCATTTGATGTAAATAAAAAAAATACTTTAACTATGCTCTAAGTTGTTTTAACTTCAACTGGTTAAGAAGTGTTGTATTCAATTAAAATCAATAATGAGATCAGCACACACGTTTGGTTTGTGGCTCACTTCAACTAAATTATTTTTTTCCTAAAATCAGTAAAAGCTTTAATATTGGATGGGATCTTTACTTCTTTTAATAGTCCGTTTTGGCAAATAACCTAAGACTGTTTTTATAAATTGTAGGCTAAGTAATTTAGCGTTGGTTAATTTAGTTATCATCGAAATAAATATCAAAATCTATTCTACATATATCTTTAAAAAAAACCCCTGTAACTTACTAATTTTGTACAGAAAACTCTAATCTTGCAGTGAACTCCAAAATCATTTTTACAAAAACGAGTCTACAATGTAAACTGGACTTGCCATTTTGCTAGAGCCTTTATTTCCCGAGTCACAAGTGGTTTATGTTTGTGGATATATGTTATTACATAACAGTAAATAAAAGTAATATAGCCTAATAAAAAAACCCATTCTTCGATCTCAGTTTGAATTTGAATTAATTTTCAAATCCCAATAATTTGTCATTTAAACAGTTTCTTACGCAGTCCCTTAGTAATCTTAGTAACTTTTCTTGGTTGCATAACTAGTAAAAGAATGGTTTCTTCTATAAAACTTTGATTCTCAGAGTAATTTGATCCCTTCTTCTGGGAAAGGAGGTTGGTTACATTCAAGATAATTACAACTTAATTAAAAATTATTTCATATTTCCGAATGTACAATAGGTACAAAACTGGTAGTTTTAAAAAACATGACCGTTCTCAGCGTAACAAAGAGTTCTTAAAGTATTGTTTAAAAAGTCTAGAAAAAATTTCAAAACGTGAAACAAGTTACATAAAAACTTGACCACCAAATTACAAACGATTGAAATCTTTAAAAAAGCCGACACATTTGTCCCAAAGACATTTATGTTGCTCATTAGTACCATCATAAATATTATATCTCCATCAGTCTGATAAGATAACAACAGTCAAGTAAACCGTCCATTCATTAATAATGAATAGGTTTCAATGATAGAGATAGAGTCAAGTGACAATACTATAATGGATCGTTTTATTAATGAAATTTTTTCTTGAAAATCCCAAAAAAGTTAAAGTGTTAAATGTTTTGCATATTTCAGTAGCTTTTACTATGGATACAAAACAATATAATATGTTGATCTAAATTATTTTACCATTTGGTCCTCTGTGCCCAAGTTGATGTAGTCAACGCCCGGTAAAATCCCATCATGGTCGGATTTCCCACCTGAAAACAATAAGATTTATTTCAATCTTGACACGTTAATTCACTTCAAAATTCTACTCACTCAATATCAGTAGATTTTATAAACTATCTGTTACAGTTCATTATATCCGTTTAAAAGATTACACGTTTCCTCAAAGAGCTTGAACTTCTTTCTAGACAACACACTTGTTTTTACAACCTACACAACACACTTATCTGATAACAGTTAACTGCACTTTTGTTAACATTACAAGTGGCAGATGTTTTCAGTTAACTCACCACCTTTACTTTAGGGTATTTGGGAGATTCTCCATCATGTCTAGTTGAAAAAAAGTGTTCATGACGTTTTACTTCCGGTTATTACTGCAACCTAATAATTAACCACTAAAAATAGACAAACTTCACTAATTTTTATTTCGTAGGTTAGGCAAACCTAAGTAAAGTAAACATTACCAAAGTAAAGTTAACATAATGGATTAACAAAAAAAAAGTAACCACACGATGTTCAAATAATAGATTTCAAACAGCATATTTAACAACTATAATTTTCCCTATATACTTAATCAAAAGCTATATTACGAACTGCAATATATAACGTACTGTCATCTGATTCCGACATTTCACACTGTTCAACACTGAATCAACAAACTGTCCAAACATCACTGAACTAGCTGTAATTGCTTGCTAATACAGTACTCTATCTTTGTCTAATTTTTTGCAGTAAATTATTCTGTAATACCTATGATAAGATTACAATTAATACACCTATACAAAACTTCACTCTAATGGTTTTAAGATTAAAGTTGTGTTAAAGCAATAAAGTGTAATTTACTAGATAGTCAGGTTTATTTCCTGGTGCATTGAGAAGGAATTCAGCACCAGTAAGTCATTTTAACAAAATATTCATGCATAGAAAGTACAAGTTTTAAAAATAGTTTTAGTTCTTACGAAACTTTTATACTTTCAGCAAAATTTCCCATATAGGGAATAGGCTATTACTGCAGGTCTCATGGTAGGTCTCACGGGACAGATTTACGTTTTTTTGAGGTCCCCAGAGGCCAAAAACACCATTGGTTCAAATTCATATCTAAATATATAAAAGGCAAAGCCCTCACTGACTGACTGACTCACTCACTCATCACTAATTCTCCCACTTCCCATTTACCTAGGAGGCTGAAATTCGGTACACCGATTCTTTGGGCATTAAATAGGAAAAATAAATAGTTTTTATTCTGATCGGGCTTTCGGGCTCCGCCCCAGTGGCTCTGGAGTTTCCCATGTTAACCTTATGATTTTCATATTTAAAAGGAATTTCTTAACAGCTGTTTCAATTAAACAAGTTGGTTCTGTTCTATGATGTTCAATAGCATTAAAGTTACAAGGATTACCAACAGGGTGCAACACTATTATTTCTTTAAATTTATGACTACAGCCAATTTGCAACCAAAAGGTGAGTGAGCGTAGCGAACGAACTTCAACCAGGACGTGGTTGAGCCATGTGAACGAGCTCACATGTGAAGTAAACGGGGCAAAGCCCGCGGGTATGGCTAGTATCTTATATATTAAAAAACTTTTGCAAAACTTATGACAGCTAGCCTGACCATACTACTGGACCGAATTGAACACGGTTGGTACCAAATGAAATATATTTTCCTGTAGATGTGTAGAATCTCTTTATAAATTAAAATAGGATCAAAAATAAGCACAACAAATAATTTTTTTATTAAAAAAAAAATTTACATGGGCCTTATGGGTTGATATGCTGCTGACAAAATAACAATAAAACAAACAAAAATCCGAATGAATTCCAAACCCATGTTTTATTTACAGTGTGAGGTGAAAATAGAGAAGTCTGTACATTATAGGCCTATATTTTTGTTTGAGTTTTTAACCAAAATGCGACCTCTAGGAACCAATATAAATAGTATATTTCATTACTAGGACCGAAAGTGGCATTTTCTGGCGCGCGCGCTCAAGTTTTTGTGTGAGACGAAGCCAAACACAGGGAACCCCAATTTCACGTGCGAGGCGAAGCCGAGTATGTGAGAGTTATTTTCACGTACGAGGCGAAGCCGAGGGCGGGAATAATGGAGCAAGTGCCAGATAATAACTTTCGGTACAAGTTATGAACGATACTTTTCATCACGACGCAAAAATACACAAACACAGAATAGCAGACCTCAGTAATATTTCAACTGTTTTATTTCTCAATTAATTAGATTGAACGTCAAAATAAAATAAAATCTTTTAAAAGGAAACCTAGGTCTATTTTTTATTATTTTTTGAAACAAAAAAAGAAGGAAATATTCTAAAGGTAGCCTACGTATATTTCTCAATAAATTTTGTTTAAACATCAAAATAAAATAATAAAACAACTTTTAACCATACACACAGCTGATTCAAATTATTAAATTAAACCGTAACAAAACACTAGCGCGCGTAGTAAATAAATGGAGAACTAATTGAGAGCGAGGGAAAGTAAACTTGGAGCGAGGGAAAATCAGCTGATCGATTTTCCCTTGCCCTAAATTAGAGCTTGGGAAACGACTACTTTCATTGATGTCAGCTGTTATCGAAAATAGTTACTTTCGTTACAGAGTGATGAAAAATAATTTTTCTTATGGAGATTTAACATGAGGCCAAATTTTAAAGCTCATGATAGCTAGCCTGACCATACTACTGGACCGAATTACACGCGGGTTGTACCAAAAGAAAGGTTATCGGTCCTATATGTGCACGTTTCATTTATACTTTGAGAATATCTATTCTATTATATAATATATTATATATTATAGTTATATAAATATTATATGTTAATTGGGTCAAAAATTGAAAATAAACTTTTCTTATGGAGATTTTACATGGGGCAAAATTTGTAAGCTTATGACAGCCATCCTGTCGTGTAATTTAGTACTTTAAAGGTTTTTGTAAGGTTAGTGGTTACGGAGAAAATTCAAAAAATTATAAATTTAAAATTCTCATGTTATTCTTATAGAGAGTCTGAGTATTGTAAACTGTTGTGTTTGCTTGTTTATGGATATATTTATATCAAACTTGGTCAATTTATTTATTTATAAGCTATAAAAATATATACTATTCTACAAAAAAACACACTTTATTATCCTCCCTGTAGCAGCAAACCTAGGTACTTGTTAAACCTAATGTTATTTAAAAAGAATTAATTGAAAATCTAATCAGGCAAATAAAAATTTGCTTAGTCTACAGGTTTGCTGCCGCGAGGTATTTAGCTCAGGCCTTTGTGACAACAATAGCATGGTAAAAACAAAGAGACATACTTTCACATATTTTACACTTACTGCACTGACTAGAGGCAATCAGTCACTTAAGTCAGTAGAACAGGTTGCAGAGTTGATATCATTTGGAATTAGAACAACTGCCTATTTATCAGTAGTAGTACGTAGTAATAGTAGAAATTGAATAAAGATCTGCTTAAATTCCTAGATCAATGAGATTTTAAGCTTATTTGGAGCCTGATAAAAAATGGTCCTCGTTAAAGAATTAACTGATCTTAGTAACAAAACTGCATAGCGTTTCTCTCAATTTTACATTGTACAACGTGTAAATAATGTGTCTTAGCCGTAACATAAAGATAAAGTGATTAAGACGATTTTTGTGTAATTGGTTACATTAGCTGATTAATTATTCTGCAACATAAATTACAATGCAGCAAAGCCGGGAACGGGAACAGATTTGGTGATTAACATATTTTTGTTTTAGTAATTGTTCATTAAAATACTTTTGTATTTTGAATTGTTCACAGTATAATTAGTAGCTCTTGGACAAAACAATCCACACCTATGTGCATATTTTAAGCTAACCTAAATATGAATTAAGGTTAAGTGCGAGGATTAACGTGATCTGAATAGCTTTCTTTTCTGTGCCTTTATCCTCAACATTTTATTGAAATCCCAATGATCAAACCAAGGTGATCAAATGGTGAAGTTTCAAACCTACAAATAAATAAAAATAAATAAGCTACAGGTTAAGATTGGTTAAATATACAAATATGAATTTTTTTCCAAACAAACACATGAACATTTGTTGAACCTAATTGTTTGACCTAAACTGTTAAGTTGCTTAAAACTCTTAAATAAGTAATTATTTTTTTAATGGCCAGCAATTTAAAACTTTTATCATCTGTGTAACAGTTCAATTGGCGTGTAGTGTTAATACCCATATTGTCATAGGATGCAAGGGATACGATAGATTACTAGTTCCCTTAACTGACCTTCATAGCTCATCAAAGCACTTGTTGCCGAAACCGATACTCAAGGATTTATTGTCCGTTAACTTTTAACTAACAACTCGTACTTAACAAGCTGCTTATTAACAAAAATTGCAATGCAATACTTTTGGAATAGAGTATGTAGAACGTTATTAATTAATAACGTATTAAGAAAATGTCATTAAATTAATTCTAACAATTTAATCTGACATTAGTTCACTGATGTGTTACACCAATAATTTACCAAAATTGTTACATAAAGAAAACAATAAGCATATTTTACTTTTAAGTTAATCAGACTTTTATAGTAGTATTATTGATGGTTTGGATTTTTTCATTCAGAATCTCCCCTACCTTATAGGTTTTTAAATTTGGTATTTAATCAGAAAATCTATATATTTAATACGCTAGCCATATTTTTGTCATAATTGTTTTGGAGCGGTGGTGCTACCAATCACCATGTCCAAGGTGTCGTTAGAAAGGTCTTAGCATGTAGTTTTGCCATCGAACAAAAAAAACTTTGGAATTCCATCAGGGCTCTGCCCCAGTGGCCTTCAAAGTTCCCATGTTATTCTTAGGGAGAAAATGTTTGTTTCCATTTGAACAGATGAATACCACTTTGAAATTGACACTAATATTTGAAACGGCTGGTTATACACAAATTTTGCACGAAATCAAAACATAACCAAAAAAACGTTCGACATAATGGCGACATAAGACGTTGACTAGGACGGCCAATAAGAGGAGGCCGACGAACTTTAACTGGTAGACGCGA